CCTCCTTTGGGCAATCAGAGAGAAAATCAAAGTCTAATTTTGACTTTGATTAGCTAAGTATTAATAATGTAATTCCACAGTTCATGTGGGTAATGATATGTTATTTTTGGCATAAATCACATCAAAGTAACATTAGTGGATGAAATAATTAAGGTAAGGTAACAAATTCAATTATGGCATGGGATTAAGGTAAGGTAATTAGGGTTTTTGTTGTTTCCTATCATAGTAACCATACTTAAGTGTCAACTCTTCTAAATGGTGGATTATCTTCATGAAATCCATCATTTGACCATATATTGATTTGTTTATACCAAGAAAATGATGGTTTGTTGGGATTTCATATCCAAAGTTTGGGTCTAATTTTGGAAAATTAAAGTTTGAATCCTTTGGGTTTACAATTCTAATTAAATGATGACAAATGTAATTGATGTTGGCATTAAAAAAAATCCAATGAATTGTTAAATGTTAATCCATATTTATAATGTATAATTATCCACGTCTTATTCTTATTCACTCCGAGAGACATGAGAGTTGGCCTGTAGAGATTTTTTACTGGACAGGCTCGAACGCACGATCTCGTGGATTCCTTAACCTCCTCATTCGCTCTTTATCATTGAATTACCCCCTTTGGGTTCAAATTGACTTTATTTAATGTTTATTTTAAGTGTTATAGGTCTTTTTAAGCATACTTCATCAACATATATTAAATATAAGATATCGTAAGACTTCATGGTATAAAATTAGGGTTTTCAATAGCAAAATTTGGCCTTTCAAATATGATTCTTCCAAACTCATATATAACTTGAATATATAGAATATATAGATATAATTATTATATTTAAGGTGTGATAGTTTTATTTGTCTTTCTTTATTTTTTTTCCTGTCCTTTCTAATAATTAGAGAGGGATTTTTTCTGGACAATTTTAATCATAATTACTGGCTGTAAAACTTTTCAGATAAACATAATTATAAAAGGAGTTGGCACCTAAAAAGCAATTTAGGTAATAGTAGCTACCCACCAGAAATAATTGGATTTCAAAATTTTGTTCTATACTTGAATATCAAGATTAGGCAAAATTTTTTTTTATCAAAATTAAAATTCCTTGCTTGAGAAATAAAAGTTTGAAAAGTATAGTTGAAGTCTATTGAATGATTTTAATAAAAACAAATAAATATTAAGGATGTGTTCCACAATATCTTTTTAAATAACTGGTCAAAATGTCAAACACTGTCTTTTAAAGTATTCGGTAATATAACGTTTGAACTAATTTTTAGAGATTAAGATAACGTTTTATAAAATGTTAACTCTTGTAACGTTTAACTTTTAGCATTTTATGAAAAATTACTCAAACAGATAATGGCAATCAAAACAATTAATTTGCAGAACATGCCCTTTTAATCAAATTATATAATTCTTTTAGGACCTTTCATCATTTTCCTTAGGTAGGCTATATATAGATTTTCTTCCCCAGTTGTTCTTTCTCTTCAAATCTAAGCAATATATCATTGACTGATTTTTTTTTTTTCTTTAATCCAAAATCATCTCTACTTGGTAGATGCTATGGCTAATCAACAATGATACTATTGAATTTTTTTTATTTTAAAAATATTGTAGGTTAGTACTTATCATTACCTAATGATTGGGACAAGAATTTTTGGTCCTCACTATGTCATTTTTATTTTAAATTGAATTATTTGGGAAAAAAAAATTAATTGTTGTGTTTTTCCCATGGTCAACTTTGATGATGGTGGAAGATAAGAGCATATGAGATAGCTTACACCAAAATCCACTGAAGTGGTTACCATAACCATAAATAGGTGCATGAGTTGTTAGGTTTAGATTTTTTTTTTTCCCCACAATATATGAAAATAGACAAGATTTTGCTACATTAGTGAACTTCATAATTTTATGGCTAAATCTCATTTGTAATATGATTAATTCCATGTAAAATGTTAAAATACATTGCATAATATATCACGCACTAATAATTGGTGATTACTTTGCAGTAAAAAGAACTCGAACCATAGACCTTTTATTTTTCACATTTTTTATAAGACATAAGAAGATTAATCAGATCACATCTAATTGGTTTCATAATAATATATTTCTTCATTAATTTAGTGCGTATACCTGTAATCCTAACTTATAGTGTTTGGGAATCACTCAATCAACAATCCTCACTAATTAATTGTCTTATTATCAACAATGGCTTCATTTAAATTCTTTATGACATCTAAAATTTACTTCTCAAACTATATTAAATAAGTTTTCCTAATTTGCTTAAAAACTAAAAGTACATATTTCTTAGAACAGAAAAAGTAACTTTTATAAGTTGCTCGAAATAATGTGAATAGAAGGAATAACTCCTATCACAAATATCTAAACTTACATTTTTTAATTTTTAGTTGCATCATTCAAACGAATATGGACACTTTTGTTTCGTTAAATGAGCAACAAACTCTATTAGCTATTAACAGTAGAGTTTCATGTCTAGTTTATATGAGTATTTGTAATTCTTAATCTCATCATTAATGAATTATATTTCAAAAAACTGTTATAAGCCTCTTAATACCAAACATTCATTACATTTACCTTTTGAAATTGTTTTAAGTTAACAATATCACATTAATTAGTATACATTTTTCTTCATATAATTTGACTAGCCTTGTAATAAATCATTTTACAATAAATTTGGGAAATAATTATACATTTATAGAGAGGATTGTCATATATGTTCTCATTGTTATTATTACATATACTTTGGCTTTTTCAATATTGAAAAATTAAAAATAAATATGCATAGATATAGGACAAGTCAATTGATTGCTAAAATGGGAATGAAATTTCTTATCAAATTACTATATTTAATGTGCTTGTATAAATATGTCAAATATAGTTTATCTAGAGAAATCAAACCTAAAGCAATAGAATAGTCTATGATACCAATTCCATATAATGTTAGGCAGCTTTCTTTCTTTCTTTTTTTTTTTTTTTTCTTTTTTAAGAGAGAGAAAATTTATTTAGACCAGATTCATGACTCACTTATAGATCAAACCAATAAAAATAAAGGTTCCTATTGAAACGATGATATTTTTTATCATACAATTAGAAAAAAAGTTGAAACACTTTTTAAAAAATCCTTAATTTCGTTGGTTTAATTTATAAGTGGATCCATGTATACAGTTTAGACAAGTTTATTTCCTTTTAAACAACTATTCCTAACAAATCGCAAGTAGTTTGAAATTTGAAATGTTATTATGAAAAAAAAAAAGTGAAAAAGAAAAGAAAAAAAGAAAAAGACAGCAATGATAATAAATAGAGGGAAAATAAATTGAATTAATGGTAAGTATGATCACATGGAAAAGAAACTAGAAAGTGAAGTAAAGCTGTTTTGATGTCACACTATTCATGGAGGAACAAAATCATGGTGTGAGGTGGCTTCATTTTACTTATTATTATTATTCTCCCATGAAAAAGAAGGTTTCTACTGGTAAATTTAATAATGGACCCCACATTAAAAATTGGACCAATAATTAATTAGAAGGTAGGACCCATTGGAATGCAATATTTTTAATTATTAGTTTTACATTTTCTTTTTGACTCATTTCATGCCTTTTTTCTCTTTAGTTCTCAATAAAAATATCATATTGGAGATATTGAAATAATTAAGAATTGATATGAATTTCAAGAGAATTAGATTCTGAAAAACTAAAAAAAAAAAAAAACATTAGTGGGTGTTCAATGTAATTTATTAATTTATAAGAGATATGCATATATGCTTATGTAACTTTTCTTCTCTAACCATGTGCTAAAAACTTGTAGAAAGGGCCAAATTTTTTTGTAAAGTCATAGTATGAAAAGTATATATATATATATATATATATAACTGACTGAAATGACAATAATTAATAATATCTTTTTTTAGTTCATTTAATGGTTCTGTTTAAGTTAATTCAAATGTTGAATAGATCTTAATGATTATATTATATTGAACTTGAAATTTTAAAATTCAATTTTTTGACATCTTGTTATTGTTGTGATTAATATTATCTATTGTCACTTTAATATATTTATATTTTATTATTTTGTTGAAACTAAAAGTAATGTTAACCAAGGAAAAGAATTCGTGATAAAGACAAGATATACTTGGACGTGATAAAATCATTCAATATTTGAAATCGACTGATTCGACTAATCCATATTTATGTGAGGAAGATCTTAAAGGTTTATTACGCTTTCCATGAGCATTTAAAGGGACTTAATATTCAAGACTCGAACACGAAATATTTAGTTAAGGTAAAAGAGAAATTTACTATTTCATCGCACTTATTGAGTATTATATTTATGTTTTTAAATATTTATAAAGCAAAAAAAAAAAATATTCAATTTAACTCTTTACCTCAATAATACAAATCTTGTTTTTTTAAAAATAAATAATGTAAAACATCTTAATCAATAAGCAAATACCTAATTTGTTAGTTACAATAAAATTCCAACTCTTTGAATAGTATGTCAAGCCTATTAGTTTTCAAATCAAGACTTTGCTTAGTGGTTGAATTCAAAATCTAATAGCAAGAATATCACTTGACTGGGGCAAAGAATTACATTTTTATTATTTAAATATGTTCACATTAAAGAAAAAGATATTAAACTTCAATTATTTTTTTTGGATAAATATATTAAACTTCAATTAATTTATGTCAAGAGACCTCTTTATTATTAAATAAAAATAATTATTTGCCCCACCTTAAAAAAAGCAAAATAAATAAATACACATTATGGGTATAAACAACAATATGTATACATATTTCAAAGGAAAGAATATGACATCGACATACCACCAAAAACTAAATAGACTAAAATGCACCCAAATCATGATCAATCTCCACGTGTACGCCTATTATAAATACACGTGTCTAGTTGGCCCACCTAATACCAAAACCCCCAAAAAACCCCACTCCTCTGCCCTTTCAAAAGTTGGTAAGAAAGACATAACAACCTCTCTCTATGGCTTCTGTTTTACAGCAACTAACATACGGAGAGAGAGAGAGAAAGAAAGAAGGACAAGAAAGATAGAGAGAGAGGGAAAGAGCATGCAAAACCTGAAACATGTCTTATTATTTTCCACTTTTGACCCCCCAGTTTTGCTTAATTCACATGCTCTCGCCTTCCTTTCATCGTCTTCCACATCCCTTTAGTTTGAATATTCACTATGATGGCAGAAGCAGAAGCAGAAGCAGAAAGAGAGCTACCAATCTCAAACGTCGAAGCTGTACTGGATTTTCTACGCAATAATGGCTTAAAAGAGGCTGAGTCAGCTCTTAAACAGGATATAATCGAGAAAAATGAATTGGGTTCTTTTGATTTTGAAAAATTCTTGTTTATTTTGCCTCCGGTGAGAATTCCGGCCACCCTCCGGCGACCTGAGGTGGATGGTGTTGATGAAGGGTGGAGATCGAGTTGTAGGTCTGGCTCGGATGAGGAGTTTGTTAGCTTGGGTTCTTCTACTAGTGATTTGTGCTCATCAGGTATTTGCTTAACCATTAAAGTGTCAAACTTTTGACTGATAATTGTTTTGCAAGTATAACGTTCTTTCTTGATCACGTCCTTTTTTTTGTTTGTTTAGTTTTGGTTTTTGAATTTGAAAAGCTCTAGTTAAGGTTTTTGATCAACTGTATTGCTTGTGATTAATTTGAATGTATAATCTTGTTTACTCAACTTATCTTTTCTCCTATATAATAAAACTTTATATTTAAATTTGCTTAGATCAATGAATTATATGGTTTAATATTGATGCTGTTTTTATGTTTTTATATAATTTTCATTTTCCTATGTGTTAGATTATTTTGTTTCTTTGCCGAGGGGCTCACATATGGAGCTCCGACAAAAGACTGTGAACTGCTATAAGATTCCGAGTTCATGTTCCTAAAATTTCCTGGCAATCAGTGGGTGCAATTATTGCATAGTATTTGAATTTCTGATGATGACTTCCCACTGGAAGGTCCATGCATTAGCTCCTAGGGTACTTCTTTTATTTTCACCTTGTTTTTAATTTTTGAAATTTACTGATTTTGTTCCTTCTTAAATGTGGGGAAATCTCTCTTTGTAAGAATTTGATTTTTTGCTCACATGTGGAACTGAAATAGACTTATATTTTTTAGTGGAGATGCTTAATTTGATTTTTCTATTTTATTGTCGCTTTATTCATTGAATATGAGGACCACTTATATTAATATCAGCATGCACCTTCATCACCGTTTAATCATGAAGAAGTAACCTTTTTGTCCTAAATGAAGTAACGATCATCTGTTATGTATGAGAATGATAATTAGCTATTGTCAATCTTTTCTGTTTTATGCTCCTATGCAAGGTACAGTTATGTATCAATTTTTGTTGGTGATCAAAGAGATCCTGACTATTTTTCATTTTTGCAGAATTTACAAATCCATATGGACTTCGTTCTGTATCACAGGCTAATTCAGAAACATCGTCGGATAGGTTGTCTCAGTTTGGCACTGCACGTGATTATCCTGATTTCGATTTGCAAAATGACCTTTATTGGTATGATGAGAAAGACGAAGGCTCCTTCATGATTCCATCCTTCAATGGGCCAGACTACTCTGGTGGTCCAAGTGAGGATAAGTTTGTCATGACATCAGAGACCATGAACCTATTTGAAAATCCACTGATTTTATATGATAAAACAGAAGGATTTGAAACAGAAGCAACAAATAATTTCTTGGATAAGTCTTTTCCTTTTAATGAGACATCTGTGAAAGATAAAAATGAAATTCAGGCAATGGATTATTATCATTTTGATAAAGAAAATCATATGAAAGGAGACATTGAGGGGAATGGTGGTTCAATTCCCCTTTGCAAGTGCTGTGCAAGAACAGGAGGAAATCATGATTTGAGTGATTTTCAGCTAAAAATTGGAGATATGCCCACTGATTACAATATAGCTCATGGACAAAGTAAAAACAAGAACAGTAACTACTCTTCAAAAGAAAATTCTAGTAGTGACTGGATTGAATGTTATAAAGGCTTCTCTGACATTGTACCAAACGGAGACTATGAAGTTAGAAATGGTGGGAAAACAAATGGAGAAGCTGATGAGCTTAAAGCTGCTGCAAATGAAGAGGGTGGAGAAGTTAACACGGATGAGCTTTTGATGTTCGATGCTCAGGATGATGAATATGAAGTGTTCGATCTGCGAATCATACACAGGAAAAACAGGTTAGTTGGAGATACTTGACTTTTCTGAGCATTTGGTTGCATTAAATATTGGACCTTGGTCGGATGCCAGCGAGCTAGTTTGATGTTAGTGGGAGTAGTATGACTTAAGAAATTTGTTCAGTTTTTGGTTTTGAATGAGCCAATTTGTCTTATTTCATTACTCTGGAATACCTAATATAACTTGTTCAAATTCAGTTTTTCAGTTTCAAGCCATTCTTAATTTGAAGGAGGAGACTTACCCTCTATAGATAGAATTGACCCATTATTACTTTATCTGGTTCTTGCAGTCATTGAATCCTGCCATTAGTTCTTTGTTTTGGCGGATATTTGAAGTTTTGAGCTCTGGTGGTTGATTTATAGAACCAGTATATTCATTAGTTGCGCTATGTACAGGACAGGATTCGAGGAAAGCAAGGATCTACCTATTGTGCTTAATACTGTCATTGCAGGCAGATATTATGTCACAGAATACCTAGGTTCAGCAGCTTTCAGTAAGGTTATTCAGGCACATGATCTTTACACGGGTATTGATGTCTGTCTGAAGATTATTAACAATGACAAAGATTTTTTCGATCAGAGTTTAGATGAAATTAAACTTCTGAAGCTTGTGAACAAGCATGATCCTGCTGATGAACGCCATATTCTGCGTCTTTATGACTACTTCTATCACCAGGTATATGTAGAAAAGATTGGTAATTAGCTATGAGTTTTCCTGCAAAAGTTGTCACTAGCAAGCTATTACACCCCTCCTTGTCCTTGTACTATCATGCCTCTTAGTTCAGCTAAAAGCATATTGATCCTCTGAATTATTTTGTGGTCTACAATATCATGCATTCGCTGGGGGCAAAGACAATTATGCATCTAATATTTTTTAACTTTAGCTTGTGTGCCATAATTGACTAACTGTACCATGAGTGATAATGACAGTGAGCATATCCGGTTCTCTTGAAACATCTTGGACTTCATTTTTTATGTCTATTGCACATATATTTTCTTCATCATGTCTCTTTGGCTAATGCTACTTGGTCAAATAAAAGAAATAATAGACTTGCCTCATTTTGATTATTCAAATATCAAAACACTGTCATGACTTAACTTGTGGGCTTTAAACACAGACATTTCTGAACATAGGTGGTAAATCTTTTGCCATATGGTTTCACCAGTGAAATATTTGCATGCTTCCACCATCTGCCAAAAGGAAATAGGGATTAAGAAAGTAATTTTCATTTTTTAGTTCAGAAGTGTAAACTAGTTTAAATTGTGAAGCCACGATGTATGGGTTTCATACGAGATTTTCCTTGGGAAGCCTGCATTCTTAGCATCTGTGCCAAAAGGCACATTACATTGGATAATATGCTGCATTGTTGATATTATATTTTCTTTTCTAGTTTCGTTCATTCCTTGCTATGCTTCTTTGGGCAGCCATGAAAAATTAAACTAAATTCAATTTTAGAACCCCATAGTTTTCATGTGAGATGGGAGATTAGACATCCAAAATTATTACCTCAAGTAATGATTGTTAAATTATGTCTAAATATAGGACTCTTATATTACTTATAGAAATTGTGACGAAATTTTCATTTCCTTACTGGTTGAATATTTTAAAAACTACTGTTGAAGTCCTATATGGAACTTACTGCAGGAACATCTATTCATTGTTTGCGAACTCCTTCGGGCAAACTTGTATGAATTTCAGAAATTTAATCAAGAATCAGGGGGGGAGCCATATTTCACTCTGAGCAGGCTGCAGGTTAGTTTCGCTCAGCCCTTGACTTATGTTATCTCCTTTACAGTCCTTTCATTTATGTCCACAGTACTATTGTTTTAGTGCATTCCATTAGGACAACTGTTACTGCATAATGGGATTTTAGTTGCATTTAGTTACAAAATAATTCAGACAGCTAGTCCTGAAAATTTTAGTTCCAGCTAGTGTAGAACTGAAGGCCTGACAATATATAACTGTTGATTGTTCCTTTCACAGGCCATAACCCGTCAATGTCTGGAGGCACTGGAATACTTGCATCACTTGGGAATTATTCATTGTGATCTCAAGCCTGAGAATATTCTGATAAAGAGTTACAGAAGATGTGAGATAAAGGTTATTGATCTTGGAAGCAGTTGCTTTAGGTCGGACAATTTGTGTCTATATGTACAATCTCGTTCCTATAGAGCTCCTGAAGTCATTTTGGGTCTTCCATATGACCAAAAGATTGACTTATGGTCTCTTGGCTGCATCTTGGCTGAGCTATGCTCTGGGGAAGTATGTCATAGCTTTTACTTGGTCTTAGTCATTAAATTAAAGTAGATAGAATTACTAATCGCTATGCATGCTCCAAGGATGGCTTCAGTATCCATTGAAGTTATATTTCTGTGTATAATCCTTCCTTTGATGTGTCTCTTGGATTGTGATTAGTATTCAAGAATAGTTCCTTTGAATGATTTAATCAGCAAGTCATATTGATATCTATGTCTTTACTAGGTGTTATTTCCAAATGATGCGGTTGTAATGATTCTCGCACGCATGATTGGGATGCTGGGCCCTATTGATTTGGAGATGTTGGTTGAGGGACAGGAAACATACAAGTACTTCACAAAAGAATATGATCTTTATTACTTAAATGAGGTTTGGTATTTCCTTCACTATAAGAATAAAATTGCCTAGACTGCTAAGTCTGCTATACATTCTTTTTTTTACCTTCACAGTATAATTTGAATATAATGGATTATATTGCCTGCTATTGAATTTGGAGCAAAAGAAACTGTGAAAGCTGAAGCTGAATATTTGTTCAGAGTTCAACTTAGATGAATCTTTAAATTAGGTTTTTAAATTTCCACTTACTACTTATATTACTAATTATGTTTCCAGGAGTCAAACCAACTAGAATACATAATCCCAGAAGAGTCATCATTGGAGCATCATCTTCAAGCTTTCGATGATGGATTTATCGACTTTGTCAGATGCTTGCTTGAGGTAAATCCCTTGATGCGTCCGACTGCCAGAGAGGCACTAGAGCACCCTTGGCTTTCGCACTCGTACGAGTCAAATCCTTACTGAATTTCTGGAAAATTTACCACTCTTATTTGCAATCTCTTTTCTTTTTGTGAGCCAAAACTTTCTTAGCACAAGACGGGAATCAAGATTTCCGATGTCAGTTTTGTTTTGATGTGCATGCAATGCAACCGTACCAGCTTTGCTATGCTACATATACTTGTTGATCACTATATAATTTATTCTGTATAGAAGGTTGTTCTACAATTTTTTTTTTTTTTTTTTTTTTACTCTTTATTTGCATCTCTTTTCTTTTGTGGAGCCAAAACTTTCTTAAGCGACAGACGGGAATCAAGATTTCGATGTCCAGTTTTTTTTGGATGTGCTTGCAATGGCAACCGTACCTAGCTTTGCTATGCTACATATACTTTGTTGATCACTATATAATATTCTGTATAGAAGGTTGTTCTAACAATTTTTTTTTTTTTTTTTTATTGAATACTTCACTTGGTGAGGGTTTTGTATGTAGCTGAACACCAAAATCAATTAATTGGTATAAGAGAGGCACAATACAATTTTTTTTTTTTTTTTTTTATTGATACCTTCACTTGGTGAGGGTTTGTATGTAGCTTGAACACCAAATCATTAATTGGTATAAAGAGAGGCACAATAATAAAATGATCACTGATTGGATTCTTGATGATGCTTATTTGGTGTTTAGTACTTTTTGAAAATGCTGCAGAATAATGAAGTGATCAGTTATGTACTTTTTGATAATAGCTTTCATGGACAGGAGTTTTTTTTTACGAAACATTAAACATTAGCTTTTAACTTTTAATTAAAATTTTTTTGACAATCATATTAAACAATTACTTTTACTGAATGTTTCTAATTTAAACCACTACTATAAACAGCTACCGCTTAATAACTAAAAAATATTATAACAGTTAATAATTATTAAAAGAGTCAATATTGCCAAACAGACCCGTAAATTACGCTGCAGATTCAATAATTTGTTGATAGCTTTAATCTAAGCTTTAACAACTTTCTATTATTTGGATTTATTTTGGGTTCTTGATGTGGATTATTCCAATCTGATCCATATTTCTACATAATTACTATAATAAATGGAATGCATATATGGATTTAAAAGGTAGCAAAAATCAACAACAATAAGTCAAATAACAGAAGAAACTATGGTTAAACGACAAGAAAACCAAAAGACAAAAATTCAGTACATAAATATAACAGAAAATGCATGTATATATATATATTTTATGTAAAAAACTAGGAAAAAGACTTTGTCTTAATCGCTTTTGCCCTTTAGCAGCTAAAATACATTACATATACTATTTTTATTCGTCAACTTTCTTAGTCTATATCTAATCAAGTTGGACTTTATAACTTAATTCATTAATATGGTCGTAAGCAAAATTAGCTTTTCTAGAAATTTCACTTGCTGTCCAAATCTGACCATGGAATTCATATTTCTTTTTTTTTTTTTTTTGAAGAATATGAAATTGATAAGTTTGGTCCATATGAATCTCAAGAAAAATATTTTTAAAGCTTATGAGTCAAAGAAATGTCACATAAACTCACAAAATATTTACACATGTTACTAAAAAAATCCATTCAACTTTTAAAAAAATCCATTCAACTTTTATATTCCATCTTATTTTATCTGTAAGAAGGCTATTCTACCACAAATTTCGTAAAAAAAAAAAAAATCGTATTTGAAAAACAATATTGATATATTTATAATACCTTATCCAAAATGGTGTAATTATTAAAAATATATAAATAATAATTCAATCGCTTCTCAAATTTTAAAAACTTATATTTCAATGCTCTAAGTTTTAATTTCTAATATTTGATTTCACCTATTTATGCAAAGATTTTGATATCTCTTTCTCACCTGTTAAATCTTCTAATTTCTAATATTAACATCTAATTCTTGAGTATGCCTAGTACATAATACTAAAATAATTTTATTTTAATTAGATGTTAAATTATTTTTTTATTACAAAAGACTAATTTATTTTACAATTTGAATTTGTTTAGGCCAAATATAAATGGGAAAAAAATAGTTTGATAATTTTTTATTAATAATTAATTTCTTAATCAGTAAATTTTGGGTTTAATTTCATTAGCAGAACCTGAATTACACAGGTAATCACTTAATAGAATATCAACTTTAATTTGTTATTTAAAAATACTTAATATTATATTTTTGTAACAGTAAAATGTCTTTTGAAACAATTTAATTTTTCCATTGTGTCAAAAGACATTTTAATGTTACGAAAATATAAGATTAGGAATTTTTGAATTATAAATTGAAATTGATATCCCTATTACTTTTATTGTTCATATCCTTTCATTAAAATTAATCCCTAATTTCTGCATCTATCCTGTGGCCTTGTCAGCATTCAACTGTATCAGTATCAGTTAGAAATGGCTAAAACCTGGGAATCAGTGTACAACGAAGGTTGCACATGCTTTACTGTAGGCGAGACTTCAGTAGATATAATCCGGTCAGTAATAATGATCAAAGACAAAGTCCTTAAAGAGCCAAAAATTGTCTCTTCTCATTGGCTGATTCAATTCAATAAAAACTCCCTCTTTCACTTTCTCGCTTCTCTCTTTTAGTCTGCTAATCCTTTACCACTCTCTCTTTCTAGCGCGTGCAAATCCCTCCCCAATAATTGCTTGGAAACACAAATGTTAATAATAATATTATTAAAAAAATATTTATGCTAATCTTTCTCAATTAAACTTGATTTATATGATAGTAAACAAAACATTCTCTTATTTTTGTAAAAGAGTAATATTTAAAGTGGAATTATGGATATTTTTATACTTAATATACTCTATGTGTGATATAGATTTAAAATAATAATTTAATAATTTAAATTTAAGAGTGTAACATGATTTAAATCTCTAGTGAGTTGCTCAAGATTTAATTCAAAAAAATCTAATTTCATAAATTTATTAAATTGAGTTTGAATTTTATTATGAAACTAATAAACAATATATATATATTTAAAACTTTAAATTGTAAATAAATTAAGTTCAAGTTTATAATCCAAATAAATGGCGTTTAAATTTAGTTATTTTTGAATAAAGTGAGTTTAAATTTAATTTTTTAAGTGAACGAGCTAAACTCATATTGTTTACAATCCTCTAAATTATTAAGACACAACTCTAACTAATAATAAGTGGAAAATATTCATCTTCCAACAAAGCTAATTAATTAAAGTAAAAAAACTATTAACTTTGACATAATTTGATGTTATTAACAACTAATTAACATCTAAATAATTCTTAAGTTTTTACTATAAAAAGCTCCCTAGAATAGAAAATAATGGTTAAAATTTAATTTGAATGGGAGTAATTCAATGGCAAAGAGCACATGCGGGATTGATCAATATGATTTAGGTTATGATGTTTGAGTCTTTTATCATAAGAATCGAAACTTATCCACTTAATTAATACCTAATATCAAGCCATAAGTGTCAATAAACAAGAGTCCAACACTCAATTAATTAAAGCATCAATCATTTCAAGCAAAATCATATTCTTTGATAGGATAATGTTTAATTTCTTGATTAACACGTTTGTAAATTTTTTTTTAGGTTAAAAACTTTCAAATGTAATGGAAGGGAATTTAATTTTTCAACAAAAAAAATTTAATTTGACCATTTTTGAATTTTCAACACAGGATTAGAGATATATAATAATAATAAAATTAATAACTTAATTTACTTTTGATCACTTTTGACTAGTCAACACACATGAGAAATAAATAATAAGAAAAATCAATGATCGTGATTTTCTCGAATTCACCCAGTTACTTAATTTCTTATTAAAATTTCAAAAATATGATTTTGAAGAAATTATAGTAATATATCATAATTTAGTTTCAGAAATAAATTAAACATTATTCCTTGATTAAACGACAATTTTGTTTTGAAGAGCATTAAACCATAGTTTATGACCTTAACAAATGCAAGTTGCAAAATTATTATTCTTAAATTTCCTAAATGGGGAATATTAACAATAGAACAAAACAAAAAAATTTCCCTCCCTTACCCTTCCAAGCGCGTGGAATTAGCAACTCCTTCTCCGTCTGATATATACTGAGTTTTAATCGAATAAAATCACCCCGCCACCACCACCGTTCTCACCAGCAATGGAACCAAAACAAAAACACAAAAAACAAAAGCTAAAAAGCAAATCTTTAATTTAGATAAATACACTCTTTCTATTGGTTCTTAATCATTTGACCACCATCTCCTCCGCCGTTCAATTTCAATTTCTCTATTTTTATGGCTGAGTTGACTCAGTCCGAGGTGGTTTACTCACCTCGGTCTCTTCAACTATGGAGCACGCTTTGGAACTGGCTCGCTTTCTTCTTCCAGATCTTTCTGCAGATCGTTAGAGCTTTAGGTCACCTTCCTCTTCTTTCTTCTTCTTCCTCTTCTCAGTCTTTTAAACCTTTGCCAGTCGTTGAATTGCCTGAGACTGATTCTCCAGCCACTTTGGAGATCACCGCTGGCCCTGAATCCTCTCCTGTCGACGAGCCTATTAAAAAACTCACGGTATGTGTTGGTTTTCTGGTTTTTTTTTTCTCCTTTTCTTATTCTGATTTGATTGATTCATATTTGATGATTAGACATCTGATTTTGTTTTTTCTACATTCAAAAAGGAGTGATCTTTCATTAAATAGAATTAGATATAACGTTCTTTAGGACTCAATTTAGGTGATTAAGGTCCCAGTTCAATATAACAAACATTCTATACTTGAAATCATATGATTTTACTTTTGGGTTGTTGTGTTTGACTTCTGGGGATTATTGCATCAATGACAAGAATGAAGTTTTAATAAATTCCAATGGCTGTAGTATCTCTTGTTTGTATTCGAATTCAATATTCTACCTGTTAAGTTTGATACTTTGAGGTGAACTCATGGATTGATGTGTCTTATATGAGGGTTTTTAACTGCTGCAAATTCAATTTTCTTATGAAGCTTGGTTTTATCGTTGAGTTTTTGGTCTTTCTATTGTTTAAACTCTTGAGGATGCATGAGCCTGCAGGTGGTTCTTGACTTGGATGAAACTCTAGTATGCGCGTATGAGACATCTAGTTTGCCAGCTATTCTACGTAATCAAGCAATAGAAGCTGGACTGAGGTGGTTTGAGCTGGAATGCGTGTCTTCTGACAAGGTCTCTTATATGCTATTCATTTTTATGTTAGCTGATTATGTCGTATCCATTTAAAAGATACTATTTTGATACGAGTATGTTTGGCTTTGAAGGAATGTGAAGGAAAACCTAAAATCAATTATGTCACAGTGTTTGAGCGTCCAGGGTTGGCTGAATTTCTAAAAAAACTGAGTGAATTTTCTGATCTTGTGCTGTTTACTGCTGGTCTTGAAGGTTTGATTATTACTTCTCCACATTTCAGGCTTTCTTCTAGGATGTTGCTTCTTTTGTCAATAATTTTGTTGTTTTTTGGTGTTTATAGGTTATGCTAAACCCCTTGTGGACAAAATTGATACAGACAATCTATTTAGTCTTCGCCTGTATCGGCCTTCAACAATTAGCACGTAAGTACTACTATATTCCCTCATATATTTTCTTCCTCAAATTTGTGACTAGCATAAGGAATAGGCCAATGTCAAATTATGAGTTCTAATATTTTCTTCCTCATATTTTGCTGGTCTCTCATGCTGACTAGCGAAAGCAGATAATTTCTCATAGATATGCATAAAGGTTGTAGCTTTATGCATTCACTCATCTCTGTTGTGACCTGAACAGTCCAAAGAAGATATGTATGTTAACTCTGTGGAGTAGGAAGACCATGAATTTTTTCCTCTACTGCGGTGGTTCTAATGGAAACAAACTGTTTAGTAGCTTTTATTGGATGATAGTTTTTTTCAGTTTCTCTTGTTAGGAAAAGCTCCAGTGTGCTGCCAGATTAGCTGTTTGCAGTCATTACTGTCCAAGGGAAATATCTTAGATTAGCAGTATTTTGTAGAAGTTGCTTATATATGAACATTAAGTTGGGTATCAGATATGTAATCATTTGCAATAATCTTTTACATGATCAAGCAAATTCGTAAGGTGTTTTATAATTATTTCATAATATGCATAAATAAAGCCCGAGCATAAATCTAATATGCTAGATGTCATAGCAAAAACTGAAAATAGACAACACTTGTTATATGTAGGATTTTGAATTTGTTTTCTGCTTTTCTTAGACTAGATTATCGATATTCCAAGTAATCATCACTTCTCAGAAAGATGCTGCCTCAGTGTTCTAGTTTATCACTTCTCATGTATATCTTTTGCTTGGAGTATGATGTTCATATACTTATTCAAGAAAAATCACGAAACAACTGCTTCAGACAATAGAATGCATTTTGTTTGATTCTTTCTCAGTGCTCTCTGCTGCTTGCATCAATTGTAATCCATATTACACATTTTTGAGATGTCTAAAATTTTGAGCAATGGTATCAGAACCACAACAATGTGATGCATAGAAGGTGAAGGTGTTAAAAGGGGAAATGTAGTGCTGACTCAGTTATACACAGCAGGGAATAAAAAAAAAAAAAAAGAGATTCATATAGCTGACCCCAACTAGTGTAGGATTAACACACGATTGTTGCTGTTGTCAGAATTGGACCTAGGTGCTAAACTAAGATGGGTCTTTAATTGAACTTGATAAAGAATAAACGTGGTGAAGCCATTTGATTAAAGGCAGGTTTTTCTTTGATTCCTTTCAATAGTTAAATCCAACAAACCTGCTTGCTGTTCTTTACTTCAATCCTGCCCAGTTTCTCATCAGAAGACATTGTTTAAACATTATGTAAAAAGAGTATTTCATGTATGTCTTCTCTGGTTGCATTGGTAACCTACGACCTAGTCCTTCAACTTTGCCGATACTCAGGTGGTTTTATGACTGATTTTGAAGTTGAACATGTGATTATGTGACCAGTAAAGTTCATATTTTGATGAAGGATTCAAAAATATATGTTCTGAAAAGTACAAAACTTATTTAGTTCTGCCACCAAAAGAATGGATTGCTTTTGCAACCATTATGCTTGAGATTATTTTCTTATGACATGTCTCTTATGTGACATGTAAACAGGGAGTATAGGGAGCATGTGAAGGATCTGTCATGCCTATCGAAGGATCCCTGCCGCACTGTTATAGTTGATAACAATCCATTTAGTTTCTTGTTGCAACCGTTGAATGGAATTCCATGTGTTCCTTTCTCTGCAGGTCAACCATATGATACACAGGTAGCAAGATCTAAACCACAAACTTCCTGAATTGTTTCTCAAATCTTGTTTGTTCTTTTACTTACAATCTCTCAGGTGATTTTATATGGGTTTATCAGCTTATGGATGTGCTTCTTCCTCTCCTCAAGCATCTCTCTGAGCAGAAAGATGTCAGACCCGTGCTATATGAAAGATTCCGCATGCCTGAATGGTTTCAAAAGCAGGGAATCCCTGCTTCTGGATGGACACAGTAGATAAAGATAGAATTCAATGAAAGCCACCATCCTTTTACTATCGATACAGTTATCACTCAAAAGGCAGCATTTTGTGTAGGAGACACGACTTTTTTGTATAGCATTAATTTGTTTGCCAGAGGCATTCACGAAAGCCAAAGTGCATGCAGAATCAGAAAAAGAATCGATTTACTGCTTTCATTTGCCAAATAGGTATAACAGTTGCTCTGTAGATTTGTTACTCTTATTCTTATTGTAATTTTGTTTATATGTTTGCTGCTCTCTTTAATGTTTATGTATCCTTCTGACTTTTGTAAATTGTGCTTCAGCAATGATTATTAGTAATTCTGATTTCTCACTGTGTTTGGTTTCCGCTCTCAAGAAGATTTTCACTGTTTGTTTGTTTCTTGTGTTGTGGGTTATGTTATTGCAGTGAAGAGAATCAAAATTAGTTCTCAAACTTTTAAAGGGATATGATCAACTGCTTATGTCTCATTTGTTGTGAACGAATTATCAGTTGTTATCTGCTGTTTGATTAAAATATTTTTCGTTTGATCCTGTGGGTGATGTTTCTAATGCACATGCATACATTACACTATTATTTTCGAAGTTGCTTTTTTTGGTTTTTGGCAACTGAGAGGCCGTGAGGTTGAGCCACGGAACCATTCTCTTTGGAAATATGCAAAGAGGAGGCCGCATATATAGACAACCCTCTCACGGCCCTCACTAAGCAAGGCACCTTGTGCATTCAGGATGCTACTTTATCCCTGATTATTATCTCTTATGCCTATTTACATGCTAATACTAAGTTCACCAATCACTACAATTTTAACTTTTGCATTGTGAGTTATAATTTTTGTTAGCCTAGCATGTTATTGACATGCCTGAAACCATTTTCCCCCTCTTTTTTGCTGGGGTTAACAAAGACTTCCACTCTAAAACCCAAAACCATACTGAAATGGATAATCCATTCATGTCCTGCACGCTAAAGAATAAGAAGAATAGTTTACTTTGGCATCTACATATATATAACTACATTTGACAGGTAACTAACATTATAATGTAATCCTCTTTAGTGATCTTGATATTCCCATTTTCCTAACCTTGACCTAGGAACCAACTTTGGCAGCTGTCACCACCTGCATATGTCCATGGACCAACCTTTACACTATCAATAGTTACAGTCATCTTCTCCTACTTATCTTTACATCGTGTGGATATAAAATACATGTTTATCTTCTCATTTCCTTCCTATCTAGGAACTTCATTCTAGGCGTAGCGGTATAGATTAGTATAATGATATTACATTATCTTTTTAGTCTGGGGATAGGGCTGCAACTTAAATTTATGAAGAAACTTTTATTGGGTTTTTGAAAAATTTGGTATTTTTCAAGTACAAGCTTAGTCTACTGAGTTTGGTCAAAAACAAAATCATTCACGTTTTTATGTTCGAACCCTAAAAATGAAATCTCCAGTTAATAAAAATGAGAAGTAAATTCACTTCTTAACTGAATCAACCTTAAGATTCCTATATAGAGTTCTTGTGATAGCAGAATTGATAGTAGTGAAAATACTGAGTGAAGCTTGAAAAGCTAACTTGCTATATGTTTGATCTTATGATCTTGTCTTAGTAATGGAAGCAGAGAAAGACAAGTTGCACCAGCACATGGGTGGTGGTTTATTTGTCAAGTCGATAATGGTGGGTTTAGCGATTAATTAAGGATTAATTAGCAAATCTGACATGATTTTCAGGAACTCGATGCCTTTTACAGCTTTGCATATTCATAAAGCTTATATATGTCGTAACAATGCTGGCCTAAAGCTTGTACATATATACATACATATAAAGTGAGAAGCAAAAAGCCACTTTTGTTTCTCAAGAGAGAGCTTATCTCACTCCCAGTTTTGTTTTATTTCTTTATCTTTATCGATGTTTGTATTGTGGTCTGGTTTCTCTTTTCCAACTAAAGAAAATACTGCTTTTAGTGTTCTGGTGTCAACATGTAGTCTTTATACTTTTCTATTTCTTATTAAATCATTTGCAGGTTTTTTTTTTTTTTTAAATGTTTTGAACTCAATTTGGTCATACTTGCTTTAAATCCATGAGCATGCTGAAATTTTTTTAATTGAAAGTTTGCTTGATAATTTTATTTTTTTTCATACACATTTTCATACTCGGATCAAGGTAGTATTCAGGTAAAACTTTCTCAACAATGACTATTCCAAGTTTTGAACACTCAACATTTATAAACCGAATACTCTTTATTGCAAAATAGAAGTCGTTTAAGGTTTTTATATGGGGATTAAAGAAGCAATTAATTTTTTTAAATTATGACAAAACTACAATTACCCTTTATCTTAAATCCAGATTAATTTGTGAAGATAGTTATTATATCTAATGTAAATAAGGGTAACAATAGAAAAATATTATTTATTAATACTTGAAATACTTAAAACGACTTATATTTTCAAACAAAATAATCATCAAAAAACGAATTATATTTTGTGACGGAAGAAATAATAATTAAAGATTACCATTTTTCTCAACTTTGCAATTAGATTTATGCTATGGAGCAATGACCTAGCTATAAAATGACAAAAAGTTAAATTAATTCAATGTAATGGTCAAGGAGAATAGCACCAAATAACAATAATAATAATAATAATAATAATAATAATAATAATAATAATAATAAGCTAAAATTATATAAATAAAAAACCAAAATAAGAAGGAAAATACAAGATGTCATTCTCAAGCTATGATGATATGCATTATAGGTTTGGAGTATCCAACATGTGAATACCATCTATTACACAAGAAAACAAGAAGATAACAATGTCTGTGATTTTTCTAGGAACAAAAACCACTCATAGCAACTTGGAAATAATTATATATAGTCCAATTTCTATCAAATCATCATTGTGAAGATGCTTCAACCATATGGTTTACCAGAAAAGTTGGGTGAGATTTATTAATAATCATCACTATTTTATATTAACATTCATTAATTATGTTATGGTCATTCAATTTCAAGCATGATAAATTTAATTTTGTTTAGGATATCTCTAATTACTTCAATAACTTCTTTATCCTTTTACTTTAAGTTTATTAATTAAATATTCACAATTAAGTTTAAGTTAAGTTATTTAACGATTGAAGTTTTGTCACCAAATAAAAATCACTCTCCGTTTCAAAATATAAAATGTTTAAAGTTTTTGCATGAGAATTAAGAAAATAATTAATTTTTTTAAATTATAATAAAATAAAATAAAGAGTAATTTGACCAAATTATTATTTTCTCTAAACCAAATTATTTATGAGGATATAATGTAAATAAAAGTAATACTAGAAAAACATAATTTATTATAGATTAAAATACTCAAAACAACTTATATTTCGAGAAAATACTTATTTTAAAAAAAATTATATTTTTAGGATAAAGGGAGTAGTATATATTTAACAATATTTAAATAATTTACTTAAGCTTGAAAATATTTTCATTTAGCAGAAATATCAAAAATGTGTTATTCGTGTTGTTACATTCAGCAACAGCTATGATTGCAGTCATAAGCAACTTTGCTGGGGTTTAATTAAAGTTATTAAATTCTTTAATTATTTTTATCTTTTCGTTATTTATATTTTCCTGATGCCAGGCCATTAGTTTGACCATAACCTTAGCTTACCTAATTTGTTGTCTTAACCATATAATTATCTGCCATTGTTCTTCTTTATTTTTAAAAATCAGCGGACAAAAGTTGTTATTGACCTTATATATATTAATGTACACGAGTTGCTTTTAGATTCCCTAGCCAAAACCTTTTCTTTTCCCTTTTTTTTTTTTTTTTTTTTTTCCAAAACCTTTTCATTTTCCCCTTTTTTTTTTTTTTTTTTTTTTAATCTATCATTAAAATGGTATCACCAATCAAATTCTTTTTTTTTTTTTCTTGTTAGCATATATATTTTCATGTTGAGGCTGATGGTAAGGGTATATAGATAAAGTATTTCCAATAATACCGAATTTACATTTGACCGTAACCTTATAAATAAAGTTCGCCTAGTCATTAGTTAACGAAAATAAGCGCGCAAAAAACATCATGTTGAAACCAATGACGAAGATTCAGCGGAGGGGCTTACGGATATGAAAACCAAAAGCGATACATGAGGTATGTTTAGAAAGCCAATCTGCACAAAAGTTGGATTTCCCATTTTTAATGGGATAAAAACCATTAATTTACTGTCATAAGTAGGGGTGGCCTGTAACATCCTAGTGCGTTGAGTTGAGTCATTTCATAAAGGAAGGGTGAGTTGGGTTGAACCAAACCCGGTTGGGGTAGCATTTATTTGCATGAAAAAGTTTAGGCCTTGTTTGCAGCCAAACATACAGTGTGGGTACAGTGTGGGTATTAAGTTGTGTCTTTGTACACTTGAGGTACCAATTAGAGAGTTTACACAGCCAAGTCATTTCTTCTAGAGACTACCCGTTCTTATCAGCTCACTTTCCCATTTTCATATTCTCTTCTTACTTTCTCTCTCGTTTCCTTGCAAGTTTCATGCACGTTAAGCACTAAGTCACCTCCAAGTAAGTAGAATTCCTTGAAGTTATATGTTATCCACTCTTTATTTGAGTTATATTGGAGATGAGTTATGAGAATTCTTGTGTATAGGAGAAGAAAGTTCAAAGGTAGCAGAAAAGAGAAGTTAAAACAGAGCCCCAGCTTTCCAGCTTTTGTGGCAAGACAGGTTTGATAATCTTCTTGTTAATTTCCCCATGTTTTACTTTTGGCATGAAAAATTGTGTGGTGTGTTCCAATGAGATGAATAATGTTTGCTTGTTGTTGGGTGGAAAGTACGGAAATGATGTGAAAACAGGGGATGAATATAATGAAGCGGAAACAGAAGTTAGCTGGAAATTGTTACCAGGCAACTTTCATCTTGATTTTGGAGACCCATATAAATTTGATTTGGGAATTAGGAATTGTCCAATAGAAGAGTTTATTTGTTCCTTTCTGGGTTAGCTTTATCTGGGCTTTTGAAATCATTCAATTTGGAGTTAGCTATTGAGAAGTTATGGCCTCAAAAGAACACAGACCTGCACAGAAATCACGTTGCGCGCTCGCGCATACTGGAAAGCCAAGTCGCGCTCGCGATTTTTCCTATTGGCGCGCTCGCGACTGAGTCAGGTAGCCTCTCCTGACTCTCAAAATGGCACAACGTCGCGCTCAGCGAGGTCACATGCGCGGTCCGCGAACTTTGGCCAGAAGCTCTCTGACTCTCCCATGTGTGCGCATCTCGCGCTCGAGCGAATCACACAAGCGGCTCATGCGGGACTTTCATCTCGCGCTCGCGACTTGGTCTGCGCGGTCGCGGACTTCAAGCCAGAAACACACTGACTCTCAGGATGCACAAGTCGCCGCTCGCGACTTTCACAGTACGCGGTCGCGGACTTGTGCTTTGTGAAAACACTCTATTTGCCTTTTCAGTTGCTATGTAATCACATTTCCTCTTGCTCAACAATGCTATGCATATCCAAATCATTTTTTACAACAAACAAATACAACATTAAGAACATGGAATTAAAAACAACAATACAAGCAAATTCATATGATGTGAAACCAATCAAATATATGATGAACGATGACGTTGTGGAAACCATTTTATTGTGCTATTGTGTTTACATTGTTACATGCTAATCTTTAAGCTCCCTATTGAGTGTGTTAGGTAGAAACCATGTAGATAAGGCTATGTCGCGACATAGAATAGCAGATCTGCGCCCCCAATAACAGTTTTGGAACTCCGGCTACAAGGCCGTTGAGTGGATTTTCCGCTGTGCTTAGAATTCTAATCCTTGTTTAGAATTTCTAAAATTTATTTCAGTTTTTAGAAAACCCAATTCACTCCCCTCTTGGGTTGTGCCATATATATTCGGGACCCACATTTTTCTTATCACTTCGGTTTCACTATAACCTTATGGAGCCATTCAGATATCTTGACATAACATTTCATGAATCATACAGTATTATAACCAGTACGAAAGATAATCAAGGTATAATGAAAGGATCATGCTATATGTGCTTATATGTTTAATTATCCATATGCATTTACATGCTTATTTCTATCCATGTATGTGCTGGTTGAGATATGCCACTGATGCGATTATTTGCTCAGCGAGTTACCTGTTTAACTGCAGGTTTTTTGAGACTGGTCCATATAGAGTCCCGCGTACAACTGCTGCATGTCATCTGTGAAGACTTCGGTCTTCAGGGTAGAAACTCATTTTGTTTTTTTTTCTTTTATGGGCATGTACAGGGCACACAGATGGGCCCATTTCGATTTTGTAACTTGTGTCATGTTTTGTAAAATTACATTATTTTTGGAAATAGTACCAGCATGTTATTATAATTCATATACAGTTGATGTTTTTCCAGCATGTCAGACCATACAGTCAACCAGTTTGGTAGCATCTCGACCTCGGTGTAAATTCGGGTTTACGGGTGGACGGGAAGGGGTTGTTACAATGGCCGAAATCCGATTTTCGGAACCTCAGAATTTATCGGTTCCGTTTTCAGCATGTCAGACCATACAGTCAACCAGTTTGTAGCATCTCGACTCGGTGCATTCGGGTTTACGGGTGGACCGGGAAGGGGTGTTACATGGCCGAAATCCGATTTTCGGAACCAGAATTATCGGTTCCGAACTGGTGGGAACCGGAATCGAAACCGAAAGGAACCAGAACCGGAACCGGTCTAAATCAAAATTGGAATCGGTCCGAACCAGTTTGGTTCCGGTTCCACTAGTTTTGGAACCGTGAATCGGCGGTTCTAGTTTTAGTCGGAACCGACGGTTCCAGTTCTGTCTGAAACCGGCCGGAACCGTCCGAAATCGGTCTGAAATCGTCTGGAACCGTCGAAAAACAGGTTAGAACCGTTGAAAAACTGGTTGGAGAACCGGCCAGAACCGTCGATTTTGGAACCGTCGAGGAACCAGAACTGAAATCGGAACCGTTAATTTTCGGTTCGATTTCGGTTCTAAATTTTTTGGAACCGAAACCGTGGCCACCCCTAGTCATAAGTGCAATTTTTTTTTATGGAGAAAAAAGTTTTTGAAAATAGATAGTTAGATTATTTATATTGGCAAAGAAATTTTCCTAATACATTTATTTGTTACCTTACTTATTCAAGAAAGAAATTGGGTAAGTTTTTAGCATAATTTTCTTTTATGCACATAAGACTAATTCATACTCTGATAGAAATAATATTTAAGTAAATTCTTTTTAATAATAAAAATGTTAAATTTTGAATTTCTGATCTTACAAATAAAATTTTTGAACACAATATATCTAATACACGTGAATTGGTCAACTCATGAACCCATATGAATCTTCAAATTTTTATAACTATTTATGATAGGAATAGGCAGAAAATATAAATATAAAGAACAAAGATTTTCCACTATCTAAAGGAATAGGTTAATTCATTATATGATGGTGATGGTAATATATTCACACAACGTCATCACCCAAAAGACAATAAGGTTCACACTATGTGAATATTTAATATTCTAACTATAAAAAGTGACTTCTACCTATATTTTTTTATATATAATTTATTTAAAATGTGATATATATATTTTTATATATATATATATGTGTGTGTGTGTGTGTGTGTGTGTGTGGTAATTTTGACATGGTCAGCAAATAGTCACAATTCATACTATGTGTCAACAAATAAATTTTTCAAGCAATTTACAGATTTTTGGTTCAAGTCAACAACATATATTGCAGTCATATTAGGAGGCAGGAATTTTCTTAAGAAAAATAAATAAAATTTAATACCACCAAACTTCTAATTTAAAGTTTTTATTATTATTATTATTATTTTTTCCTTTTTCATGTATGCAGACATTTCATGTTACTCCTTCAATTTCCAAACACTAATATAAACACTAAACACTGCATTATTCAATAATATGAATCATAAAAATAGTATTTTGATCCAAATCAAAACACTGAATACTATTTTAAAAATTATTACTGAATATGCATTAATATAAATTTAGACTAGAATAATATTTAAGTAAAGCATTTTAACAATGGTAACTCCAAATTTTGAATTATTAATCCGATGAATGTTATGTCATGCATATATCAACAAATTTATATTCTTTTTTTCTGAGAATAAATCAAATTAAAAATTTCATTAAAAGAAAATTATATGCGCATATAAAATACATATCAATATGTTTTTATATTTTTGCACAGAAAGTCTAATAATAAACTAGTTATATAAAAAATAAAAAAATAAAATTTTTATATGAAGTATCTGATCTATTTGACAAATCATAATATATGTGCCGCTATTCATGACCATTGTTGACTCTATGGTGTTTCTACAGCTTTAATACGATGACCTTCAAATTTTTTCCAAAGTTTTGCACTTCTTTCTATATAATTGTTCAAACAATAAAATAGTATAAACGATGAAAATAATATCTCCCACAAACGTATATTCTAAGTTTCGTTTCTTTTCTTCTCTTTTTTCTTTTTTGTTCAAGTAATTACTCTCACAAATACTTTTTCACTACTAGATTAATTATGGTCCCATAAAGGTTTTACGTCACTTTCAAATATTGCACCTTGAAGATGTCAAATTTCATTCTATAGAAGCTAAAGTGAAAAAAAAAAAAAAAAAAAAATTGAAAAACCACAAATTCCTTAGAAGATGCATGTCTGTTTTTATAAGCAAAAATAACCATATTGGAAATACATATAAGGGTAGTATTGTAATTATAGATAAATGAAAGCAGTTTTTGTTCACCGTATTTGACCCTTCAAAAACACAAAGGAAAGACCAAAAGAAAATCCAGTGGCGGTTGGCTTAAGTATTTATCCCTCTAATCTAATCTTCATCCTCTTTTTCCTTCCTTTCATTTTCTTTCCCTTTCATTTACTCCCCAACCAAACAGCAGCCGTAAAATTCATGTTGTTTGACCAAATTATTTTAATTAAGATTTGCATTCCATTATTGTATTTTGAATATTTGATTGAAATGTTACCCTTGCAAGAACAGTAATTATATATATATAAAATAAAAAAGAGGTGTCAGCATTTGAATTATCCAAATTAATCAACGAATAAACATATTTTTATTATTGAAATATAAAATAAGTTTCGTTTGGTTATTAAGGAATAGAACAGAAATTATCAGGGAATGGTGAACGTGTTTTAAGTTTTTGGTACTTGTTTGTTTCCTTGAAGAAAGTTCACTGTGCCTGCTTATGTTTATTTAAAAAATAAAAATTAATATTCGGCGGCGGCAAATTACAATTACGTGTACGTGTCCCTAATTTTGGCACGTTGAATTTGCATCTTTTATTTTCTTTTTACTTAACAAATTTTTGGAAATTGTTTGGCAGATTGAATTTCAGTATTCATGGCCATCCAATTTTCTAGATTTGTTTCACTTAACATTGAGATTGTAGGTCGTATATATAAAGTGAGCGTCTGATTCGAGTTTGATAGATGTTTGATGTTAAATTTTTTTCTGAAATTTCTTTAATGATATTTTTTATTTAAAAAAGAAATATCCTCCTCGAATTTCTTAAGGAAAACTCATTATATTCAATCTCATAAACACATTTTAACGGTGATATTGCCTATTTGAAAATAAAATAAATTGTTTTTGAAATTTCTATAAATAATAATGAATTTTAAGAAATAAATAAAAATCAAGATTTCATTGACCAAGATTACAAAGTGGATCATACTCTTTGAATTAGTATTGTTAGGTATCATATCATAAGGTTTTTGAAATCTAAAAGTTTATAAATATTTTAAACCATTGCCCATGTGCTACATTTTTTTCTATTTGTTTAAATCACCTATGCATCATCCATAACTAATTTATTTATAATATAAATATTATACACTTCCCTAACAATAATATAAAATATTCAAAAAAAATTTCAAAAATGATGCTATCCATTTTAATAATTCAAAAAGTAAATTTATATTTTAAACAAATTTAAAATTTTAATTAATATTATCCCAATTGTAATTAATTTTTTTTATTTTTTTTTAAATTCACCAAAAAACTACATATGTAGAAAATAAATTAATAAGAAAAATATATTTAAAAATTATAATAGGAAAGAAAACAATTCTCTTTCTTTCCCTTGACATAAATGGTATTTATGGCAATTTAAATAACCTTCCAAACACAGCCTTTAACAATTTCAACAGTCTCCTCCAAAACCTGAAACTAACGAATTCACACTTTCTTTCTTTCTCTCTCTATACTCCTTTTAAGTTTTAACTCTTTCTTTCTCTCTCTAAATTCTAAAACTGACACCTGAACTCTCATTTCTCTTCCTCTCTCCTTGGAGGATGAAGCAGACCCGCCCGGAGCCACCCACCACCACCACTCCGGCCACCGTAGACCTTCACTTTCATAGATGACGAAACCACTCTTTTCCCAATCCAGCGTCCTCTACCTTGCATTTTTGGCTTTTTTTCTTTCTCTCCCATTGACAAACTATGCCTTGGGCTCCGGTTCTACCATCGCGGTCAGCTCTTCCTCCACCTCCGCCACTGTGTGTGGCATAGTGGCGGAGCAGTCTACTCAGAGTATAGCATGTTATGTTGGTGGTGAAATTATAAGTATCCAACCCAACGTCTCATTCTCTGCAATTTCTGGTGGTGAAAACTTTCTTTGCGGTCTCCGGTCAGGCGGCTACGCTTTCTTCTGTTGGGATAAATCAAATACAAGTAATATTTTAAATTTCACGGAGCCACAAAGGGTTTACTTTAACAGAACTGTTCTATTACAAAATCTCGCGGTTGGTGGGAATCAGGTTTGTGCAATTTTAAATGATACAGCTGGTGCTAATGGCACTAATACTGTTAAATGCTGGAGAGGTGAGGGTAATATTAGTAACCAAAAACCAGCAGATGGTGATCTATTTGAGTCAATTTCATCTGGGTTTGGGTTTTCTTGTGGGATTTTGATAAATAATAGAAGAATTAGATGTTGGGGTGGTAACCGAATTGCAAGTGAAATTGAATCCCAATTTGGGAATACTTCAATGGTGTATATTGCAGCTGGTGGGTCTCATGTTTGTGGATTGAATTCAACTGGGTTTTTGGTTTGTAGAGGGGATAATAGCTCTGGTCAGTTAAATGTTCCTTCGAATTCTCCTATTAGATATTCACAATTGGCTCTTGGGGCTAATTATAGCTGTGCACTTAGAAATGATAATGGATCAGTGGTTTGTTGGGGAGGAGGAGGTGTGTATTCTGTTAATGGAACTGTTGGGGTTTCTTTTGAGTCTATTGTTTCAGGGTCTAATTTCATTTGTGGATTGACTACAAGGAATTTTTCAATTATTTGTTGGGGGCCAGGGTGGCCTAATGTGGATGTCGCTTCCAGAGTTCAAATTCTTCCATTGTCTATGAAGATTCTTCCTGGGCCTTGTGTGCAATCTTCTTGTGAAGGTAGAATGTATCCAGATTCAGCAAGACTATGTCATGGTTCAGGGAATGTTTGTTACCCTCCAAATTTGAATTTTTCAATCTTTCCGCCTCCATCACTATCACCCCCAGCATTGCCATTGCCTCCATCGCCTCCCATGTTGCCTGTGCCATCTTCTCCTTCAAAGAAATTGACAACTGGGTTATTGGTATTCTGCATTATTGGATCAGTAGGTGCTTTTGCTGGAATTTGTACAATTGTTTATTGCTTATGGACTGGAGTTTGTTTTGGTAAAAAGAAAGTGCATAATTCAGTTCAACCAACAATAACTAGAGCTGGTTCTAATGGAGGCACAACATCAAACAATAGTGGCATCCTTTCACGATCATCTACTATTAGGCGCCAGAGCTCAAGAGCAATGAGGCGCCAAAGGAGTGGAACCTCATCGAAACACGCAGATAGGGCTGAAGAATTTAGTCTGGCTGAGCTTGCTGCTGCTACTAATGATTTCTCACCTGAGAATAAAATTGGTGCAGGTAGCTTTGGAGTTGTCTATAAAGGAAAATTGGCAGATGGTCGCGAGGTTGCAATCAAAAGAGGGGAAACAGGGCAAAAGACAAAGAAGTTTCAAGAGAAAGAGAGTGCATTTGAATCTGAATTAGCATTCTTGTCAAGGCTCCACCATAAGCATTTAGTTAGGCTCGTTGGGTATTGTGAAGATGGAGATGAGAGACTTTTAGTTTATGAGTACATGAAGCATGGAGCTTTATATGATCATTTACATGACAAAAACAATATTCACAAGAATAGTAGTGTGATCAATTCTTGGAAAATGAGGATCAAGATTGCATTAGATGCTGCTAGAGGAATTGAGTATCTTCACAATTATGCAGTCCCGCCAATAATTCACAGAGACATCAAATCTTCTAATATATTGCTCGATTCAAATTGGATAGCAAGAGTTTCTGATTTTGGATTGTCATTAATGGGTCCCGAAACTGAACGTGATTACAGGCCAATGAAGGCAGCAGGAACAGTTGGTTACATTGATCCTGAGTACTACGGTTTAAATGTATTAACATCAAAGAGTGATGTCTATGGCCTTGGTGTAGTGTTACTCGAACTTTTGACAGGAAAAAGAGCTATATTCAGGGATGACAATAATGGAGGCATGCCAACAAGTATTGTGGATTTTGCAGTGCCAAGAATTATGTCTGGTGAATTGGTTAAGGTTTTAGATCCCAGAGTCGGTCCGCCGGAGCTTAATGAAGCAGAGGCAATGGAGTTAGTGGCTTATACTGCACTTCATTGTGTAAATTTGGAAGGGAAAGATAGGCCAACTATGGCTGACATTGTTGCTAATTTGGAGCGAGCATTGTCTCTATGTGATGGTAGCCATGGCAGCATCTCTAGTGGTACAATCTCAATTGTTTCAGAATGAAAAGGAAAAAAAAAAAAAAAAAAATCGGTCTCTATGTGATGGTAGCCATGGCAGCATCTCTAGTGGTAACAATCTCAATTGTTTCATCAGAATGAAGGAAAAAAAAAAGAAAAAAAAAGAATGAAAATGAAAAAAAAAAAAAAAAAAATCGATTTTTATAATTTTTTTAGATTATTTATTTGATATACTTTTGGAATTGGTGTAAAGAATTAGGATTTTCTTTCCTTTTCTTTTTTGCTGAATTTAGTAGGAAAATCTAACATTGAGCTGTAGAGTAGGATTTTATTATGAACACTGACAGCAAATGATAATTGTTACATGATTTTTATTCTCATAAAGATGTTCGTTGTGTTTTTACTAAATTTTTATATTATATATTAAAAAAAATGTATATATATAGTGAAAATAGAATGGTAAATTTCTTTTTTAGAAAATTAGATAGCTTGTAAAGAGGAGTTGGTGATTTGATGTTAAGAAGAGGACACAAAATAAAAGTGAACCAAAAAACAAATTATATAGTAGTCTTTTAGTTGAAGGTCATATGTGACTTAAGTGCACCAAATTACACGAAGTGTTTGACTTTCAACATCAATTTTGGAACCAAAAAATACTCAGAATAAACTTTTGCTAAGAAACTTCCGAAAATGGCCCTACCATAAATAAATAAATAAATAAAAAGGTCCCATCTGATGCTGCCTACTTCTTCATCAACAATATATATTTTTTTTATAAGTTACTATATACAATGGATTTATACGCCCACTGCCGAAAAAGAAAGGAATACATAGTACACGTATGATCGAACCTTAAACTTTTGAATCTCAAAGTATCACCTTGATGAATAATATAATCTCATTATAATTAGCAGATCATAATTGAATATAATATAATATAATTAAAGACATTTTTAATATAATGTTGGCGCTAACAATATTTTTAATTATATTATTTATGTTACTAATAATATATTTAATTATAATAAATTAGAAGATAATTGCAATTCCACATTAGCAAAAAAAAAAAAAAGACATTTGGATGGCGTTATAATATGGAAGTATAGATTAGATGTGATTTGACTTTGACAATTCCATGGGGGAAAAAGCAGTCAATAGAATTGCGCTGTGGATTGGGTTCGGTAGCTACGTCTTAAAATATTTAACACGTGTACAGCCAAGATTGAACACATTTTGCATCATATGCTTGGACTTGAAGCTCTTAGTGTGCATAAATTCTAAGCACAAGTTTCTTGAAATTTAATCAGGCGGTGCCTCTAAATTTATATAAACATTAAATGTGTGGGCTATAGCTAATTGATACAACGTAATTATGCATTTACTGGAATTAAATGTTGTGGAAGACAAGAGGTGGTACGTCTCATTGGTGGTGGCCGGTGAACCACTCCCATTCCCACCACCTCCTCCTCCGCCTCCTCCTCCAATCCTCTTTCTTTGTTCACATTTATTTAGAGCTTGGTTTAAAAATGTGTGAACATTTATTTTTAGCTTTTACTCTATTAATAAATAATATGCAATAAAAGGATATATTGACAGTTCATACTCATACAAGAATGAGTTATAAAAGCCTACATTTATTTATGTTGACCTATATATATTGTTCTTATAATTAGATATTGATTCAGAAATAGTAAATCTTTGCATAAAATAAATTTAAGACTGGTTTATTTCTTGTCAATCCATTTTTCATGTACATGCTTTCTGTTTCTGATCTGACATTGCTCCAATTTGATTTGCAAATAGTGTTTTCTGAAATTAATTTTCTTATTGGGTAAGAATACAATAAATAGTCATCCATCTTGATTCTTGAATTTGAGTTCAACACACTATGCATGGTACAATGTAGATAAGGAGAAAACAGGCATTTGGGTTTGACTAAAAAATTAAAATTATTTCTTCAATAATAAATTAGTATAAAATACCATATCTTTTATTAAAAATAAATATCATATTTTTAGGGTACAAATATGGATTAATAACTTAATGATTGAATACTTGTAAGCAAAATATTGTATGTAAGAATACACTGAACCAGCTTGTTAGATATATATCATTATCTCAAATTAGACTACCTAGTTCCTTCTCAATCTCATAATTTGATTCTCTCCATAATCTAATACACCACATGTATAATGCCTGAAAAAAAATATTATATAATATAATATATAATTATATATATATAATATATATATATAATTGTGTGTTGTGTGTGTGTGTATATAGTGTGTGTGTGTGTGTGTGTGAGCGAGGCAAAAAATCCCACATTACAATTCAGTTTTCCTCTTTCAACTAACCCTAAGAATCTTTGAGATCATCAGCAGATAAAATCCGCAACTAATAATCACAGAATCTACGCCATTGACTCAGATTCTGAGCCACCTTTGTCTGCTATTCAGGTATTGTTTACCTTTCAACAAAACAAGAGAAAATGTAGTGGAAAAAGTAAACGGTGTAGGTGACCAAGTCAAACATGTGCCAATGGCTCAGAAGTGTAAATAGACAAGTTTGCGAGAGACTGCTATACCCTTTTCAATTTATTTATTATTAAGTGCAAAATACACTTAAAGGGCAGTCTTGACTTTCCTGGAAAAAAAAAAATAGAGAGCTCAACAGCAATGCAAGCCCTTGTTTTCTTCTTCTTAGGTGATTAGGGCTCATAATCAACAAGAAAATTCTTCAAATCAAATCAATTACTAATAATTAATTACTTAACAACTCTTCACATGTGCTTGACTTGACCTTTTACCAATACCATTAGTCATAACGAACCATCTTTTCTAGCTATCAAAGAGAATTACTAACAGCTTTCATTATTATGCATAAGTTAATATAATAGTTACAAAATTGTTCACTTTTGTACATAATATTCTCTATAAAATTATTCCAAATACTCCCTGCTCTGGTACAAATGGGGGAATACTACCGAACATTAGCTGTAAACTTTCATACCCATGATAGATGGTGGATAAGAAGTATTTTGCTCGCTGGAAAAAGAATTTTGCTGAGCCCTAAATAACTATCAAATTTTAATTTTGATGTGTTAACTTTTAAATGTGTAAAGTTTCTATGAAGACCTACGGGCCAGATTGAGAATGATTAAAGTCGCGGGTACCTTCTCTTTTGTCTTTGTTCTTCCACTTCATTCATCCAGTCAGAGAGCCACAAGAGTCCCTTGTAACCAAAATATGTAACTGCTACAAGAGTCACCAATAGGGTGAATAGTAGAAGAAGCCACCTCATGGTAGCAACAAATTTCTGTCCAAAAGAATGGATATCATGAGAAAAATAAGGAAGAATTTATAACTACTTGCTTTTGCAGCGGCAGAAGTGATACCTGAAGTCTTGAGATCTGATTTGCTTCTTGGACCCGTTCACGTCGTTTTCTACGCTTTGGTACGTGCTTTTCAGTATCAGTCTCCTTTTTCTTCATTAATTAGCATAGTGAAGTATCAGATTTCAGAACAAAAAGGTCACTCTAAACAAACTTAAGCAAAAGCTAAAGGCTAAAGAAATTGAATTTCACAGCAAAATACAAAAAACTAAATTTCAAGTAAAGTATACCTCCAAATCTCTGGATTTGCGCAGATGCAATTCGTGATCTACAACCTTTAATTTACTTTTGCAATCTGCATTACAAGCAAGAAGTCCAAGTCCAAATTGAGTTTTTGACACATCTTTAGGATCACGACCTGAATTGCGGTAAGCTGCTTGAACATCATGACATGGCCACTCTTTTTTCAGTGTTTGGCATTGACAACGCACAGTAACCTTGTAAAAATAACAGTTTCCATGGCAAACAGAGTTAACAAGTAGGAGGTATGAAAAAGAAAGAAAAGAAAAACACATCAGTGCACCATGTGTATACCAAAAAAAGATGACATTTTAAAAGGCTTAAGAAGCCAATGATGATCCAATTGAAATAATTACCTTTTTGCTGCACTTATCAGATGACAGGCATTGACCAGGATGACAGTTGTCTGGGCACAAATGTGTACAATTGGGCAACTTCCTGCATTATTGACTTATCAATTCTAAAGCTTCAACAATAATTCATTCTAACAAGAAATCTAAAGCCAATACGAACAAATCTTAAAATTATTAAGAAACTAGATATCATCCAAAACAAATAAATGATCCCCATAGAAATTAGTTTCTCAAATTTACACCTACGATCACTTTAAAAATTAGCCAAGAACTAGTGATTTCCACATTGTCCAAGTCGCCAGATTACTGGACAAATTGGAAGATATCAAAAAGGAATCTTTTTTTACTTTCGACAGACCAAGCTAGAGTAATTGAACACCAAAACAGGACCATAAACAAGTACCTACTAATAAAATTCAGCAACTGCCTTACAATTTTACAGTCAACTTTTTTTAAGCCCCAGTAAGATGGATTGAAGATAAAATCTCATGCAGGACACAAATAACTAGGCAAATAACAGACATATGCAAGCAGACCTGGGAGGTTCACAGCCCAATCAATTCATGACCCACTATTGATTTGCCTTCTCAGATATAAGATGCAAAGAGATGAGTAAATGGAAGAGCTCAGATTGAAGTTACACAAATAAGAAAGAGAATATAACAAGAAGAAGAAAAAGAAAGAAAGGGTTTCTCAAGTTGTCAAAGAGCATTGAAACAATCCAGCCAGAAGCAGAAGAAGAATCCATGTATATTACCTATGGCAGAATCCACCACATGATCGGGCAGCCATTTGATCCTTTTCTGATAAGCTGTTATAGTATATGCACTCAAAAACATGGACCATTGAACCACAGTGACAAGATCGTTTCACAAGCACTTTGCAAGGGGGGCACTCCCCAGTATGACATGGAAGAGGGCAGGGATGTGGACAAGTGGGTTTCCTCTCCTGCATGTATACAGAAGAATATTAACCAAACTTACAAATTTCAATGCCAAATTATTATGCAGAGGTGAAATATCTTGGGCAAACTAAGAAAAATAACCAGGACATACTGTTAACAGCAGGCCCCAAACTCGCTATTAAAATATTAATTGAGAAAGGGATCATGCCAACAAAGAAACAAAAAAATAAATCAGAAGTGAAAAACAGTAGGAGGTTAAAACCTTTTCACAAGGAAGATGACACTCTTCACAAGGCTCACTGTAATATTGAGTCAACGGTTTGGAGGACTGGCTCTTCAAGGCATGGCAAGTTTTTGTACAATAGTGGTTCCCACAAGGCAGAGGATTCCCACATAAATTATCACAGGAAAACAATGTTCTATTCGAGCAGACCATCTGAAATAAGGAGCAGCTAATTTTGTATATAAATCCAAATCAAATAGATAGTAATAGGGACTAATAAACTGCTTCCAATAAGAATAATTAAAGAGTTAATAACAAAAGAATAAAGGACGCCAACCATTCTGTCCGCTCCAAGATGCTGCCCAACACAAGACCTCCAAACAAGCTCTGGACAAGGAGGACAGGGAGATCCTGGAGTACATTCACTCTGATGATTTAGTTTCTTTTTCTTTGTTTTCAAAGTGAAATCTGGATTTGGAGGGGGTCTTGGACCATGACATCTGAACCATGAAAAAAAGAATTTAAAGAGTTATATGTAAAACTAGCCTGCCAATGAAAATCTTGAAAACATGTTCACTAATTAAATGTACTTCAAACCTTAGATTGCATTTATGGCCACATGGATATTCTTCTTCACAAGGTAACCGACAAGGAGGGCATGCTCCATAATGGCATCTGTGTGGCTGGGTAAAACAAAATTAAAATTGCTTAAAACCCAAGTTGTCAAATATGGCATAACGAATGGTAACCAGATATCATGCCTAAATATGAGATGCATGAAGAATTAAAGAGACTCAGAATTCAGACAAAGGAAACAGAAAACTAAAAGAGGACAATTACAGCTTACTGCATAACCAGTGGTTCAACTTCTGTCAAATGCAATTCAGGTTCAAAGGTAAGTTTCCACAGTTCACAATGTGGATATAGAGATGAGATAAAACTCAAAACACTATATCAATGTATTCATGGGACAGATATCTGTCTTTGTGTGTGTGCACACGCATGTACACGTGGGTAGCCCCATACAGGGAAATCTCTGTGTGTGTGTGTGTGTGTGTACGTGTACATATATTTGAAACGCTACAGAACTAATTATTAGTCCAATTAATATGCATTCCGGTTAAATAACTGGAACATTTAAAAAGCTTCAGTTGGAAACATATGTCAATCCATATTGGAGACCATGTACGAGATATAATAGGCATATAGCTACATTTCTACCTTGCAAATCGATCTATGCCTGCATAAGGGAGGTACGCCACAGAATTTACGACATTTAGGAGGTTTTTGGTCCATCTCAGTACCGCAGGGAACCTAACAGAACATCCATGACAAATATTAATCACACAAATAAGTATTAGCTAATAGATACATTCTGTACACAAGTGCTGGGAAAAGTATTGACAATAAAAGAAAATATTGCTGAATAAGTACAAAATATTTTAGGGTAGGCTTATCATCATTTTACTAAGACTCCTGTTGATACACTAAAATGTAAAGAATCTGGTTGCAGAACAAAGTCTTCGGATTTAGAATTGCACTAGACCTGTATCTATACCCACTTGTCAAAGCAAAAACTTACCTCAAAGTGTGTCTCACCACATGCACATGAGATTGTAACCATTAGAGGGCAAGGAGCACAGGCACCTCTACAAGAACAAGATTAACTAATCAAGATATTGTGCAGTGTAGATATTAAATATTATTCATAAGTCACAACTTCTTAATAGCTAAATGAGACTGATACATAAACTGCCAGATGATGCTGCAAATCTGAACTCATTATACCTAATGAACTCAAAGTCAACCTCATATATTTAGCTAATGCAAGCAAAAACATACCGATGGCATGGCGCTGGACATTTGTGATTCTTGCATCGAAGCCTCTTCCCACAAATCTGAAATTCCAAACACTTACTACAGTTCTCTTCATAACAAATACAAATAGCATATGTAAGTAGGTTTTATGAAACACACCTCTCCACATGGTGGGCAGTCCCCATCACAGCAGCGTCGTTTACAAGCATGACGTCCACAATCTCTCATTCTCTGACACTTTCTCTCACAGATCAAATCTTGATAGCAAGGAACCTAATCTAAATTCAGTTAAACCTTCCCAATTTGAACTTGTAAAAGTAAAATCGGTAAAAGAGACAAGTAATGAAATCTTCATTCCAATATGACCTTAATGATATTGTTTCATTTGAAACTCATAATGAATATAGCAGATACAGCAAAAGTAAATTAGTAAATAACACATCACATAACACAAAGCAATTGGTATTTGTATTGCAATTCATCAATACAAACAAAATGTAGCGTTGGAAATGCAGTCATTAAATAGCCCAAACTGTGTACTTACCTCTTTCTTCAAGCCCCCACACCGGCATGATTTGGTCACCACAAGTCTGCAAGTTTCAATACATTGTCCTCGATGACATCTTTCATGGCACCTATGCAAACCACAGCTCAACATCTTATCACAAGTACCACCACAAAGCGGAACAGCAACATCACAAGGCCTTCCTTCATACACTCTCTTACCACAAGGACAGGTCCTCTTCCCTTGCAGAGGACACTGTCCACACTCCCCTGAATGACAACCTCTTTCACAAACATGTTTCCCACATCCCAACAATTTCTCGCAAGGATTATCACATTGAAATTCCCTCTCACAACACTCCCTCTCCTCCTTCTTCCTTCCACAATGGCATCCGTAAACGCTACGAGAGTGACACGGAGGACAATCTCCTTCATGGCATATCTCTTTACACCTATGAATCTTACAATCTAATAATTTGTTACAGAGCTTTGACAGCTTAGGCAAGAAGGGACGGCCAGGAAGCAACAAGCAGAAATGGCCACAATTATTCTTCAATGGACGTTCACAGATTTCACCACATGAATGTGGCAAAATCCACGGGTTATCACTCGGAGGATTCTCGAGTTTACCGCAAAAACAGAAGTAATTTTTAGGGATTTGAGACTTGCTGTATTCTGATCTGCATTTAGGACAATTCCAGGTCGAAGTTTCCGCCGCTTTTTCCGCCGAGATAGGGAGGCGCGTGGATGCACGGTAGGCGGAGAGATCGGAGGCTTGTCGGGCCCAGGACTGGATGCAATGGAGGTGGAAAACGGCGTAACAGAGGGAAGTGCAATGGAGGTGGAAAACGGCGTAACAGAGGGAAGTGCAGGACCAAGTGGGATCGGAAGGTTTGATCCGTTCGAGGCATATGAGACAAGATAAAGCGCCGGATGAGGAAGATGTGAGAAATGATTGGATCTTGGAGAGGTCGTGAGGGGTTGGTGATGAGGTAGCGGATTGTAATTGGCTTTTGGTGTGCTCGAAGTAAGATTTGAAAATGGAGTTTGAGTAGTCTGCGTGGCGGTGGGATTCGACGTGTGAGTAATCGGAATCGGAATCTGAGTCGGAGAAAGGTGGCTGGTCGTTGGCGGAGGACATTTTTGGAATTTTGGGAAGTAACGCGAAGCGGGTTGAGTTGAGTTGAGTTGGGTTTAGGTGGGATAGGGTTATAAATTTCTCTAGAAATCAAATTTGTAACAGTTGTAAATTTCCTAAAAAATATCACATAAAAAGGGTTATAAATTTCTCTAGAAATCAAATTTGTAACAGTTGTAAATTTCCTAAAAAATATCACATAAAATCACTAAAATTAAAAAAATAAAATAAAAATGTATAAAATTTAAAATTTTGTATTAGAATTACAAAAGTTTAAAACTAAAAGATTATGTAGATAAGGATAATGAAGAAGAAGAATTATTATTTTGTGATAAGGTAATGTTAATTTTGTTTTAAAAAAAAGTTATTGATAATTTTTTTTTTATACTTGCACAAGGTATTAGGACCTATGTATATTTAATAACTTACTAATCTTTGCTCTCGCCCTCGAGAGCAAAATGGTCGGTCTGGGAGGAATTTGCATTGCAAAAAATCGAATTCATAACTTAAGTCATTGTGATCAACATCGTAAAGTGCTTTTTATTGCTGAACTACTTCATTCGGATTAGTTATTATTAATTTATATTTTTGTTATTCGATGGTTTAGTCTAGTAGGTTTAGTTGTGAGTTATTCTAATAGACGTAAACTAACATTAAAAGAAACATTTTCTAATTATTTTTTTATTATTGTCAACTAGACGTGATCTAATTAGTATTCTCATATATATAAAGATTGGAGGTCACACGAGTTTATTAAGATTGCAATGTTATTTTGATCTATTGAACTTGTCAATCAATAAAAACAAATCATTACATATAATTATTTTACATGAAATCACAGTTTTACTGAATAAAAATCTCTTATTAATATTGTAGACACTAGTTGGATTGAACCACGAAGCTTCTAATGGTCAAATATGAAATGTGTTTACCAATCCACACTATATTTTGGTAAATGTGGGATTGGTAAACACATTTTCTATATAATTAACATCTCTAATAGTCGATAAATTATACATAACAAAAGTCCACACTCTCCTGGCTTAATCATTTTCAGTTTGCTAGTTTTTTGTATCATCATTCGTCCATAATTCACACAAAAGCAAAATAATCTGAAAAAAGCAAAATAATTTTAAAAAATCAAATTTTTTTTTTGAAAAAATAAACTAGCTAATTAATTAAAAAGATATAATCAAAATATAAATAAGAAAAAGGAATTTTCTTTGACCTATTAGCTTTGATCCCAAAAGCAGAGTCACCCCATTGAAGACATAGAAGCTTGCAGCAATTTTGAGTAACCCATTACTGATTAAAATATGCTATGAACAGTTATGTAATTTGTAGCAATTAATATTTCATACTAATTAATTATTCTCCAATATCTCACTCTTTTTCATATTTAGCTGTATGGGTTATTTCCATTTTTTTTAATTATTTTTTTGTTTTATGTGTGTATATGTATAACAATAAATAGATTAAGTAAAGAAAATTCATGATTTCAACTCTTCATGCTAAATAATAGATTAATTTTTTCCCTTTCAAAAAGAATAACATTCATGCTTTTTACATCAAAAAATCAAGGAAAAGAAAAGCTAATGGCTTTTTCATGAAAAGATATCATGCAAATATACCTTTCTGGACTTTAATTTGACAGATTTAAAAAATTTGCATTAGAATTACAAAAGCTTAGAAGTTTGTACTAGAATTACAAAAGTTGAAAAAGTAAAAGATTATGAGAGGATGATAATGAAGAAGAAGAAGAATTATTATTATGTTGTGATAAGGATTATTGTAGAATCATTGTTAATTTGTATATTTATTATATTATCTGATTGCTTGAAATAGTTCGCTGTCCGCAGTATTAATCGTCAATTATGTTAACTGTTCCGTTAAAAAAAAAAAAAAAAAACCTTTCACGATTATTCTTTTATTATTGATTTGCGATTACAGATAAACATTCTACTCGAATCACGGGTTTTTTTTTACTGTATAAAAACTCCTTTCAACCACTTAATTCTGATCAACGCAATATAATGTATAGTTTGTGCTACAGGAACAATATTTAAGTATAATCAGCAGTATAAGCGTTTGACAAAATGCCTGAAAGAAATAACGAAGACAAGAATTTGATTCAACCACCACGCCTATCCCATCAATAATTTCGTATCCGGAGAAGCTTCTATAGTCAAATATGACGCTTTTGTCCAATATCTGACACCAAATTCTGTCGATAATAAAATTAGTAGAATGGTTGAATATGCTTTTACCTTGACTATACTTTAAATTTTGGTCATTTTTTTTTATTTTTTACTCTTCTTCATGTCTTAATTTTTTACTCCTTCTTCAATGTCCCAACTTGGTCCACACACGGGGAGAGAGAGAGAGAGAGAGAGAGAGAGTCATAACGTACCCACTTAAGTTTGTTGCTTTTTATTTTTTTATATGCTAATTCAAATATGTAGGAAACATGTATTCATGTTTTCACATTTACATAAAGTTATAATATAATATAACCACTAGGTTTGCTGGTTTGTTTTTCTCTGTGTACTACTCTTTATAAGCACTGAGGAATGAGAACTGCTTATGGTATTGTTGTTCTCCTGCGAGATGATGAGACAGATAGTAAACAGAGTGAGTAGTCACAGGCCTGAATCCGAGTCCATACCTGTTGAAGATGAAATTGACGATGAAATTGGCCATAATTTCAATTGGAAGGTAAAGTAAATACGTATACATTTTATCAGTTTTACATATATGTGCGCGCGCGTGTTTCTGTCAGCATCTAATATATATGTACATTGGTATTTTCCAACAGGCTATTACTCTGGAGCAATATTTCCTCGTCGCGAACTTCATCTTCAAGTTTCCTTCTGTTGTTTTTGGTCAGCTATCTTCCTCGGAACACCCTGTGTATGGATTGCTTAATATAGTACTATCTTACATAGCCTTCATCATTTCAATCATTTTCCTTGTTCGCGAGCGTCGACAAGGACGAGTTGCATTGAGATGGAGGTGTTTACCAAGAACATCTGCTGATATTGAATTCATTTGTGGTATAGCTGAATGTATTATTACATCAATAGCATATTTTAGCTATTTGTCTAGACATGTTGATGATCCTATCAGGATAAATGTCTGGCCTACTGTTTTTGCCTTTGTTGGATTGTATTGTAATTTCTCAGCAACAGCCAATCTTTCCCATAGACGGCCAAGTGTCTTACCGCTGACAAGGCGGCCCATCCCACATACTCAGTCAATCCCACCACCATCACTGAGTAATGAGTCAATCCAACCACCACCACTGAGTAATGACTCAATCCCATCTCCACAGAATACCGAGTCAACCCCACTTTTAAGCCAGCCTATCCCACAGACAACCTTTACTCTGGCCAAGCTAAATGCTGCCACCAATAACTTCTCACCAGATAACGAGATTGGTGCAGGAAGCTTTGGTGTTGTTTATAGAGGCAAATTAGATGATGGTCGTGAAGTTGCAATTAAAAGAGGGAACACTGGGGCAAATAGTAGCTGGTTTCAAGAGGACGAGAATGGATATAGTAGCAGGTTTCAAGAGGACGAGAACGGATTTAAATCTAAATTAGCGGTTTTGTCAAGACTTTGCCATGAGAATTTGGTTGGGCTTGTTGGATATTGTGTAGACAGCGGCGAGAGACTTTTAGTTTATGAGTATATGAATAACAGCAGTTTGTCCTTCCATTTACATGAAAAGAATAGTAGTGAGTTCAATTTTTGGAAAATGAGGATAAAGATTGCATTAGATGCTGCTAGAGGAATCGAGTATCTTCACAAATGTGCAGACCCACCGATAATTCACGGAGATATCAGATCTTCTAATATTTTGCTCGATTTAAACTGGAAAGCAAGAGTTTCTGATTTTGGATTGTCATTGATGGATCGTGACTCTCAAAGCTAATATTTTGCCTTCGATTGTTAAAACTGGAAAGCAAGAGTTTCTGATTTTGGATTCAGATCTTCTAATATTTTGCTCGATTTAAACTGGAAAGCAAGAGTTTCTGATTTTGGATTGTCATTGATGGATCGTGACTCTCAAAGCTATTATGGTTTTATTGGTTATGATTCAAATGTACTAACCACAGACACGGATGTCTATAGCTTTGGTGTGGTATTATTAGAACTATTGACCGGAAGAACAGCTAAATTTCAAGATGATTATGAATCAGAAAAGGTACGAGAACTTGTGTATTTTATAAACAATATTATTAAGTCCCGTGAGGTTATAGCTCGTAGGATTGCCCGGCCAGTGCTTGATGACACAGACGCACTTAATAATGAGGTTTTGAATGAGGTTTTGGATCAGGTTTTAGATCCTAGGGTTGCCCGGCCAGTGCTTGATGATAAAGACGCGGTGGAGTTGGTGTTCAAGACTGCACTTCGATGTGTGAATTCCAAAGGGATAGATACGCCAACTATGACTAACATTGTTGCTAATTTGGAGCAAGCTCTCTCATATTGTTATTCTATGCCAAGATTTGCAAAGATTATTGATAGAAGGCCACAAATATAAATTTCATTGGATGAAGAAACAAATTGTAGTTTTTCTTTTTTTTGAAGAAAAACATATTGTAGTTGATAAGGAGGATGTTTCAACTTAATGTATTTCTCTTCTTAAACAATGTTAAGGCATTCCCGTTGCAGTTTCCTATAAAATTTAGCTTTCAAAATCGACTTCACAGGGATTTGCAAGTAAAATGTTTGATAAAATGCTTCAAAGAAACAAACTATTTCAAGTTAATTTTTTGAAGTAATTTTATTAACTTACCAGTAAATCTTTTGATAAAATGCATGCCTGAACAAAACAATAAAGACATTAGTTGGATCACATAAATAATTTTCTATCCCTTGGAGCTTCAAAAAGCTTTAATGGTAGCTTTCTTTGTCATGTCCCACTTGTCAAAATGCGAAATAACAACTCATGGAATATTTTCTCTCGAAGAGTGGAGGGTCAGGGGAAAGCGAAAAATAAGACGAGATTAAAAAAATATCAAAGCATTGATTTTGTCTCAATATAAAATAATTGAAGGTTGGTGACAAAGTTAAAATAGTATTCACTTAATAATTTTAGAAAGCTATCAGCATGGAGAGTTTTGTTTTGTTGTAAAGCTTTGCTTTGTTTAAATTTGTAAAATTCATTTAAAATTTTGAGAAATTCATTTATTCAAAATAAGGCGTTAAAAAAACTCAAATTTCAATGTATGTAAATAAAAGTAAATTGGTGAAAACAACTGTAGTCGAAAGATTTCAAATTCGAAACTTCTCACTCTTCACATAAGTGAGAAGACCAACTAAACCACTCCTTAAATAATTCGAAACCTCTCACTCCTCGCATAACTTCTATTGCTACAACATATAACATCTACTATATCAACTAGTATGGCTGGATGGAGCTCTAAACTAACAATTATTGTTTAAATGGTAGTGCCTGCTTGAACAACAATTGTGAATTTGTGATTGCATGATTTTTTTTTTTTTTTTGTGCAGCATTAATATTATTTACTCTAACATAAATTTCTGGGATTAAGTTTCAGAATTTATTTTTGATTCAGTCCTAATATGAATTTTTAGGATACGATTAAAATGATCAGACTCGGGTATTTTTATAGAATATTGCAGCTAATTCTGTGAAAAATATGAAAAAGATAATCTTCATCGGAGCTATAAACTTGCATCCTTAGGATACAATTAAAATGATCAGACGGGGGTAAATGCAACTTTTCACATGCATACATAGTGCAATTTTAGCTTTCAAAATCTGCTCTTGAATGATTCACAAGCCTAGTGTTTGACAAAATGCACGAAAGAAACAACAACAGCAACAGGTTAAAAAAAAAAAAGATAAGCTGCTTGAATATTTCTAGGAGATAAAGATACAACAGAATAAAAAAATTTTAATGTGTGGAAGTATATAAGTATATTATATCGAATACTGTATATGCTAAGTCTAGCCAGCTTTCATGCAAATCCTTTTCACTGTAATTTATATTTGGAGCATATGACTGCTTGTTTCTTTCCTATTCTAGTCTTTGTTTCTATATTTCCCTCTATTAGTATTATTGAAAACAAAAACTAATAAACATTTTTTGGGTTTGGTCCGTACAGGAGATTAACAATCCTAGCAGAGAGTTATGTCTGAATCTCTCCACATAGATGTCAACCAAGAAGATAATGGCAGTGAGAAGGCAAACAACATGGCGAATCGCTTTGACAATAAGGTTTAATCCAACAAAACACAACAACAACAACAATGTTTTGGACAGAATTATTGAATAGTAACTAATTGTTATTCTGCTTCCAAACAGGTTGCGATTACGGAGCGCATAGTCCTCATTGCAAACTTCATCTTGGAGCTTCCATCAGCTGTTTTGGACCAGTTATCTTCTGCGCGTAAGCCCCAATATGCATTACTTAGCATGTTAATTTCTTTCACAGTCTTGATCATTTCAATCATTGATCTTGCTTACAAGGGTAGAAAAGAAAGAGTTAAATTGATGAAGAGAGGGTTAATACCTTGGTTTTATTGCCCATATCCTAATTCAAAGCCTTTTGGAATGAAGAAGAGGGTTAATAGCCTTGTTTTATTGCCATAGTCCTAATTCAAAGCCTTTTGGGGAACACCCATATCCTAATTCAAAGCCTTTTGGAACATTTCCTGATATTACAGGATTAGTTTGTTCTATCTTTCAATACATTTTTGCAACAATAACATATGCCTTGTTGTCTAGGCATTCTGATAATCCTATCAAAGTGTCTATTTGGCCTATAATTTTTGCCTTTTGTCTATTATATTCTAGACTTTCTGGAAATTATTTTGCACAAAGGAAACTGAATCCATCCCCACTTGTAAAGAGGTTGAATAGAACAGAGGAATTTAATTTACTTGAGCTTCTTATTGCCACCAATGATTTCTCATTACATAACAAGGTTGGAGAAGGGTCTACTGGTAATGTTTATAAAGGAAAATTATCAGATGGTCGTGAAGTGGCAATCAAGAGAGAACGCATAAATCAACAGAGGAACAATTTTGGAGAGGAGCCAACCACTTTTGAATCTGAGTTGACATTCTTGTCGAGGCTTCATCACAAACATTTCGCTAGGCTTGTTGGATACTGTGAAGAGAAGAAAGAAATGTTTTTAGTTTTTGAGTACCTGAAAAATGGATCTATATATAACCATTTGCATAACAAAAACAACATTGAGAAGAATAGTATTGTGTTCCGGTCATGGAAAATGAGCATCAAGATTGCATTAGAAGCTGCTATAGGGATTGAATATCTGCACAATTATGCAGTCCCACCGATAATTCATGGAAACATCAAGTCTTCTAACATTTACCTTGACGAGAACTGCACGGTAAGAGTTTCTGATTTTGGATTTTCAGTGTGTCCTGAAACTGGATGCTTTAACAGACTAAAGCACGCAGCAGGAATGGTGGGATATACTGATCCTGAGTCCTACAGTAGTCAAAATGTATTAACTGCAGAAAGTGATGTATATTCTCTTGGCGTGGTGTTACTAGAACTTTTGACAGGCAAGAAACCTATATTTAAGGATGATGACAATGGAGATATATCAAGAAGTCTAGTAGATTTTGTAGTGCCTAAAATTTTGGCTAATGAAATACTCAAAATTTTGGATCAAAGGATGTGTCCACCAGAATCTGCCAATGAAGTAGAGGCAGTGGAAAAGATGGCATATACTGCACTTCATTGTGTAAATTCAGAAGGAAACAGCAGGCCAAATATAACAAGCGTTGTAACTAATCTGGAGCAAGCTTTGTCCCTAAGCCAGAGTAGTACGGAGGATTATGGAAGCTGGGAAGGTGAAGGACAGCAGAGTGGTAGATCCGAAGAGATAAAGCCAAAGCTACCAGACAATTAAATTAGAAGTTTCAGGAAGTCAATAGAGCTTGTGGATGGGAAGAGGTTTTTATAACTGAATGTGCAAAATTTCTAATTTCATTGGGAAGTTTCTACTTCTTTTACATTACTTTTGTAGTGACAATCCTTATCTTCTTCTCTAGCGAAATATTTAAAATTTATCATAAACTTGATGTTACATCAGAAGCTTAAGCCTCAAGAGGAAAAAGGAAAAAGACTTATAACCCAACTCCTAAATTGAAATTCAAATCCTTAGCAAAGTAGCACTACAAGATTACCATTGCATCAAGACAACATGTGGAGATCTTAATGTCAGTGCTTCCTCATTTTCATTTTCATTTTCATCTTAACTGAGATAACATTTTCAGTGATGAGCTCCTGAACGTTTCTAGTGATATGCATTTTGATGGAGCTATCAAATTTCGTCTTTAGGATACAATTAAAAAGCTTAGACTGGGATGAATCCAATTAGTCACATCCAAGTTGAGTGTTCGATAAAATGTTTGAAAGAAATAAATAACAACACAAGTCAACAAGACTGGTGCATGTTAAGTCTATGCCGTGCGGAGTCAGTCGTTAACAAAAATCCTTTTCTATTGTAATTCGTATTTTGAGCATGTAACAAAAAGCTTTTGGTTTTGCAGTTCTTCTGCGAGATGAATAATAGAGTGAGTAACCGTAGGGCTGAATCCGTGTCCATAGATGTTGAAGATGATGTTGGCGATAAGAAATATCGTACTTTCAATCGAAAGGTAAATATTAGGAAGACAAGATTTAATTTACATATGATGTTGGCGATAAGAAATATCGTACTTTCAATCGAAAGGTAAATATTAGGAAGACAAGATTTAATTTACATATGCATGTTATGAATGAATATGTTCATTAATTTGTTCTTTCAGCAACTAAATATATATGGATATTCCTATTTTCAAATAGGTTACTGTTCTGGAAAGGTTTATCCTCGTTGCCAACTTCTTCTTGGAGGTTCCTTCTGCTGTTTTTGATCAGCTATCTTCTGTGCGTAAGCCTCATTATGCATTGATGAGTATGTTATTTTCTTTCATAGTCTTAATCTTTTCGACCATTGACCTTGTCTACAAGGCTCGAAAAGAAAGAGTTACCTTCATCTGGAGGGGTTTGATGATTCCATGGTTTTATTATCCAAATCACAAGCGTTTTGGAACATTTACTGATATTAATGGATTAGTTTGTGGGATATTCCAATGTTTTTTTACATCAATAGCATACGGCTTTTGTTCTAGGCATCTTGATAATCCTATCAACGTAAATGCATGGCCTATGATCTTTGCCTTGGGTGTATTATACTGTAGATTTTCAGTGAGTCCTCCAGAAGGGCAGCCAGTCCCACAGAATGGGGAGTCAACCCCACTAATTATAAGGGGACCGAACAAAGAAGGGGAATTTACTTTGGCTGAGCTTACTGCTGCCACCAAAAATTTCTCAGCCGAGAATGAAATTAGTGCAGGGAGCTCTATTGTTGTTTACAGAGGCAAATTAGGTGATGGTGGTGAAGTTGCAGTTAAAAAGAGGCAAAAGAAATTTCAAGAGAAGGAGAAAGCATTAGTAGCATTCTTGTCAAGGCTTCAACACATACATTTGGTTAGGCTTCACCACAAACATTTAGTTAGGCTTATTGGGTACTGTGATGATAGAGATTATAGCCTTTTAGTTAATGAGTACATGGAAAATGGAACTTTATTTGACATTTTACATGGCACAGAGAACAATAATGTCATCAAATTTTTGAAAATGAGGATAAAGATTGCATTAGATGCTGCTAGAGGAATTGAGCATCTTCACAATCATGCTGTTCCACAAATAGTTCATGGAGGAATAAACTCTTCCAATATTTGGCTCGACGCAAATTGGACAGCAAAGGTCTCTGATTTTGAATTCTCATTATTAGACCCTGAATCCCCAACCTTTATTACCCCACTCAAGGATTTACAGGTAAAATTTTCTTTTGATCATGAGTTCTATCAACGAAATTTAAGCACAGAGGATGATGTCTATAGCTTCGGTGAGGTATTATTAGAAATTTTAACGGGAAAAAGAACTCTCTTCAAGGATTATGATCATTTAACGCCATCAGATCTTGTGGATAAGGTTTTAGATCCTAGGCTTGGTCCGCTCGAGGATAACAGAGCAGCAGCAGAGTTGGTGGCCCATAGGCTTGGTCCAATGGAGGATAATAGACCAGCAGCAGAGTTGGTGGCCCATACTGCAATCCGCTGTGTGAATTTGGAACCGAAAGATAGGCCGAGTATAATTGACATTGTTGCTAATTTGGAGCAAGCTTTGTCTTTCTATGATAAGGACATTGTTGAGGATATGGATTTGTTGAAGGATGTGGATTTGCTGGAGATTTCTCAGATTTCTTAATATGATTAATATATGATTTTATGTATGTTGTACTTGATCTTTGCACCAATCCAACATCCTTTGCTCTTCTTTTACTTATGGGACTTTGTTCACTCCATTAGCCAACATAAATACCTCATGTTGTGCTTGAATTTTAATATCAAGAAGTAAACTCTTCTTTTACTTATGGGACTTTGTTCACTCCATTAGCCAACATAAATACCTCATGTTGTGCTTGAATTTTAATATCAAGAAGTAAAAAAAATACAATATCTTTACAAAGCTCTTTGTTGTTCTGGTTAATTTGGGGATCTGCTATCCATAGGTGTTGTTGGGTGGAGGCAATATCTTCTTACTATCAAACGATTTGCAAGTATAGTGTTTGATAAAACGACTGAAAGAAAGAAAGAAATAAATAAATGCTAAAGATACAACAAGTCAACCGCAATAGTTTTAAGAAAAAGGAGAAGCCGGTAACGCTCCAAAATTTTCGAATTTTAAAATAATATTATTTTATCGGGTCATGAACGGTGCTATAGAAAGGGGGATAATATTTTATTTAGATTTGAGGAAGATATTGAATATGATTAACGATGAATGGGTAGTGATTTACCAGTCTATGAATAGTACCACCGGTCTGTGAATAGTACTACCGGTCCGGGAGTCGGTATTATTTTGATCCGGAAAAATTTGGTATATATGTTTTACATTTTCTTTAAATATTTTGGAGTATGTATGCATGATGTTTTATGAGTAGGGAAAAGTAAAGTAATGAATATTTTTGGAGAATTTAGATAATTAGTGAATAGTAAATTATGGTGCTTTATTAATTAAGGAAATTTGAGGAATTATTTTTATGGAGAGTAATTGAGAAATTTTATGAGATAAATAAATAATTGTGAAGGAAGTTGAAAATTGGAGAATATTTTTTAGCGGCCATTAGATGGCTTAATCTTAGCCATCCAATTATGGGAAAAAGACCAAAAATACCCTGTTGATCACTTTATGAAGGTCAGCTCCAAATTTATTGAGCCAACCACCTTTCTCTTCTTCTTCTTCTCTTCAACGCCAACTTCCTCTTCCTTCTTCTCTTCTTTGTTTTTCTTCACTTCTTACTTGTAAATCCTAACCAAATTGAACCCCACCCAACTTGATAAAATAATTTAATCTTAGGAGAATTAAGCTTTGATTAAGTGATTGTGGGTGATTTATTTTCAAGAAAGTTGGAGATATCTCTACTTAAGCCAAAGGTTGGAAAAACCTTACCATTGGAGTAAAAGGCAAAGTTAGAGCTTTAGAGAAGCTTTAATTTAAGCTTGGCACGTAAAGCTTATTTTTAAGGTTTAGTGTTCATAAACCACACTTTACCTTACTTAAAGTTTTATTTTGTGCATATGTATCATACATGGTATTTTGGGATTTGTATGAAATGATTGATTTGTTGAACTTTGGTTGCAATAACATGCTCTTGGTGATGTTTGATGAGTATTAGTATGGTGGTAGAAATCTGCTACCTGTATCTTTGTTGTTCATTTTCTTTCAATGGTTTAAAGTAAGCTGAATTTGGGAAATAGTGTTATTGGGTGAGATTAAGGACTAATTTTCGACCATTTCTATTTCCATTTGTGTCTGGAGTCCGCTCATGAAAGTTGAGCTCTACTTCATTAGCTCCCAACCAATCCTCTTGGGTCCAAATTTGGAGATATATAGCTCAAATTATGATAGAAACACCCCAAACTGATCTTGTTATTCGGGCCATATGCATCATTGAATTGAGAAGACGAGTAGTGCCCATTTTGACCACTATAATTGACAAGATTTGGTTCTGAGGTCTTCATGAAAGTTGTTTGCCCTGTTGTCTTGAGACTTCTATGGTTTGGATTGGTTTAATTTGAGGTTTGGTTAAGTAGGAATTCAATAAACATTGGACTTAGTTCTGACTCTGAAATTCGGGTCTGGACTGTTGGTCTGGTGTCCTAGCTTCTGTTTTTACCATCTATACACCATTGATCTGGGCTGTAGTCCCTTGATAACATTTGTAGAATTTTATCTTATCTTTCTAATGAATCTGATTTCGTTCAATTTGCGAGGACCTTGTAACTCAAGTATTCTTAAAACACAGCAAAGGTCAAGGAATATTTTAATGCTGGAAATTCCTATGCCTCGACTCATAGGTTTATTTGGATAAATGTATGTATGAATCATGTGTGGATGAGGTTCTTTCTTGATTATTGTTTGTTTGAGAGGATTGGATTTCACAAAAATAAGATATAAGGTTGAAAGTGTATTGTGGATATGTTTAAATGGATATAAAGGGGAAACATTGTTGGAAATGTTTGGGATAAAGTGTGGAATTAGTTTAATAATGCATTGATGAGGATTAAGAAATGGATACCTTGAGTGCATGAAGAGTTAATGTTGTAATGGCTTTAGGTGGAGAAGCAGAAATTCCTCCCCTTGGTTTTCATTAAGAGGCCAAACCAACTCTAGGGTGGTAAGGCTTACTTAATTTTTTTTTTTTTTTGTATGGTATAAGTATGACATGAAGTATTGATTATTTTGCTAACTTTTACATTATGTTTAGAGTTTTAAAAAAAAAAAATGGAGTATTTAAGTGTTGTGCTTTGAATTTTTGAATTAAAGAAAGTATGATCTTTATTGATAAGAAGTTTCTTATGATAAATTCATTAATGATGCTTAAGAAAGGTTTTAAAAAGAAAGGAATTTATGAGGAAATTTTCCATATATTAAGTATAGATATCTATTATATATATTTTCCAAATACTTCCTTTTGAAGAATGTGGTAATTTTTTGTAAGTTGGTAAGTTTGAGAAATTTTTGAACTAAAAAAAGGGGGTATTTAAGAAATGAAGAGTTTTTTGAGTTAAGAATTAGTGCTTTGTGAAAGAATGATTGGATTGGGCTACACTATGCATGATTGAAACGTGGTATGATGAGATTGATTTTGTTACGTGAAGCTTATGATCATATGCTAGGTTATCAAGCCCTTATAAATAAGGCGGACGCGCTTTATTTGTTGATGGGCGGTGGGCTTTCATAGGCCACGATCAAATCTGCTTATGTTCATTCTGTATTAGTACGAGGCCTTAACTAAAAACTGAACATATTTGTATTTATATCGTCTTATTGCTTTTCAAAAGTATTTAATTTTAAACGAATGAGATCATATAACCTTACTTTGGAAATTAATGATTATGTTATCAAATGAATTTTCAAAGCATGATATTCAGGTACATGGTTTTAAAAATAAATAGTATATGTATTGGTATAATAAATGTGCAAGTAATGATTTAAAAAATGTACATGTAATTTGATATTTCTTTATGTTATTAATTAATTAATAGTAAGTAAGTTGATATTTCTTTTGCTATAAATGTAAATGTCTGTTGAAAATTAATGATTTTATGTCATTTGTGTTTTAAGTAAGTTGTCATCACAACTTTAGTAAGTATGTGAATTGAATTATGAGCACCACTGAGTTTTATACTCAGCGCGTTGATTTTTATCATGCGCAGGTTAAAGACTGTGGTTGCTGCTTGAAGACTAGAAGAATAGCATCAGGGCAGAAGTGACTATTGTGGTAGTAGTAGATTGAGATTTATGTAATTAAGAATTATGGCATGTAAAAGTATTCTATTTTCGGAGGTTGTATTATTTGAATTATAACTTAAGCATGTCACTAGCAATTATGTTGGTGTATATATTCAGAGATCAGCATAAGATTCATTAAATGATTGAATATAAAATATTTCAAGAGAGTTGGTATGATTAGTTTATGTATGATTAGTTATAAGCCTTGATATATATTACTGAAATGCAATTAATTGATGACTATTAAAATGCGTATTGAGGATTTATAATGTTATGAAAATATAGAAGTCCTGTTGTGTTATGATGACTTATTTGGGAATGTTGGGAGTTTTGTACTTTCCACATTTGTTTGGCGAGCTAAAGTCACATGTTTGGCGAGCTCAGTTTTTAACGGGAAATTCTTACAGTATTTCTGTATGATTTTTCCCAATCTATTTTTCAAAAAAAAAAAAAGAATTAGAAAAGAAATGAAATGATTATCTAATAAAAAAAAAACATATTACTTGCTAAACTTGTGAATACTCAATTACTTCTAATTCATAATCTAATTTTATAATTTGTATGTTAAGTTAAGATGGTGTCTCCGACACTGTCGTCGGGTCTCATGGGATTGGACGGAGGGTGTTAGAAGCTGCTTTCGGGAGAATAGGAATCCTTTGACATAAAATAAACCATAGAGTAAAAACTACTTGATGTGCGGAGCCGTAGGGTATGTAAGTCTACGCCGTGTGGAGACAGACATTCATCGAAGTCCTTTTCTTCTTTAATTATATTCAGACCATATGCTCACAGAAGCACAAACCATCTGTTTCTTTCCTGTTCACTCTTTTGTTTCCGTTTCCCTTCTATCTTGGAAGTTTCAAATAACAAAAGTTAATTAACATTTGTTGGTTCTGATTCTTATAGGATATTGGCAATCTTAGCAGAGATTATGTCTGAATCTCTCCATATACATATCAAAGAAGAAGGTAACCACCATGAGAAGGCAAATAGTTCATGGAGGAATAAACTCTTTCAATATTTGGCTCGACGCAAATTGGACAGCAAAGGTCTCTGATTTTGAATTCTCATTATTAGACCCTGAATCCCCAACCTTTATTACACCACTCAAGGATTTACAGGTAAAATTTTCTTTTGATCATGAGTTCTATCAACGAAATTTAAGCACAGAGGACGATGTCTATAGCTTTGGTGAGGTATTATTAGAAATTTTAACAGGAAAAAGAACTCTCTTCAAGCATTATGATCATTTAACACCATCAGATCTTGTGGATAAGGTTTTAGATCCTAGGCTTGGTCCGCTCGAGGATAATAGCGCAGCAGCAGAGTTGGTGGCCCATACTGCAATCCGCTGTGTGAATTTGGAACCGAAAGATAGGGTGAGTATAATTGACATTGTTGCTAATTTGGATCAAGCTTTGTCTTTCTATGATAAGGACATTGTTGAGGATATGGATTTGTTGAAGGATGTGGATTTGCTTGGAGATTTCTCAGATTTCTTAATATGATTGTGGATCTTGCCTTGGAGATTTCTAGATTTCTTAATATGATTAATATATGATTTTAATGTATGTTGTTTACTTGATCTTTGCACCAAACCAAACATCCTTTCTCTTCTTTTAACTTATGGACTTGTTCACTCATTAGCCAACATAAAATACCTCATGTTGTGCTTGATTTAAATATCAAGAAGTAAAAAAATAAAACCAATTCTTTACAAAGCTCTTTGTTGTTCTGGTTAATCTGGGATCTGCTGTCATAGGTGTTGTTGGGTGGAGCAAATATCTTTCTTACTATCAAAACGATTTACAAGGTATAATGTTTGATAAAATGACTGAGAGGAAAGAAAGAAAGAAAAGAAAGAATGGCTAGATACAAGTGAACAGCAATAGTTTTTTAAGAAAAGGAACAAGCCTGCTTTCGGGAGAATTGTAATCCTTTGACATAAAAGACCACAATAATGAGTAAACAACATACTTAATGTCGGGCGCGGAAGTGTATGTTAAGTCTAAGCGCACCTAAGTCTAACTACGGCCGTGTGAGCCCAAGAACATTATCAATCCTTTTCTTTCTTTAATTATAATTCAGACCTATGCCACAGAAGCACACACCATCTGTTTCTTTCCTTATGCTCACAGAAGCACAAACCATCTGTTTCTTTCCTGTTCACTCTTTTGTTTCCGTTTCCCTTCTATCTTGAAGTTTCAAATAACAAAAATTAATTAACATTTGTTGGTTCTGATTCTTATAGGATATTGGCAATCTTAGCGGAGATTATGTCTGAATCTCTGCATATACATATCAAAGAAGAAGGTAACCACCATGAGAAGGCAAATAGGAAGGGAGATCACTTTAAGAATAAGGTTTAACCCTCGAAATCACATCAACAACAATGTTTTGGACAGAATTATTGAGTAGTAACTAACTGTTATTTCTGCTTCCAAACAGGCTACTAATCCGGAAAGCATAGTACTCATTGCAAACTTCATCTTAGAGCTTCCATCAGCTGTTTTTGACCAGTTATCTTCTGTGCATAAGCTCCAATTTGCATTACTTAGTATGTTAATTTCTTTCACAGTTTCGATCATTTCAATCGTTGATCTTGTTTACAAGGGTAGAAAAGAAAGATTTACTTTGATGAAGAGAGGGTTAATACCTTGGTTTTACTACCCATATCCTAATTTAAAACCTTTTGGAACATTTACTGATATTATAGGATTACTTTTTGCTATCTTTCAATGCTTTTTTGCAACAATAGCATATGCCTTTTTGTCTAGGCATTCTGATAATCCTATCAAAGTGTCTATTTTGCCTATAATCTTTGCCTTTGGTTTACTATACTCTAGACTTTCAAGAAATTATTATGCACAAAGAAATCTGAATCCAACCCCATTTGTAAGGAGATTGAATAGAGTACAGGAATTTACTCTAGTTGAACTTGTTACTGCCACCAATAATTTCTCATTAGAGAGTAAGTTGGGAGAAGGGCGTTATGGCGATGTTTACAAAGGAAAACTGGCAGATGGTCGTGAAGTGGCAATCAAGAGAGAAATAACTCAACAGAGAAACAAATCTGAAGATGAACCAAGTGCTTTTGAATCTGAATTGACATTCATATCCAGGCTTCATCACAAACATTTGGTTAGACTTGTTGGATATTGTGAAGAAAAGAATCAAAGATTTATAGTTTATGAGTACTTGAAAAATGGAGATTTATATAGCTATTTGCATGACGAAAACAATATTGACAAGGACCGTATTATGTTCGATTCTTGGAAAATGAGGATCAAGATTGCATTAGAAGCTGCTAGAGGTATTGAATATCTGCATAATTATGCAGTACCACCAATAATTCATAGAAACATCACGTCTCTTAACATTTTGCTTGACGGGAATTGGACTGTAAGAATTTGTGATTTTGTATTTTCATCGGTGGTTCTTGAAACTGAATACAGTGATGGGCAAAAGAAGGCAGCAGCAACGGTTGGATACACTGATCCTGATTACTACTGTGGTAATGTATTAACTGCAAAAAGTGACATATATTCTCTTGGAGTGGTGTTACTAGAACTTTTGACAGGCAAGAAAGCTATATTTAGAGATCATGACGATGGAGATATATCAAGAAGCCTAGTGGATTTTGTAGTGCCTAAAATTTTGGCCAATGAATTGGTCAAGGTTTTGGATCATAGAATAGGTCCACCAGAATCTGCTAATGAAGTAGAGGCAGTGGAAACGATGGCATATGCTGCACTCCATTGTGTAAATTCGGAGAGGAATAACAGGCCAAATATAGCGTTCGTTGTAGCTAATCTGGAACAAGCTTTGTCTCTTAGTCATGGTCGTATGGAGGATTATCTAGCGGGGGAAGGTGAAGGACAGCAGAATGGTGGATCAAATGAGACAAAGCCAAAGCTATTAAACAATGAAACAGAACATCATCAGTGATTCAAATGAAAGCTTAGGAAGTCGAAAAAGCAGATGCATGGGAAGAGGGTTTTGTAATTGAATGCCAAAATTTATAAATTCATTGAGACGTTCTGCTTCTTGTACTTTCTTTCTGTAAATAGAATCCTATTTTCTCCGGCTATAAGATTCTCCGGAGCAGATGCTGCACTTTTTAATACATTTCCATGGGGTAGTAAAACATAGAGTTTGTAGACTTACACTATTCGACAATATTAGTTGTTTATATAACGATTTAAATTAGAAGTGTTAGGTAAAAAAAACTTAAAATGGCAGAAAAAAAATTTATGTTAAACGTTAGAGAACTCTCTCGACCTCTAAAAGTCATGTTACTGAACATTATTATAATTAATAGAGGTGGAGTTTTGATTTGATCAAAACGCTAAAAGCTAAAAGATGTTATAATTGAACTCGAATAAATATGATTTACTCATTGTAACCTTATTGACAAGAGTATATTGCCAATTCCCTGCACCACCAACATACAAACAACACAAAACAGCAAGGCAGATGTTATTATGTCACACATCATTTTGAATCAAATAACCACACACCAGTTCACAATAACATCAAACACATTGAAAGGGCTTCACAAATTTTTACATCTCTTCCTGGGATGCTACATGGCATGGATTGCTAAGAGTCTCAAACAAAATCGAAGCGCATGAGGAGCTTTACTGAATTGTACTTTACTCCCTTCTGGTCATGGAGTGGAATTGCTAGAATCCCTCGACTTATTTCAGACACAGGAAGGCATGTTTGCCCACAAAGTCATCCTTTTCGGACATGTCATATTCATGAACCTCAATCCGAAGCAGAGCCAATTCTGGAATAGTTAATGGGAACTCAAACTCCTCGTTTCACACAGGTATCCAATTATCCTCTAGTGTCTTTGTCTTCTTCATTATAGTATCTGCAGGAACTCCAGCAATCCCTACCTGCACAGAAACAATGATCATTTTTATTAAAATTTTCTTTTCCCAATTTAGCTATCATAATTTCCAAAATCTCGATAAATGAGCATTGATTAAAATCATCTGGTCCAAAGAGGGACAAGCGTCAAAGAGAAAATTGTGCAGGATGATATTATTCAACAATTTGAACTTGTAAAAGTAAAATCGGTAAAAAAGACAAGTAATGAAATCTTCATTCCAATATGACCTTAATGATATTGTTTCATTTGAAACTCATAATGAATATAGCAGATACAGCAAAAGTAAATAGACAAGTAATGAAATCTTCATTCCAATATGACCTTAATGATATTGTTTCATTTGAAACTCATAATGAATATAGCAGATACAGCAAAAGTAAATTAGTAAATAACGCATCACATAACACAAAGCAATTGGTATTTGTATTGCAATTCATCAATACAAACAAAATGTAGCGTTGGAAATGCAGTCATTAGATAGCCCAAACCGTGTACTTACCTCTTTCTTCAAGCCCCCATACCGGCATGATTTGGTCACCACAAGTCTGCAAGTTTCAATACATTGTCCTCGATGACATCTTTCATGGCAACTATGCAAACCACAGCTCAACATCTTATCTCAAGTACCACCACAAAGCGGAACAGCAACATCACAAGGCCTTCCTTCATACACTCTCTTACCACAAGGACAGGTCCTCTTCCCTTGCAGAGGACACTGTCCACACTCCCCTGAATGACAACCTCTTTCACAAACATGTTTCCCACATCCCAACAATTTCTCGCAAGGATTATCACATTGAAATTCCCTCTCACAACACTCCCTCTCCTCCTTCTTCCTTCCACAATGGCATCCATAAACGCTACGAGAGTGACACGGAGGACAATCTCCTTCATGGCATATCTCTTTACACCTATGAATCTTACAATCTAATAATTTGTTACAGGAATTGTGACAGGAAAACGATTTGAATCCACAACGTCTAACATCTTCAATTTTTCCACAAAAACACTTAGCTTTCACAAACTTAGGGCAAGAAGGGCACGGCCCAGGGTGGCGAAGCAACAAGCAGAAATGGCCACAATTATTCTTCAATGGACGTTCACAGATTTCACCACATGAATGTGGCAAAATCCACGGGTTATCACTCGGAGGATTTTCGAGTTTACCGCAAAAACAGAAGTAATTTTTAGGGATTTGAGACTTGCTAGTAATTTTTAGGGATTTGAGACTTGCTATGTTCTGATCTGCATTTAGGACAATTCCAGGTGGAAGTTTCCGCCGCTTTTTCCGCCGAGATAGGGAGGCGCGTGGATACACGGTAGGCGGAGAGATCGGAGGCTTGTCGGGCCCAAGACTGGATGCAATGGAAGTGGAAAACGGCGTAACAGAGGGAAGTGCAGGACCAAGTGGGATCGGAAGGTTTGATCCGTTCGAGGCATATGAGACAAGATAAAGCGCCGGATGAGGAAGATGTGAGAAATGATTGGATCTTGGAGAGGTCGTGACGTGTTGGTGATGAGGTAGCGGATTGTAATTGGCTTTTGGTGTGCTCGAAGTAAGATTTGAACATGGAGTTTGAGTAGTCTGCGTGGCGGTGGGATTCGGTGTGTGAGTGATCGGAATCGGAATCTGAGTCGGAGAAAGGTGGCTGGTCGTTGGCGGAGGACATTTTTGGAATTTTGGGAAGTAACGCGAAGCGGGTTGAGTTGCGTTGGGTTTAGGTGGGATAGAGTTTTAAATTTGTAACAGGGTTATAAATTTCTCTAGAAATCAAATTTGTAACAGTTGTAAATTTCCTAAAAAATATCACATAAAATCACTAAAATTAAAAAAATAAAATAAAAATGTATAAAATTTAAAATTTTGTATTAGAATTACAAAAGTTTAAAACTAAAAGATTATGTAGATAAGGATAATGAAGAAGAAGAATTATTATTTTGTTTTGAAAACAAAGTTATTGATAATTTTTTTTTTATACTTGCATAAGGTATCGAGGCCCATGTATATTTAATGGTTGGTCTGGGAAGAGTTTACATTGCGAAAAATCGAATTCATAACCTAAGCCATTGTGATCAACACTGCAAGTGCTTTTTGCCGCTGAAATACCTCGTTCGAGTTAGTTATTGTTAATTTATATTTTTGTCATAAGATGGTTTGGTCTAGTTGGTTTAGTTGTGATTTATTCTAATAGATTTAAACTAACATTGAAAGAAACATTTTCTAATTATTTTTTTATTATTGTCAACTAGATGTGATCTCATTAGTCTTCTCATGTATGAGAAGAGGGGAAGGTCACAAGAGTTTATTAAGATTGCAGTGTTATTTCGATCTATTAAACATCCTAATGAATAAAAATAAATCATTACATATAAATATTTTACATGAAATCACAGTTTTGCTGGATAAAAATCTCTTATTAATATTGAAGACACGAGTTGGATTGAAGCAAGAAGCTTCTAATGGTCAAATATGAAATGAATTTACCAATCCACACTATATTTTGGTAAAGGTGGGATTGATAAACACATTTTCTATATAATTAACATCTCTAATGCTCAATAAATTATACATAACAAAAGTCCACACTCGCCTGGCTTAATCATTTTCAGTTTGCTTGTTATTTGTATCATCATTCGTCCATAATTCACACAAAAGCAAAATAATCTGAAAAAAGCAAAATAATTTTAAAAAATTAAAATTTTATTGAAAAAATAAACTAGCTAATTAATTAAAAAGATCTAATCAAAATATAAATAAGGAAAAGGATGTTTCTTTGACCTATTAGCTTTGATCCTCCCATTACTGATTAAAATATGCTATGAACAGTTATGTAATTTGTAGCAATTAATATTTCATACTAATTAATTATTCTCCAATATCTCACTCTTTTCATATTTAGCTGTATGGGTTATTTCCATTTTTTTATTATTTTTTTTTTTGTTTTATGTGTGTATATGGTATAACAATAAATAGATTAAGTAAAGAAAATTCATGATTTCAACTCTTCTATAGTCAAATATGGCGCTTTTGCCCAATATCAGACACCAAATTCTGTCGATAATAAAATTAGTAGAATTGTTGAATATGCTTTTACCTTGACTATACTTTAAATTTTGGTCATTTTTAATTCTGTCGATAATAAAATTAGTAGAATTGTTGAATATGCTTTTACCTTGACTATACTTTAAATTTTGGTCATTTTTTTTTATTTTTTACTCTTCTTCATGTCCAAATTGGTCCACACGGGGAGAGAGAGAGTCGTAACGTACCTACTAAGTTTATTGCTTTTTATTTCTTTATATGCTAATTCAAATATGTAGGAAACATGTATTCATGTTTTCACATTTACATTAAGTTATAATATAATAATATAACCACTTAGGTTTGCTGGTTTGTTTTTCTTTTTATACTAATCTTTCTAAGCAGTGAGGAAAGAGAACTGCTTTTGGTTTTGTGGTTCTCCTGCGAGATGATGAGAAACAGACCTGAATCCGAGTCCATACCTGTTGAAGACGAAAATGACGATGAAATTGGCCATAATTTCAATTGGAAGGTAAAGTAAATACCTATAAATTTTATCAGTTATACATATATGTGCGCGCGCGTGTTTCTTTCAGCGTCTAATATATATGTATATTGGTATTTTCCAACAGGCTATTACTCTGGAGCAATATTTCCTTGTCGCGGACTGCATCTTCAAGCTTCCATCTGTTGTTTTTGGTCAGCTATCTTCCCCGGAACACCCTGGCTATGGATTGCTTAATATGGTACTATCTTACATAGCCTTCATCATTTCAATCATTTTCCTAGTTCGCGAGCGTCGACAAGGACCAGTTGCATTGAGATGGAGGTGTTTACCAAGAACATCTGCTGATATTGAATTCATTTGTGGTATAGCTGAATGTATTATTACATCAATAGCATATTTTAGGTATTTGTCTAGACATGTCGATGATCCTATCAGGATAAATGTCTGGCCTACTGTTTTTGCCTTTGTTGGATTGTACTGTAATTTCTCAGCAACTGCCAATCTTTCCCAAAGACCACGAAGTGTCCTACCGCTGACAAGGCAGTCCACCCCACAGACTACTGTGTCAATCCCACCACCACCACTGAGTACTGAGTCAATCCAACCACCACAGAATACCATGTCAACCGCACTTTTAAGCCCGCCTATCCCACAGAATAGGGAGACAACCTTTACTCTGGCCGAGCTAATTGATGCCACCAATAACTTCTCACCAAATAACAAGATTGGTAAAGGAAGCTTTGGTGTTGTTTATAGGGGCAAATTAGCTGATGGTCGTGAAGTTGCAATTAAAAGAGGGAAGACTGGTAGCTGGTTTCAAGAGGACGAGAATGGAAATAGTAGCTGGTTTCAAGAGGACGAGAATGGATTTAAATCTAAATTAGCGGTTTTGTCAAGACTTTGCCTTGAGAATTTGGTTGGGCTTGTTGGATATTGTGTAGACAGCGGCGAGAGACTTTTAGTTTATGAGTATATGAATAACAGCAGTTTGTCCTTCCATTTACATGAAGAGAATAGTAAGCAGTTCAATTTTTGGAAAATGAGGATAAAGACTGCATTAGATGCTGCTAGAGGAATCGAGTATCTTCACAAATGTGCAGACCCACCGACAATTCACGGAGATATCAGATCTTCTAATATTTTGCTCGATTTAAACTGGAAAGCAAGAGTTTCTGATTTTGGATCGTCATTGATGGATCGTGACTCTCAAAGCTTTTGGGATCGTCATTTGATGGATCGTGACTCTTCAAAGCTATTAAGATTTTATTGGTTATGAATTCAAATTACTAACCACAAGACACGGATTGTCTATAGCTTTGGTGTGGTATTATGTGTGGTATTATTAGAACTACTGACCGGAAGAAAAGCTAAATTTCAAGATGATTATGAACCAGGAAAGGCAAGAGAACTTGTGTATTTTATAAACACAGTTATTAAGAACTATAAGGCACTTTTTTGGGGTTGCCTGGCCAGTGCTTGATGATACGGACGAACTTAATAATAAGGTTTTGAATAAGGCTTTGGGTAGGGTTTTAGATCGGGCGGTTGCCCTGCCAGGGCCTGATGATAAAGACGCGCTGGAGTTGGTGTTCAAGACTGCACTTCGATGTGTGAATTCCATGCCAACTATGACTAACATCGTTGCTAATTTGGAGCAAGCTCTCTCATAGTGTTATTCTATGCCAAGATTTGCAAAGATTGCTGGTAGAAGGCCACAAACATAAATTTCATTGAACGAAGAAACATATTGTAGTTTTTTTTTTTTTTTTTTTTTTTTTTTTTTTTTTTGAAGAGAAGAACATATTGTAGTTTTTTTTTTTTTTTTTTTTTTTTGAAGAAGAAGAACATATTGTAGTTGATAAGGAGGATGTTTCAACTTAATGTATTTTCTCTTCTTAAACAATGTTAGGACATTCCCGTTGCAGTTTCCTATAAAATTTAGCTTTCAAAATCGACTTCACAAGGATTTGCAAGTAAAGTGTTTGATAACATGCTTCAAAGAAACAAGCTATTTAAAGTTAATTTTTAAAGTAATTTTATTAACTTACCAGTAAATCTTTTGATAAAATGCATGCCTGAACAAAATAATAAAGACATTAGTTGGATCACATAAATAATTTTCTACCCCTTGGAGCTTCAAAAAGCTTTAATGGTAGCTTTCTTTGTCATGTCCCACTTGTCAAAATGCGAAATAACAACTCATCGAAAATTTTCTCTTGAAGAGGGGAGGGTCAGGGGAAAGTGAAAAATAAGACGAGATTAAAAAAATATCAAAGCATTGATTTTGTCTAAATATAAAATAATTGAAGGTTGGTGACAAAGTTAAAATAATATTCACATAATAATTTTAGAAAGCTATGGAGAGTTTTGTTTTGTTGTAAAGCTTTATGTTGTTTAAATTTGTAAAATTCATTTAAAATTTTGAGTAATTCATTTATTCAAAACGAGGTATTACAAATACTTAAATTTCAATTTATGTAAATAAAAATAAATTGGTGAAAATAACTGTGGTCCAAAGGATTCAAATTCGAAACGTCTCACTTGTTACACAAGTGAAAAAACTAATCAAATCACTCTTCACATAATTCGAGATCTCTCGCTCCTCAGATAACTTCCATTGCTACAATATATAACCTCTACTATATCAACTAATATGGCTAGATAGAGCTCTAAACTAACAACAATTATTGTTTAAATGGTAGTGCCTGCTTGAACAACAATTGTGAATTTGTGATTGCATGATTTTTTTTTTTTTTTTTTTTTCATTAATATTATTTACTCTAACATAAATTTCTGGGATTAAGTTTCAGAATTTATTTTTGATTCAGTCCTAATATGAATTTTTAGGATACAATTAAAATGATAAGACGGGGCAAATGCAACTTTTCACATGCATATACATTCAGTCCTAATATGAATTTTTAGGATACAATTAAAATGATAAGACGGGGCAAATGCAACTTTTCACATGCATATACAGTGCATTTTAGCTTTCAAAATCTGCTCTTGAATGATTTACAAGCCGAGTGTTTGACAAAATGCATGAAAGAAACAACAACAGCAACTGGTTAAAAAAAAAAAAGATAAGCTGCTTGAATATTTCTGGGAGATAAAGATACAACAGAAAAAAAAAATTTTAATGTGCGGAAGTATATTCGTAGTAAGGTTATAAATATATTATATCAAATACTGTATATGCTAAGTGTAGCCAGCTTTCTTGCAAATCCTTTTCACTGTAATTTATATTTGGAGCATATGACTGCTTGTTTCTTTCCTATTCGAGTCTTTGTTTCCATATTTCCCTCTATTAGTATTATTGACAACAAAAACTAATAAACATTTTTGGGTTTGGTCTGTATAGGAGATTAACAATCCTAGCAGAGAGTTATGTTTGAATCTCTCCATATACATGTCAACCAAGATGATAATGGCAGTAAGAAGGCAAACGACATGGCGAATCGCTTTGATAATAAGGTTTAATCCTACAAAACACAACAACAACAATAATGTTTTGGACAGAATTATTGAATAGTAACTAATTGTTCTTCTGCTTCCAAACAGGTTGCGATTCCGGAACGCATAGTCCTCATTGCGAACTTCATCTTGGAGCTTCCATCAGCTGTTTTTGACCAGTTATCTTCTGCGCGTAAGCCCCAATATGCATTACTTAGCATGTTAATTTCTTTCACAGTCTTGATCATTTCAATCATTGATCTTGCTTACAAGGGTAGAAAAGAAAGAGTTAAATTGATGAAGAGAGGGTTAATACCTTGGTTTTATTGCCCATATCCTAATTCAAAGCCTTTTGGAACTTTTATTGCCATATCCTAATTCAAAGCCTTTTGGAACATTTCCTGATATTACAGGATTAGTTTGTTCAATCTTTCAAATGCGTTTTTTTGCATTAACAATAAAATATGCCTGGTTGTGTAGGCCATTCTGAAATAATCCAATCAAAAGTGTCCATTTGGCCTATAATCTTTGCTTTTGTCTATTATATTATAGACTTTTCTGGAAATTTTTATGGCACAAAAGAAAGTCTGAATGTCTAACCCCAATTTGTAAGGAAGAATTGAATACAGCATAGAGGAATTTTGCTCTACTTGAGTCTTGTTTTACTCGGCCACCAATAATTTCCGGCTCATTGGCAGAACAAGATTTTGGAGAAGCGTGTTTTGATGATATTTATAAGGAAAACTATCAGAAATGGTCCCGTGAAGTGGTGATCAGAGAGAAGACCTTTCAGAAGGAACAAATTTGAAGAGGAACTAAAGTGTCTTTGAATCTGAATTGACATTCTGTCAAGGCTTCATCACAAACATTTGCTCAGGCTTGTCGGGTATGTGAAGAAGAGAATGAAATGGCTTTTAGTTTTTTTATGACTACTTATAAAATGGATCTTGTATCTAGCAATTGTGCATGGCAAAAACAAATATTGAGAAGAATAGTCTGTATTTCAGTTTTGGAAAATGATTAGGAATCAAGAATTGCATTAGAAGCTGCTAGAAGGGATTGAATATCTGCAACAATATTGCGGTAAACCCCAAAATATTCATTGGAAAACATTCAAGTCCTTGTAACATTTTACTTGACGACAATTGGACCAGTAAGAGTTTTCCTAATTTTCGGTTTTCATAATGGTCCTGAAAGTAACTGCGGTAGCAGGCCTTAAAAAGGAAGGCAACCAGGGAGGTGGAATGCAACAGATCTGAAGTACTAAGTGGAAATGTATTACTGCAAAAAGTGACATTATTTCCTCTGGTGTGGTGTTACTAGAACTTTTGACTTAGGCAAGAAAGCTATACTGAAGGACGAAATGTAATGGAAGATATTATCAAAAGGTCTAGTGGATTTTGGTGTGCCTAAAATTTTTTGGACCAATGAATTGTCAGGTTTTGGGATCATAGGATGATCCTGCCAGAACCTGGTAAATGAACTAGAGGCAGTAAAGAAATGATGGCGGTATAACTGCAGCTTTCAATTGAGTGTATCATTAGAAAGGGAAATAACAGGCCAAACATAACAAGTGTCCGTAGCTTATATCTGGAGCAAAGCTTTGTCTCTAGCCATGGTAGTATGGAGGATTTATCAAACGACTGGGAAAGTGAAGGGACAGCAGAATGGTAGATCAGAAGAGACAGAGCCCAGAGCTAACCAAACAATTGAAACAAGAAGACATCAATGACTTAATTTGAATGTTTTAAAAAGACAAAAGCTAATGGAATGGGAAAGAGGTTTTTTTTGTAATTGAATGCACAAATTTCCAATTTCCATTGGCAAGTTTTACTTCTTGTACTTTTGCTTTTGTAGGATTCAGTTCCAAAAATGGAATTAATAGAACAAAATAAATAGTTTTCAGTTTTTAAATATATTTCCACTGGAATATGCATTTTGAATGGAGCTATCAACTTGGCGTATTTAGGATATACCAAGTTAAAAACAGCTGAGACTCAGATGAATCCATTAGTCCACCATCCATAATTAATGCAATTTTTAGGCTTTCCACAAAAATTGCCTCTTAGAAGAACTTACCAATTGAGTGGTTTGATAAAATGCCTGATTAAATAAATAATGACACGTAATGCAACAGCAATGGTAAGACCGGTGTATGCTAAGTCCTATGCCGTGTGGAGCCCAGAAGCTAAATCGCAAATTCTTTTCCCACTGGAAATTTAATATTTAGAGAACAATGACCACAGACCCACCTGTTGCTTTCCTATTCTACTTTTTGTTTTCCATCTCCCTTCTATTATTGAAGTTTTCAAATAACAATATTAATCCAAACATTTATTTGCGTTTGTGTTCAGGGAAATATGGTCTGAATCTCTACAGTATACATGTCAAAGAAGAATGATAATAGGAGTGCAGATGGTGGGGTCATCCGCTTTGGATAATTAAGGTTTAACCCCCTAAAAACAATATTTTGGTAAGAATTATTTTACAGTAACTAATTATTGTTTTCTGTTTCCAAACAGGTTACTACTCTGGAATGGATAGTCTCGTTGGATAAGTTCATCTTAGAGCTTAACCGATCAGCTGAGTTTTTGACCAGTTTATTTCTGTGCATATAGCCCCCAATATGCATTACTTAGTATGTTAAATTTCTTTCACAGTCTTGATCATTTCAAATCATGGAATTCTTTGCTTACAAGGGTAGAAAAGAAAAGAGTTGCTCCTCTGATGAAGAGACGACGGTTAATCCCTTGGTTTTTATTAACCTCATATCCTATATTCAAGCCTTTTGGGAAACATTTCCTGGATATTACAGGATTAGTTTGTTCTATCTTTCAATAAACATCCCATATCCTAATTCAAAGCCTTTTGGAACATTTCCTGATATTACAGGATTAGTTTGTTCTATCTTTCAATACATTTTTGCAACAATAACATATGCCTTGTTGTCTAGGCATTCTGATAATCCTATCAAAGTGTCTATTTGGCCTATAATTTTTGCCTTTTGTCTATTATATTCTAGACTTTCTGGAAATTATTTTGCACAAAGGAAACTGAATCCAACCCCACTTGTAAAGAGGTTGAGTAGAACAGAGGAATTTACTTTACTTGAGCTTCTTATTGCCACCAATGATTTCTCATTACATAACAAGGTTGGAGAAGGGTCTACTTTTAATGTTTATAAGGGAAAATTATCAGATGGTCGTGAAGTGGCAATCAAGAGAGAACACATAAATCAACAGAGGAACAATTTTGGAGAGGAGCCAAGCACTTTTGAATCTGAGTTGGCATTCTTGTCCAGGCTTCATCACAAACATTTGGCTAGGCTTTTTGGATACTGTGAAGAGAAGAAAGAAAGGTTTTTAGTTTATGAGTACTTGAAAAATGGATCTATATATAACCATTTGCATAACAAAAACAACATTGAGAAGAATAGTATTGTGCTCAGGTCATGGAAAATGAGGATCAAGATTGCATTAGAAGCTGCTAGAGGGATTGAATATCTGCACAATTATGCAGTCCCACCGATAATTCATAGAAACATCAAGTCTTCTAACATTTACCTTGACGGGAACTGCACGGTAAGAGTTTCTGATTTTGGATTTTCAGTGTGTCCTGAAACTGGATGCTTTAACAGACTAAAGCACGCAGCAGGAATGGTGGGATATACTGATCCTGAGTCCTACAGTAGTCAAAATGTATTAACTGCAGAAAGTGATGTATATTCTCTTGGCGTGGTGTTACTAGAACTTTTAACAGGCAAGAAACCTATTTTTGAGGATGATGATGACAATGGAGATATACCAAGAAGTCTAGTAGATTTTGTAGTGCCTAAAATTTTGGCTAATGAAATACTCAAAGTTTTGGATCAAAGGATGTGTCCACCAGAATCTGCCAATGAAGTAGAGGCAGTGGAAAAGATGGCATATACTGCACTTCATTGTGTAAATTCAGAAGGAAACAGCAGGCCAAAAATAACAAGCGTTGTAACTAATCTGGAGCAAGCTTTGTCCCTAAGTCATAGTAGTACGGAGGATTATCGAAGCTGGGAAGGTGAAGGACAGCAGAGTGGTAGATCCGAAGAGATAAAGCTAAAGCTACCAGACAATTAAATTAGAAGTTTCAGGAAGTCAATAGAGCTTGTGGATGGGAAGAGGTTTTTGTAACTGAATGTGCAAAATTTCTAATTTCATTGGGAAGTTTCTACTTCTTTTACTTTACTTTTGTAATGACAATCCTTATCTTCTTCTCTAGCTAAATATTTAAAATTTATCATAAACTTGATGTTACATCAGAAGCTTAAGCCTCAAGAGGAAAGAGGGAAAAGACTTATAACCCAACTCCTAAATTCAAATTCAAATCCTTAGCAAAATAGCACTACAAGATTACCATTGCATCAAGACCACATGTGGAGATCTTAATGTCACTGCTTCCTCATTTTCATTTTCATTTTCATCTTAACTGAGATAACATTTTCAGTGATGAGCTCCTGAACGTTTCTAGTAATATGCATTTTGATGGAGCTATCAAATTGCGACTTTAGGATACAATTAAAAAGCTTAGACTGGGATGAATCCAATTAGTCACATCCAAGTTGAGTGTTCGATAAAATGTTTGAAAGAAATAAATAACAACACAAGTCAACAAGACTGGTGTATGTTAAGTCTATGCCGTGCGGAGTCAGACGTTGACGCAAATCCTTTTCTATTGTAATCCTTTTCTATTGTAATTCGTATTTTGAGCATGTAACCACCTGTTGATAAAATCTGAGGAAAGTTATCCGCTTTTGGTTTTGCAGTTCTTCTGCGAGATGAATAATAGAGTGAGTAACCGTGCTTTTGGTTTTGCAGTTCTTCTGCGAGATGAATAATAGAGTGAGTGCTTTTGGTTTTGCAGTTCTTCTGCGAGATGAATAATAGAGTGAGTAACCGTAGGGCTGAATCCGTGTCCATAGATGTTGAAGATGATGTTGGCGATAAGAAATATCGTACTTTCAATCGAAAGGTAAATATTAGGAAGACAAGATTTAATTTACATATGCATGTTATGAATGAATATGTTCATTAATTTGTTCTTTCAGCAACTAAATATATATGGATATTCCTATTTTCAAATAGGTTACTGTTCTGGAAAGGTTTATCCTCGTTGCCAACTTCTTCTTGGAGGTTCCTTCTGCTGTTTTTGATCAGCTATCTTCTGTGCGTAAGCCTCATTATGCATTGATGAGTATGTTATTTTCTTTCATAGTCTTAATCTTTTCGACCATTGACCTTGTCTACAAGGCTCGAAAAGAAAGAGTTACCTTCATCTGGAGGGGTTTGATGATTCCATGGTTTTATTATCCAAATCACAAGCGTTTTGGAACATTTACTGATATTAATGGATTAGTTTGTGGGATATTCCAATGTTTTTTTACATCAATAGCATACGGCTTTTGTTCTAGGCATCTTGATAATCCTATCAACGTAAATGCATGGCCTATGATCTTTGCCTTGGGTGTATTATACTGTAGATTTTCAGTGAGTCCTCCAGAAGGGCAGCCAGTCCCACAGAATGGGGAGTCAACCCCACTAATTATAAGGGGACCGAACAGGGGAATTTACTTTGGCTGAGCTTACTGCCGCCACCAAAAATTTCTCAGCCGAGAATGAAATTAGTGCAGGGAGCTCTATTGTTGTTTACAGAGGCAAACTAGGTGATGGTGGTGAAGTTGCAGTTAAAAAGAGGCAAAAGAAATTTCAAGAGAAGGAGAAAGCATTAGTAGCATTCTTGTCAAGGCTTCAACACATACATTTGGTTAGCCTTCACCACAAACATTTAGTTAGGCTTATTGGGTACTGTGATGATAGAGATTATAGCCTTTTAGTTAATGAGTACATGGAAAATGGAACTTTGTTTGACATTTTACACGGCACAGAGAACAATAATGTCATCAGATTTTTTAAAATGAGGATAAAGATTGCATTAGATGCTGCTAGAGGAATTGAGTATCTTCACAATCATGCTGATCCACAAATAGTTCATGGAGGAATAAACTCTTCCAATATTTGGCTAGACGCAAATTGGACAGCAAAGGTCTCTGATTTTGAATTCTCATTATTAGACCCTGAATCCCCAACCTTTATTGCCCCACTCAAGGATTTACAGGTGAAATTTTCTTTTGATCATGAGTTCTATCAACGAAATTTAAGCACAGAGGACGATGTCTATAGCTTTGGTGAGGTATTATTAGAAATTTTAACAGGTAAAAGAACTCTCTTCAAGGATTATGATCATTTAACGCCATCAGATCTTGTGGATAAGGTTTTAGATCCTAGGCTTGGTCCGCTCGAGGATAATAGAGCAGCAGCAGAGTTGGTGGCCCATAGGCTTGGTCCAATGGAGGATAATAGACCAGCAGCAGAGTTGGTGGCCCATACTGCACTGCAATCCGCTGTGTGAATTTGGAACCGAAAGATAGGCCGAGTATAATTGACATTGTTGCTAATTTGGAGCAAGCTTTGTCTTTCTATGATAAGGACATTGTTGAGGATATGGATTTGTTGAAGGATGTGGATTTGCTGGAGATTTCTCAGATTTCTTAATATGATTAATATATGATTTTATGTATGTTGTACTTGATCTTTGCACCAATCCAACATCCTTTGCTCTTCTTTTACTTATGGGACTTTGTTCACTCCATTAGCCAACATAAATACCTCATGTTGTGCTTGAATTTTAATATCAAGAAGTAAAAAAATACAATATCTTTACAAAGCTCTTTGTTGTTCTGGTTAATCTGGGGATCTGCTGTCCATAGGTGTTGTTGGGTGGAGCCAATATCTTCTTACTATCAAACGATTTACAAGTATAATGTTTGATAAAATGACTGAGACTCTTCTTTTACTTATGGGACTTTGTTCACTCCATTAGCCAACATAAATACCTCATGTTGTGCTTGAATTTTAATATCAAGAAGTAAAAAAATACAATATCTTTACAAAGCTCTTTGTTGTTCTGGTTAATTTGGGGATCTGCTATCCATAGGTGTTGTTGGGTGGAGGCAATATCTTCTTACTATCAAACGATTTACAAGTATAGTGTTTGATAAAATGACTGAAAGAAAGAAAGAAATAAATAAATGCTAAAGATACAAGTCAACAGCAATAGTTTTAAGAAAAAGGACAAGCTGCTTTCGGGAGATTAGTAATCCTTTGACATAAAAGACACCATAGAGTAAAAACTACTTAAGGCGTGGTAGTGTATGTATGTCTACGCGCGCCTAAGTCTACGCCGTGTGGAGCCAGACATTCATCGAAGTCCTTTTCTTCTTTAATTATATTCAGACCTATGCTCACAGATGCACAAACCATCTGTTTCTTTCCTGTTCACTCTTTTGTTTCCGTTTCCCTTCTATCTTGAAGTTTCAAATAACAAAAATTAATTAACATTTGTTGGTTCTGATTCTTATAGGATATTGGCAATCTTAGCTTGGTTCTGATTCTTATAGGATATTGGCAATCTTAGCGGAGATTATGTCTGAATCTCTGCATATACATATCAAAGAAGAAGGTAACCACCATGAGAAGGCAAATAGGAAGGGAGATCACTTTAAGAATAAGGTTTAACCCTCGAAATCACATCAACAACAATGTTTTGGACAGAATTATTGAGTAGTAACTAACTGTTATTTCTGCTTCCAAACAGGCTACTAATCCGGAAAGCATAGTACTCATTGCAAACTTCATCTTAGAGCTTCCATCAGCTGTTTTTGACCAGTTATCTTCTGTGCATAAGCTCCAATTTGCATTACTTAGTATGTTAATTTCTTTCACAGTTTCGATCATTTCAATCGTTGATCTTGTTTACAAGGGTAGAAAAGAAAGATTTACTTTGATGAAGAGAGGGTTAATACCTTGGTTTTACTACCCATATCCTAATTTAAAACCTTTTGGAACATTTACTGATATTATAGGATTACTTTTTGCTATCTTTCAATGCTTTTTTGCAACAATAGCATATGCCTTTTTGTCTAGGCATTCTGATAATCCTATCAAAGTGTCTATTTTGCCTATAATCTTTGCCTTTGGTTTACTATACTCTAGACTTTCAAGAAATTATTATGCACAAAGAAATCTGAATCCAACCCCATTTGTAAGGAGATTGAATAGAGTACAGGAATTTACTCTAGTTGAACTTGTTACTGCCACCAATAATTTCTCATTAGAGAGTAAGTTGGGAGAAGGGCGTTATGGCGATGTTTACAAAGGAAAACTGGCAGATGGTCGTGAAGTGGCAATCAAGAGAGAAATAACTCAACAGAGAAACAAATCTGAAGATGAACCAAGTGCTTTTGAATCTGAATTGACATTCATATCCAGGCTTCATCACAAACATTTGGTTAGACTTGTTGGATATTGTGAAGAAAAGAATCAAAGATTTATAGTTTATGAGTACTTGAAAAATGGAGATTTATATAGCTATTTGCATGACGAAAACAATATTGACAAGGACCGTATTATGTTCGATTCTTGGAAAATGAGGATCAAGATTGCATTAGAAGCTGCTAGAGGTATTGAATATCTGCATAATTATGCAGTACCACCAATAATTCATAGAAACATCACGTCTCTTAACATTTTGCTTGACGGGAATTGGACTGTAAGAATTTGTGATTTTGTATTTTCATCGGTGGTTCTTGAAACTGAATACAGTGATGGGCAAAAGAAGGCAGCAGCAACGGTTGGATACACTGATCCTGATTACTACTGTGGTAATGTATTAACTGCAAAAAGTGACATATATTCTCTTGGAGTGGTGTTACTAGAACTAACTGCAAAAAGTGACATATATTCTCTTGGAGTGGTGTTACTAGAACTTTTGACAGGCAAGAAAGCTATATTTAGAGATCATTACGATGGAGATATATCAAGAAGCCTAGTCGATTTTGTAGTGCCTAAAATTTTGGCCAATGAATTGGTCAAGGTTTTGGATCATAGAATAGGTCCACCAGAATCTGCTAATGAAGTAGAGGCAGTGGAAATGATGGCATATACTGCACTCCATTGTGTAAATTCGGAGAGGAATAACAGGCCAAATATAGCGGGCGTTGTAGCTAATCTGGAACAAGCTCTGTCTCTTAGTCATGGTCGTATGGAGGATTATCTAGCCGGGGAAGGTGAAGGACAGCAGAATGGTGGATCAAATGAGACAAAGCCAAAGCTATTAAACAATGAAACAGAACATCATCAGTGATTCAAATGGAAGTTTAGGAAGTCGAAAATGGATGGGAAGAGGGTTTTGTAATTGAATGCCAAAATTTATAAGTTCTTTGAGATTTTCTGCTTCTTGTACTTTCTTTCTGTAAATAGAATCCTATTTTCTCCAGCTATAAGATTCTCTAAAAGTGTTCATTTAAAAAAAACTGTTTATATAACAATTTAAATTAAAAGTATTCAGTAAAAAAAACTGTTTAATTTAAAATGGCAAAAAAAAAAAGAAAACTATATTAAAATATTAAACACTAAAGAGCTCTCTCAACCTCTAAAAGTTATGTTACTGAATACCATAATTAATAAAGATAAAGTTTTGATTTGATCAAAATACTAAAAGCTAGCTCAACAACTTTGCCGAATAGGCTTTAAAGAAAAAGACGTTATAATTGAACTAGAATAAATATGATTTACTCATTGTAACCTTATTTACAAGAGTATATTGCCAATTCCCTGCACCACCAACATACAAACAACACAAAACAGCAGGGCAGATGTTATTATGTCACACATCATTTTTAATCAAATAACCACACACCAGTTCACAATAAATTAACCACACAACCCAGTTCACAATAACATTCAAAACACATTGAAAGCGGCTCACAGAATTTTACATCTCTCCTGGGATGCTACATGGCATGGTTGCTAAGCAGTCTCAAAACAAATCGAAAGCGCATGGAGGAGCTTTACTGAATTGTACTTTACTCCCTTCCTGGTCATGGAGTGGAATTGCTCGAATCCCTCGACTTTATTCAGACAAGGAAAGGGCATGGTTTTGACCACAAATCATCCTTTTCGCGACATGTCATATTTCAATGAACCTCAATCCCGAAGCAGAGCCCTCCAATTTCCGGACAGTTAATGAGGAACTCAAAACTCCTTCATTTTCCCACCACAGTATCAATTATCTCTAGTGTCTTTTGTTTCTTCTTCCATGATATAGTATCTGCAGGAACTCCAGCAATCCCTTACCTGCACCAGGAGAAACAATGATCACTTTTTTGATTAAAATTTTCTCTTTCCCCAATTTAGCTATCATAATTTTCCAAATCTCAGATAAAATGAGCAATTGGATTAAAAATCATCTTGCTGTCCAAAGAGGGACAAGCGTTCAAAAGAGAATAATTGTGCTAGGATCGATATTCTTGCAACAATCGAGGGACGAGGGAACCAAGAAAAAATTAATCTGTACCCTAGCATAAAAATCATGTGGAGAATATGCACTCCCTTCTGGTCATGGAGTGGAATTGCTCGAATCCCTCGACTTATTTCAGACACAGGAAGGCATGTTTGACCACCAAAGTCATCCTTTTCGGACATGTCATATTCATGAACCTCAATCCGAAGCAGAGCCAATTCTGGAACAGTTAATGGGAACTCAAACTCCTCATTCCACACAGGTATCCAATTATCCTCTAGTGTCTTTGTCTTCTTCATTATAGTATCTGCAGGAACTCCAGCAATCCCTACCTGCACAGAAACAATGATCATTTTTATTAAAATTTTCTTTCCCCAATTTAGCTATCATAATTTCCAAAATCTCGATAAATGAGCATTGATTAAAATCATCTGGTCCAAAGAGGGACAAGCGTCAAAGAGAAAATTGTGCAGGATGATATTATTCAACAAGAGGGGACGGGGAAAAGAAAATTAATCTGCTTACCCTAGCATAAAAATCAGGTGGAGAATATGCGTCAAAATGAGTGCGCTTGAAATCATAGTACCATCCTTCTCCCATGTATACTTTCACCTTTTGAGCAACAAGAAAATTACGATTATGCATCGACACAAAAGAAAAAGTTGACATTCTAAGGAAAGTTGAGAAGAAGGCCTAGAAAACAACGTTGAAATAAAATAATCTAGCAATGTGAACATAAAGCAATCACCTTCAAGGTTGTCTTCACAGGCAACTTAGCCCTTGGATCAAATACCTCACCATTTGAATTAGGCTTCAACAGAAAATCTGGTTTCTTCACATAACCGCACCCACCATTGGCTTTGAACATTCCATGCATCAACCAAAGTGATCTTCCATATCCCTGTCAACATTAAATCACTCTTTAGCATTGTTGATGTACACAAATAAAATTAAACAACAAAGATGTTGTGCAAAATGCTTTCATGAACCAGCATTTTGAAGAAACTATGATAAAACTTAATCCAAATAAGGATCTAAGAATACAAAACCTGCATATTGAAAGCAACCATCTGAGCTCCATGCATCCACCCAATCAATGGGTTATAGTTAGAGGAGTCAACACGAATACCCTTGGGGTACACCCGAAGTATGTTCCGCTGGGTAAACCTACGAGCCAAGGAAATCATCAGACAATAAAGATCTTCATTTTGCAGTGCTACATCTCATTACAGAGGCATCATGTTCATGGCATTGCACATGAGTATTGAGAAGCACAGCTCACTGCAAATGTGACAACATTGATATTGCCTGCACAGGAGTTAAAAACTAGAATGGAACATAGGATGATCAAGTAATTAGAACTCCACTAAATAAACACCTTTCAAACTTGACCACTAGAATTTTTGAAAATCGCTGGTCATTTAAATGGCCATTATACTTGCATATCAATATTATCAATGTTTTTTTCCATCAAAACTCAGACAGATATATATTTAAACAATTGGAAAGATAGTACTTCTAGAAACAAAATTCACAAATACTTGTTTGCACCTGACAATTTCTTTTCCATGAGTTTCAGCAGCCTTTTCAAGTTGTTGCTCACTTAAGCTAAGACGTCTCACTTTATCAGGATCCACTTTCAAACACTCTTCTAATCCACCTTTAGGTTTCCCAGCATGAATAGCAATTAAATGTTTATATTCTGGCGCTACATTTTGCTGTGACTTATTGTCTCCTTCAGGCAGATCTTCATCAATATTATCATCATCCAATTCATTCTGTAAGAAAGTTGGTGAGGAAGTAAACAGAAAATTTCAGTTCTCTAAAATGCCAATCATCATCTCCACATACCTTCTCATCAGTCATAGCATGACCTTTAAGATCAGAGACTTCCTTCCCCCAAGCTTCTTCATCTGATGCACCCTTCCCACTCTGTGAACCATTCTCCCTCTCCTTTGTCTCTTTGGCCTCAAGGTATTCTTTTGGTGGTTTGGTTGATATTATAATCCTTTTCTTCAATGATTCTGGAGAGGGAAATTCGCTTAAGCATTCAGATCCAGGAGTAAACAGGATGTCTCCAAATGTTTGAGTGATCATCTAGAAATTATTCAGAGAAGAGTAAATCATCAGACCACAAGAGCTTCAAATCTCCACAAACTACCAAAGACTCACCTCAGCCACTTTAGCCTGAAGATCTGGAGTAAGGTGGTCCTCTAGAGTTATAACAACTGGATACTCTGATGCAGTAAAGGCATGCTGCTTGATGGACCTCAAGCATTTGATAAGTTCCACAGGAGTTGTCAGTGTCCTGCGTCAAGAAAGCAGTACAACTAGTTAAAGATAACATATGGATGATTCAATAGCGTTTCAAAAATTTATAGAAGTTCCTAGTAACTCAAAGAGTTCCAATGAAAATTTTAATCATTAGAAAGTAAAATTTTTAAATGGCATTATCATAGAGCACAAAAATGTAACAGATAGGATATCTTGATCCAAAGGAACTTGAAAAAAAAAAAGTTAATCATGTATTGAGGAATGAACAATGGAAAATTCAAAAAAGAAAAATGAAAAAGAACAGTCTCTATAATTTGAATCACCTGAAAGGATCAAAATAAAACTTCAAGAACGAAATTCCAACCCAGTGTTCTACAAACAATTTTTATTTCTAAATTGATTTCCTTTTTGAGTGGCAATTAGTTATCAACATTTGCCCAGCAATTGGCAACAGCATACCTCCCATGAAGAACATCCACACCGTCCTTACTGGAATTAGGCCATATATCCAATTCAATTACTCTCACACCTCTGTTAAGTGCTTGTATGATAGGGACATCACTGCAGTCGCTACTAAGTTGATTCCCAGTTAGATATGAATTGTGTCCAGTATATATAAAATAATGTGACACAGGAGCATTCATATCATGGTGCACCTGAAACCCAGTAAATGGTTGCAAAATATAAATAGAATATATACAGAAAGGGAAGGTACAAGTAGTGAAATTGAAAGAGAACCGGAAAAAAAAAAGGTAATTGTGATACATTAAAGATAACTGGAATACACAACGTAATAATGCTTGCAACAGTTATAGCAGTTATGAATTTTTTAAAAAAACAGAAAAATCTAATCCTGACTTTAAATTCTATTTTAAGTGCTTTACATAGCCCAGAACTCCAAAATCTAAAGTTATTGACTTTCCTTCCTAATGTGGAAAAGGACCAGTCCATTCTCCATTAGCCACTCAACTAAAAGAAAAGTTGCAGAGTAAAACAAATAAAAGCCAGTAATTTTGACTTTAGCTAATCAACAAAAACAAGGGAATTCCTAAAATTTGAATGAACAAAGCAAAGTACTAATATTACCCCGCGTTTAACATCGAGAGGAGGATTAATATCGCCAAAAAGGTACTTAAAGAAAGCTTCAATATCGAGTCCTTTACGGTGAAAAATATTCAAATGTTTAAACTGATTAAGATGGTCAAAGATAGCCTGAGCTTCTTCAATTGTAGCCTTATCTTGTTTCTGGATCTCTACAAGAAACCGATGAAGATTATGAACACTCATGATTCCATTCTCAGAGTACTGATCAAACAAAGCCTTAATCTCCTCCGGCGCCTCCGCCACCGCCAGCTTGAATCTCCTGCGGAAGCAGAAGCAAACTCTGTAGGTCTGCTTAGACATGTTGGGAATTGGAAGAAGTTTTGAGAGAGAAAGAAAAAGATAAAAACAGTAGATTGAGATGTGAGGACAGATTGTCGTTTCGATGGTTTTAATTGCTTCTTGTTGGGGAGATGGAGAGTGAAGTAAGCCAGCAAAGCAGAAGCCAGAGATAATTTAGTTGCAGGGAAATTTGTGGGGTCAGGGATGGGACCCAGTGAGCCTGTTGAATTATTGACAGTGGGGTCAGAAAGACAGTTGGCATTGCAATGTTAGAGCGAGAATGACTTAGCACAGACTCGATGTGTAAAAATATTTTTAAGCATTCGTAGAAAAAAAAATAAATAAATGAGAATAATTTTTAAAAAATCTTTATTAGTATCGATTTAACTTATATCGTATTTAAGTAAATTTTTTCCTTTTAACTAGATAATAAAATAATTTATCTAGAGTCAATTTAGAAAAATAATTTTTATAAATAAATATTTTTAAATATTAAATAAAAAAGATACAGAGAAAATAATATTAAAATATTTTTATTCTGATTAATCTGATTTAGACCCAATGTAGATAAATTTTATCTAGTTGACTAGATAAGAAACCAAGAACGGAACTAACTCTACAAGTTTCTGTAATCTGCGCCATTTTTCAGTTGAAGCAAATAACTAAAAATCAGCAAGCTTTGGTTGTTGGGGTATTAAAATATTATAAATTTGAAACACGGTTGCTACGCATATCCAACACGTTCCGTTCTTGAAAAATTATCAGGTATGACTCCAATCCAATAATTGTCTCTAGGGTTGGACACAATGGGGTAAAAACCCCAACATAATCTATAAAATTAGATTCTTTCAGTTAAAGTTTTAATAGGTTAGATTTGATTTTAAATTTTACGAAATTATTCAATTAAAAAATAAATTTAAATCCACCTAAAAATAGTCAAAAATCGTACTAAATTAATTAAATCGAGTCAATTCTATTTCGCTCGATTTTGTATTAGTCTAATCATTTTGATTTAATTTTTATCTTTAAAATATTTATTTTGAATCAAAATAACCGAATTACTGCCTCTGATTGTACTTATAGATTAGTTATCCTTTAGCTAATACTATGATGGGCCTTAAATATGAATATCCAATTCCAATAGAGATAGTCTAATTGATGAAACCTTTAGTAATTGGAAAAATTCAAACTTAAAACTTTTCATTTTTTATATTATTAAGAAGTGGGCGTGAGCAGTATTCGGAGCGGTTACCGATCAGTTCAAATAATAAAAATGAATGATTTTTTATTTTCAATTTGGTTATTTGCATAGTGAATGGAATTTTTTTTTTTTTTTGCCCAAAAGATAATATTTGATTCGAAATAATCAAAATAAACCCGAACTGATTTGGTTAGGTTCGATTTCAAATCAAATCTTTACAGTTTTCGATGTGATTTGGATTGAGATGAAATCTATTCGGTGAGACTAAATTGAACCAATTCAATTTAATTCTATTCGGTTAAATCGTGTACTCACTCTAATAAGAAGATGAACCAGACTATTTATAGTCAATGACCATTCATATTTTTATATAGACAAACGTAACACGTTGCATTTTGATTGCAACGATGATGAACTAATTTGTTTATCTGTTTATTAAATTAGTGAGAGAAATGCAATACCTTGTTCATTGGTCTTTTGAAGTCGCGAAATAGGAATATTCTAAAAGAATAATTCTTACATGTCATGTATCCATTGGCAGTGTATATAATATGTATTTCAATTTTTATTTTTATTTTTATTTGAAATTTCTTAGACTATTATCTTATACGGATGCTGAGGTGAAAATAACTCCTACCTCAAACATTAATGGTACCCACGTTCTTCCTTTTGATTGTCCGTTAATTTCCTTTATTTGGTGCTGAGAATACAACATTGACCAAGCTAATATGCCGGCACAGTGTGCGGGTTCATATTTATAAATAATTTATATAAATTAAATTAGATTGAAAAATATAAATAAATTAATATTATGAAAAATATAATATTTATCATTTACCTTTTTTTTAATTCTTTGAATTTGATGACAAAAACTATTAATCTAATTTATTCTATAATTTTAAAAATGATAAAATTAAAAATGATAAAAGAATTCTACACTAATAAATTAGAAATATAAATTAGAAAAAATAAACTCACCTGCTTAACTAAACTAAAAAATATATATATAAATTGCTTTTATAATTAAAAATAATTACTCAAACCATAAAATTACGTGAATAGAAAAAGAAAAAACTTAAAGAATTGTTAACCATAGTTGTCTTTTACTCAAGGTATAAATTTTTATTACTATCTATAAATATGTTGAACATAAAACCCAAAATAAGAATTTATATGATAAGTTAGGAGATATAGTACTTACATACATAGTACTCAAAAGAAAATTAAGATTTTTTTTAAAAAATTAGAAGATAATTAAATTATGAAATAACAAAACGTTACGTCAATTTATAGTGTGGTTATTAATTATTGACATAAAAAGCCCAAAATAAAGAATTGTATAGTAAAAATAATTACTCAAACCATAAAATTACGTGAATAGAAAAAGAAAAAACTTAAAGAATTGTTAACCATAGTTGTCTTTTACTCAAGGTATAAATTTTTATTACTATCTATAAATATGTTGAACATAAAACCCAAAATAAGAATTTATATGATAAGTTAGGAGATATAGTACTTACATACATAGTACTCAAAAGAAAATTAAGATTTTTTTTAAAAAATTAGAAGATAATTAAATTATGAAATAACAAAACGTTACGTCAATTTATAGTGTGGTTATTAATTATTGAAAAAACTAATTAGTGTTCGATTATTAATACAAAAAATTATCATTTGGATTTTTAATTTATTGCTACAGAAAGAAAACAAAAAGGTTTTTTATTAATAAAATAAATTTATTACGTGGTTATTAATTATTGAATAAAAAAATAAAAAAATTTATAATTTGATTTCTTCAAATTAGATAATTAAATAAAAATTTTAAAAATAATAAAATTACACATCACCAATTAAGTTTCATAATAACATGCCACATAAGCAAATTTAGTTGAACTTTTATATATGTTTATATAGATAGTAATACCAATTAAGGCTTTTCACTCCTTCTTGCACGTGTGTCTAGTAGAGATAGAACCCGAGAGCTTTTCTCATATAAGTCTGCGTTGCCAACACAGCCACAACCCATAGGTCGAAGAACTAATTAACTAGCTAACCTGTAAGTATTAATTTTTTAATATTGATTAGCCTAAATTTAAATTAAGCTATTTCACACAATTTTACTTTAATAGATTCTAACATCTTATTTAATTCCTCTTCTCAATTTATAATATTTAAAAATAAAAAAAATGGAAACCTTCAAAAAAAAAAAAAAGGTATAAAATGGAAAAATATGATTTTTTTTTTCAAATATAAATCCAGAAATGGAACATTCTTGTCCTGATGTAATGCTTGGATTCCGTGGCCCAAAGTGAAAAACATATCTCCTTAGTTTAGTTGAGGAGTATCCATTAAGAAATGATGAGCTTTTTTTATTTTCATTTTTTTTTTATTTTTCATGAAAATTATGTCCTAACACTCAAAAATTCAAGATTACTCGCTTTTTACATCTTAAAAATATAAAAAAACCAACTATACCACATTTGATCGAATGATCTTTAATAGTTTAAAAAGAAAAATAAAAATAAAAAAGAGAAAGGAAAAACATACCATAAATTCATTTATTTAAAAAAAAAAAAAGTAAAAAGAAGAAACAATCTTCACTCACAAGTCAAAACTTATTCTTTTTGATTTTTTAAATAATCTTTTGACATAAAATCGGTAGACATAATCAAGTCTTTTAATAATATTAATATATCACCTAATTGTTAAAAGAAAAAGTCATGTCGGGACAGAAGCATTCACATTAATTATGTGGTTTTATATTAATAAAGAGTAATGTACATAATAATTTTTTTTTATTAAAAATGAAATAGTAACCATTTTACGTTCTATTTTATTTTATATCTAAAATAAAAACAATCCTACTGCTCTTTGCAGACTAGCCAGTCGCTTGATAATTTTAAATTTAACATTTATATTTATTCCTTGAATTCAAAAAAATCATTTTTTAATTTCTAAAATTTTATAATATAATTACAATATAATTCATGAAATAATAAATTATATATCAATTGATGCCTAATCACAATATCAGAAATTAAAAAGGAAAATGCTCACTATATACAATTACAGAAATGTGCACGCTTAATTATTATTTGCTCCACTTGACAAACTTTGGTGGAGGTATTTATGTTAATGAGATGTATAATCCAAGATGATTGCTAATTTATTTCTGATTATCGATTTTCAACATTAAACATCAGAAGTTAAAGGAAAATCATTCGGTTAATAGTTAAGTAATCGAGGGTCATCCTTATAACACATAACAGAAGAAGTTCGTAGTTCGACTCGTCTTGTAAAAATTCATAATATATATTACCAAAAAGAAACTAAAAAGAATTTAATCACCAGGTCAAAAATTGCACTCTGGATTAGCCTTCCAGGTTAAGCTTAATACAAGCAACCACCAAAAATCAAAAAGAACAAAATAAGATTGTCATCTGTGACATCTCAACACTCTATGAGACAACCTTTTTGCTAGAACAGCTAACAATGGACAATACTATGGGACAAAAATAATTGTTTTTAACATTTCCTATCATATAGCTTCATTCCAAAGAAAACTTGAACTGAAACTATCCATTCCCAGCTGCATTGAAGCTCTCATTTGAACTAATTACAGTACTTCTGTCTGTACATACATTCAGGGACAAAAATGTGTAAAAAAATCTGCTAGATACAAGGTGTGAGGAGAGAATATATACCTTGGATGTGGAGTAGCATATGACAAGTTTATACAAACTCAAACTTCATTAGAAGCCTTGTGTTATTAAACCTCTCTCCCTTCCGATCATGAAGAGGGACTGATCGGATCCCTGGTCTTAGCTCTGGGACAGGTAAACATGTTTGCCCTCCAAAGTCATCCTTCTCAGACATGTCATATTCTCGTATTTCAATCCGAAGCAAAGCTAGCTCAGGAACAGTCAATGGGAAGGTGAATTCCTCATTCCAAGCAGGTACCCAGTTGTCACAGATTATTTTCGTTTTTTTCTTTGCAGCATCAGCTGGTACCCCAACTATGTAAAGCTGCAAACAGATTCATCAGTAGGAAAACCGAGAGAAGCCAAAAATTGTTTCAGGAACCATAACTCATTAATTTTGAGGCTAACATTATAACCAAGTGACTTGCATTGTTGGTTACTCAGAGTAAGGTATTGTTGTTCGAGCTAGTATTGAGAAAATTACGCTATTAAAAATATTGATTGGAGATCAGTAAAAATTGATTTTAATATAGATTTTGCATGTTCTAAGTCAGAAAAGTTTCGAAACAACTAAACGACACTCTCAAACTGTTCTTTTCCAACAATATCAAAAATGGCGCATTTTAGAAATAAGTTTCACTCTTAATGCCAAAAGGACTTTTATAATTTGGTTGCCTATGTTTTTGTTTTTTTTTATTATCTATATGTAGAGATGGAAAAACAGACAAAAGTTACTGCAAATTTATTTTGGCAGCAAAACATATGCATTGAGCATGCAGCGTTGGATTTACTAAAAGATGTTGATAAGTCATTTCTTAAATTGCAATTCGTAACTATTATCCTTAAATTGTTTTGAAGTCTATTGACGAAAATTCACATTTTTGGGTTATGCAATACTTGAATTAGTCAGACTAACCTTTGTGTAGAAGTCTGGAGGGGAGTATGCATCAAAGTGTGTATGGCTAAAATCCAACCGCCATCCATCGCCCAAATATACCTTCACCTGTTAATTGAAAGAAAAGCTCAAAGAAGTAAGAAGAGGTCAATGGGCAAATGAAATCCATTTTCAAGCTAAACTAATACATCACCTTCAATGTCTTAATTACTGATAACGCTCTTTTAGGATCAAATACGTCGGGCCCTTTATGCATTAGAAAATCAGGCTTTTTCAAGTAACCACACCCTCCATTGGCCCTAAACATCCCATGCATCAACCAAAGTGATTTGCCATATCCCTGTTAAATGGAAACTCCCACGTTAGCAGATTTTTATTTGGTGGAGATGTGGCCATACATGGTATGAAGATCTTATTGACAGTATTTGTGCCAGGTTAGAGCCATAAATAAATAACGAACTGCAACACCTCAGTCATGTAACAATGAGTATCTAAGACCTTGAAAATACAAAGCCACCTATGCAAAGGAATTAATCTAATTAAACACATTAAACTCTGTGATTTTGAACCAGACCTGCATATTGAATGCAATCATTTGAGCTCCATGCATCCACCCGATGATTGGCTTGTAATTGGAGGAGGTGATTCGTGTTCCTTTAGGATACACTCTCAGAATATTTTCCTGTGTAAACCTGAAGAACATAATATAATATATTAGTATCAATTATTTGCCCATTTATATGGACAACAGCAATAGAAACTTTTTCTTCGATCATGTACAAGTGTTTGCCAAATACCTCACTAAATCCAATCCATTATTTGTGGCTGCCCTTTCAAGTTCCTGTTCACTCAGGCTAAGACGTCTAACGTTATTAGTTGTAGGCTGTAATGTTTCCTTTAAGCCACCCTTTGGTTTCCCAGCATGGATTGTGATTAGCTCTCTGTATTGAGGTGGTGGAGTATGTCCTGAATTTTTGTCCTCTTCATAATCTAGGTCACTGTCACTCTGCTATTCATGCTAATGTTAAACAAAGCACCTTAAAAATCATGTTTTTTTTATGACGTAGAATAATTTCTTGCTTACCCTATCATCGGACTCCATCCCAGCTGTATTTTCTGGATTCCCTGATGCTGCTTCTTCCTCTTCTTCTTCTTCTTCGGATGAATTCTTTCCATTTGAGAAGCGAGTTCTTTTCCCCTTGACAGAAGATTCAAGGTACTCTTTTGGTGGTTTGGTTGATATAATTATACGGTGTTTTAATGATTCTGGTGAAGGGAACCGTACTAAGCATTCTGATTGAGGATAATAAAGCATTGATCCAAATGTTTGAGTAACCATCTGTAAGATAAAAAATTCAACATTACAAATAAATAGATATCAAAGCAGCTTCTTGGAGAAAAATCCAAAGGCCTGATAATGTAAATTCAACGCTAACCTCTGCAACTTTTGCTTGGTGGTCATGTGTAAGGTGATCTTCTAAAGTTATAATGACTGGGTATGGCGAACTAACAAAAGCATAGTCTCTTATGGACTTTAGACATTTGATGAGAGGCACGGGAGTGGTCAAGGTCCTACAAGTATTCAGACCTTTATGCCATTAGAGAAACTGTAATTCACAAAAATAAAATCTATCTATTTTGTTCCTACTATACTGTGGAATTCTTTATTTTAACTCAAATCAATTGAAAAATAGATGAAAAATCATCCGCAAGTCAATTTGAAAATCAGCTTATACCTTCCATGCAGAACAAGAATCTCTTCTTTTGTGGAACCTGGCCATAAATCCAGTTCAATTACTCTAACTCCTCTTTGCAAAGCCTTTATAATTGGGACCTCACTACAATCACTGCTTAATTGATTCCCGGTCAAGTAGGAATTATGCCCTGTGTATATGAAATAATGTGATAACGGAGCAGTCATATCATGGTGTACCTGGAATGACATTATGATTCGTCAAGGGAAAGAACATGACATTACAGAGCCCCCAAACAAAATTATTCAAACATTTCCACATAAAACTCATAATCAATAGAACTACAAGATTCGCTATGAAATACATATATCAATAGAACTCATAATCCAAAGCTTATATTACAATCTGAAACGTAACCCTTTAGCCATTTTATACACAATATACAATAGAGAAGTAGAGAAAAAAAAATAGAGAAGGAGAGAAAAAAAAAATAGAGAAGGAGAGAAAGAGATGACCTGAGGAATGATAGGTCCATTGACATCATCGAGACGGAGGAAATAGAAAAAATCATCAAGATTAAGCCCTTGTCCGGCATACTTAGCGGAATGGTATCGTTTGATGATGACATCCTCCACAATCTTTTGCGCTTCCGCTAAGCTACAATCCATCATATCTTGATGGAGAACAAAGAACCGGCGAAACTGTTCGATCGTCATTTCACGTTCACCGCCGGAAAACTTGGCAAAAAGTTCTTGGACATCTTCAGGCGGCTCCGCCTCCGTAATCTTGAATTTTCGGTTAAAAAGATTGAACATTTTGTAATTGTAGCTACCTGATTCAGTCCCTGATAATTTCTTGGGTTTCTTCTCTTTCCTGTAACTCCCCATTCTTGGATTTCTCCAACCCCTCTAGTTGAGAGAGAGAAGGAGAAGAAGATGGGGGAGGGAGAGAGAGAGAGAGAGAGGGAAGAGAGAGACTGAAGGACAGAATGAGATAGGGAGAAAGGAATGAGAGATTCAGGAGTTCCAGGGAAAGCGGAGACTTTGAACCGCGACCGTTGGAGTTATATAAATATAAACAACCAAAACGGCTATTTGTCTTCTGCTTTTAGGCTGTCGTTTCCTTTTTTTATTTATTTTACACTTTTTTTTAGAAAATTTATTTTGAACTTGTTACTTATGATAAAGAGCTATATATATATAAATCTGTATAAAATTAGAAAAGAAGAGAGTTAAATTTTGACGCTTTTTGTTTAATATTCTTTTCTTTTTAGACTTGTTTAATTTTTTTTATATTTCTATATATTTAGATTGTGGCATATTTTTATCTTTAAAAATTAGTATTTATTTAAAATAATAGATTTGGAAAATCTAATCATATATTTCATTAAAATATTGAAATTCATTGTATATTATAATTTATTTATTAATATATAAATTATTAAAATTCATTGTATATTTATAATTTATTTATTAATATTATATATATATATTATATTTGTGTGTCTAACTTTCTTCTCTTTAGAAAATTTTTCAATTTTTTTTCATATATCCAATTTCATATTTTAATTTTTCAAAAAAAAACATTGTATATATCCATGCATCTATATTATATATCTCATTATATCTATTTCTAAATATAGCTGCGGAAATATAATATTTAGATTTTTTTTTTTTGATTACTTTTATTAATATTTTTTTTATCAAATATATAGATAAATCGATTTCTTAACAAGTTATCCGAAATTAGATATATTTGTGTGTCTAACTTCTTCTCTTAGAAAATTTTTCAATTTTTTTTCTATATCAATTTTCATATTTAATTTCAAAAAAACATTTTATATATCCATGCATCTATATTTATATCTCTATATATCTATTTCTATATAGCTGCGGAAATATAATATTAGATTTTTTTTGATTTACTTTTATTAATTATTTTTTTATTCAAATATATTGATAATCGATTTTCTTAACAAGTATCCGAATTAGACCAATAGAAATTGGATGGACATAAATTATGCATACCAATTATTCAATATAATTTCTTAAACCAAAAATCTTCTTTTAATATGTAATTTTAAAAGGTTTTTGAAGAATATTACAATCTTTATTTTATTGGTTGAAATATTTTTTTGATGAATTTGGAAAAGGAAAATAGAATCTAAGATTATTAATTTATTAACTAATGAATCAACGGCAGTCATCAGGATTGATCACCTCACAGGTCATTGGCAACTACTATATAAGACTATCATTTTATGCATTTTTTTTTTTTTTATCATAGTTAACAATAAAGTTTTTAAAATGCAAAATTTTTATAAAATAAATATTTTAATAATTTTGTAAATTAAAATTTTTAATTTTACAATCAAATAATTGAAAATAAATTATTTAAAAGAAATTTCTTAAATTTTTTTAAAATAAATTATTTCTGGAAAATAAATGAAACCTTAATCATTAATTTTGATGCAACTAGAATTGTTTTTATTGTCCTGTTACCAAAAAAGAAAAAATTTGTTTTCAATGTAAAAAATGACGAGATGCTACAACCGTTGGATTGTTTTCTTTTTATTTTTCGCGCTATCTTTGTCCGTTGGATTGATTTCTGGGTATCTTCAGTTCACAAATTCACTTACACTAACTTCCTCTGAAACTGCCAGATACAATTCGAGAGAGGAAAAGACATCAACTTCGAATAGAGAGCAACGGAGATGTCTTCCACGGCGCGACTAATCTCCGTCACTCTTTTATGGATCCTAGTTCTCTTTGTAACGCTAGCATTTATCCAGGTACATCCCTCACTTTCTGTCTGGTTCTCGAGAAAAAGAAATTGGTAGAGCAAAGTTTTTCTTTCCTTTTCCTTTCTCAAGAAATTTTGGAATTTGTTTGCTTTTAATTGCTATTTTTCGCTACCAGAACCGATTAAGCTATACCGGAGTCTCATCGGATTCCAAGGTTATTGAGACGAGATTTAGTAAGGTGGTTGGTCTCGATCCCTCTTTCTTTATTTCCTGTTTCGAATCAGAAAATTCGTTTAGTAGGAGAAATAGAGAAATGTAAGTTGAAGTATAAGAGATCTTGTATTGGTTCTTTTGTGTGTTTGATTGCCCAGGAAGAGAGAAAGTCAGAGGACGATTTGGAAGCAGTAACTCACAAAGTTTACTTTGATATTGAGGTCAATGGAAAATCCATGGGTATGCTTTCTTGTTATATAGATAAAACAAAAGAAAAGTTCACATAGATTGTATGTTTATTGGGATTAAATTTTGAATTAATGAATTCCTTTTCTCCCTCTTTTGTTACGATTTTATTTAGGCCTGAAATTGTTAATGTCTGCAAAAGTTTTCCATTTTATAATTTCCTGCTAGTTCAAAATCAAAACTTTGTAGTGGGTAAAACATTGCGCGAGGTTGTAACATGTCTTGTTTGAACCTCTTGAGTTAGCAGTTAACAAGTGCATCATCTTTGAATAGATTGTAGTGTTTGGCTTAGAATGAATTGAACAAGTGATAATCTTTTTCATTAGTGATTTTCTTTTTTCCTTCCTTTTGGTTGAAAGTGGAGGTGATATGTGTTTCATGTTTCTTATAGAAAAATCTGGATATTGCAGCTGGACTATTCTTCCTATTATTTGGATGTTTAATTAGACACCAGAAAATCTATTTTGCGTTACTAGCTATGACCTCTATGTATTATTCATAGTATAATTTTTCCTCTCGCTTTTTTCTTTTTTCTTACACATTGTAGATTGAACTGCATCGCTTATTATCTTTTATTCTCAGGTCGCGTCGTCATGGGTCTCTTTGGTAAAACAGTTCCTAAGACTGTAGGTATGGAGTCTAAATGCAGTAATAAATGCTACATCATATTGTTGTTGAAGTATTTCATTTGAGATGATGCCTACTTACATGTTTTCATTTTGGTTTTGCAGAAAATTTTCGAGCACTTTGTACGGGTAGCCATGTAACTTTTGCTCCCTTCATTTCCATCTAATTTCATTATGATAATGCTACTTCAGTTTCACTACCAGCAATAAATATTGGAATAGCATTCACACTATTTGAGATAGGAATAGGAAAATTACTTAAATGGGTATAAAACTGAATGCTACTTCAGTTTCTCTTGCAACTTGGGAAGCCAACTAAAATCCTTGTTTTGCCTAATTCCTGAACTAGTAGATTGTGATTTATTAGAAATAACCAGTGCAATAAAAGCATTGCCTCAGCAATTCGAGGCTACCATCTCTATGCAGCTGGCAGTCTATCAGGTCTAAAGCAAGCTATAATGTTTCTGTTCTTCTACAATTGGATGCCCATCTTGGCCATCAAGCACAAACTTCCTTCTGTTACTCTCAGAACTCGTACGCTGCTCATTTTATGTATTGTAAACCCTGTTGTTATAGGAGAAAAAGGAATGGGAAAAAGTGGAAAGCCTCTCCATTACAAAGGAAGTGCATTCCATAGGATTATTCCCAGCTTTATGATCCAGGGCGGTGATTTTACTTGCGGTGATGGGCGAGGTGGGGAGTCAATCTATGGTGAGAAGTTCGCCGATGAGAACTTCAAGTTGAAGCATACTGGACCAGGTAAGTTGGTTGAGATATATTTTTAATTGCAACCATAATTTGTTCTTAAAGAGCTTGTACTTAAATAAGTTGTTTATCCTTTGCAATAACAGGACTATTGTCAATGGCAAATGCCGGGCAAGACACCAATGGATCACAATTCTTTATCACTACTGTAACTACTAGCTGGTAATTATACATTTCTTCCTTTTATTATGTTATTTGGTCATTAATGGGTCAAGTGCATTTTTTTTGGCCTGTTGCAATATTTTGAACTCCCACTCAAGTACCTATTTCCCTTTTTTTTTTTTCCGCTTCTCCTTGAAAGGTTGGATGGGCACCATGTTGTGTTTGGCAAGGTGCTTTCTGGTATGGAAATTGTGTACAAGATTGAAGCTGAAGGAAACCAGAATGGAGTGCCCAAACATAAAGTTGTCATTTTAGACAGTGGTGAAATGCCTTCATGACAATTCTCATTGTTGAGACATACTCTCTCATATAATTATGTAAGAACTCGTTGCATAAAAATATAAATTTACTCTTTACTCCTTTCACGAATTAATTTCAGATCAATGTGTTTATACTCTTCTAAACCATGATTAGTCGTTAAAAGCTTATTTTTATTGCCATTTAGTGGGTTCTTGGCTTGTATAATCATTGAAGAAACAATAGAACAAAGGTTTTTATACATTAATTTCCTTTTCAAAAGAAAAGGAGAATTGCTCACTCATTGTCCAAAATTGCAAAACATCTGAATCTCAGTACTAGGACTTTATGTCCCTATCATGTCAATTTTATCTAACATTAGTGCCAAAAATTTCCTCAAATGAATAAAACAAGAAAGCAAAGAGAAAGTGACAGTTTAAAAAATTACAATTGCAGATTAGAACATTAGAAGCTCAATTTTTGATATTTTTATTGAAGTTATAGGTCCACCAAAAAAACTTGCAGGATCTGCCTAACTGTTAGTCTGTCTCTGAACTGATGAAATTTGTCATTTCCTTACTTTTAACTGTCACACATTTTTCTGAAAATAAACACTGAAAGACATTTTTGAATTCTGATAAGCTTCAAACACTTACCACAGTCTCCTAAAGTTTCTGTGTCAATCCCTGCATATCCTAATCTACTACAACATTTTTCCATTTTCTATACTTAACTTTCCTAATTCACTTATAATCAAATTGACCCTTTTAATCACCAATCCAAAAGGCAAAACCAATACCTTAACTTCACCTAATCAGAATAAAAAAATCAAATCTTTAAGTGAGTTCAAGTTCGTTTAAATGAAAGGTAGCATTTTCAAACTCAAACATTAATTTTTTAAAAAAAATCAAATATTCAAATAAAATTCCATCACATGAGGCAAAGAAAAGAAGAGAAAAAACTAGAAGTACCTCATTTGATTCAATTTCAAATGGATGATTAGTGCTTCTGCAAATCACCCTTTTCATAAACACATAATCATCTTTATTAATTTCTTTTTATATGGTTTATTCCAACATACAAGCATTATAATAATTATAATAATAATAAATTCAGCACCCATCCAAATTCTGAAATTAAGACCTGCCGCTACTGTTACTATTGCCGGAACCGGAACCGCTGCCGCTACGCTGCTGGTAAGTAGTAGAAAAATTGGAAGACAAATCAGAATAAAGATTGACAACCTTGGAAATATTACCATTAAGTTCTTGAATCAAAGCTACGTTTTTGGCCATGTTGTCGGGAATTCTCGATTGGTGATTCTCGTTTACTTGTTGAATCAAATTTCTGTTCCTGTCCAAAACCGACTGGACTTCCCGGAAAGTGGAGTTGAAAGTTGACCAGACCTCAGGGTCTCCTTCATCATCATCGTCGTTGCGATGTTTGTGGCGGCGCTTGGTGGCGGTGGGATTGGAGGTGTTCATGCTCGATTCAGCGGCGGCGAGAGAACTGCGTGAAATCATGTGGTGATTAAAAGTGGCTTTTGATCCGACATTACTAGATGTGCGGAATTGTTTTTGCTTTGTTTTGAGCTAGAGAGGAGGATGCAGCGGTGCGATTTATAGGCTGTGCTCTGTGGATTATAGCTTTCTTCTATGATAGTCTACTCGCCTATGGAGGAAGTGTAATAACCTTTTTTTTTATCTTTTATTAGTTTGTTCCTAATTGAAGTATATATTAGGAAGGGAAAAAGGTGAAAAAATAAATTTAATTTTTTTTATTTAAGAATAAAAAAGAAAAAATTGTGAGAATGAAATTTTTGGATATTAAATAAATTATGTATACCTAGAATCAAATGTTATCTAAATTAGGTGAAAAGAAAAGAAATTGTATTTTCATAATTTAAATATGAATTTTTTTTTTTTTTTTGAGAATTGGCAAATGAAATCACAAATATATAGTTAGAAAATACTAACTTTCTCATAATTTTTCCTTATTTATTATTATATTCAAATAAAGAAGGAAAATTAATTTCTAAAATTGTTTTACTTATCCACCTATTTATCTCTAATTTCTTTCTCAAAATAAGCGTTAAAGTCAAAGGGTTAAGAAAAAGGTTAAACATGCAAATGTTGACTTATTGTAAAGCCACGCGCTAATATGTGCGAGTGGGAGGGAGAAGTGGGAAAATATCTTATGCTATGCTAGGATTGGAAGAAAGATCTAAAAAGTAATCAGATTTTGCCACGACACCAAAAAGTACATGTTCTTTCTTTTGTGTCTATGAGATATTTAAGAGCAAATATCTTCCAAAGCCAAACACAAATATCACGTGCTACAGAAACGGAATCCAAGATTCAGTTACTCTTCTCTAGTTTTCTGCTAGTGCCAGGTGCCTAACTATGGTCAGTGAAGTGAAGGTAAGAATCACATATTGGAAAGTTTTTCCTTAATGCAAAAAGAGAAAAGAAAAAGGAAAAAGAAAGGTGCAAAAGCTCATTTTGATTTTTTAGAATAAATAGCAAAAATATCTTTTATAATAGGATTAGAAATAAATTAATTACTAAATTATAGTCAAATTAATAACTCATATTTTCAAAAAATAAAGTATGAGGTTTCTAACTTATGATTCTATTAATTTTTTTGTCCTCTCGTTAATTGATAGAATGAATATTAATTCACTATTTTAATTGGTCTAATAGGGATAAAACTAAAGGATTATTATAAATAATATTTTAAAAATAAAGATATTAATTAATATGTTCAGCAATATAATCAAAATACAATCTTAATTTAAAGTATTTGATTCAAAACAAAAGTGAAAAAGCTACCAATCAAAAGCTACTAAAATATAAATCTCTTAATTTTTACAAATAAAAAATGTATGATGTACTAAAAAATAAAAGGTATAGGATTCACGTCTCCTTCATCGTAAAAATTATCACCAATTTGGTAAATGAAATTCAAAGAAGGGAACCGTGTAATCCACAGTGTTCTTCCAATTCATTATGAGACATCAAGTTCAGATACTTTCCTCCGTAAAAATTATTACCAATTTGGTGAAATTATTTAAGAAAAAGACTATCTTCTGTTATATAGTCCATAACGTTATTCTAACTCATTTAGTAGTCTCTCATAAATAAAGAAAAAAAAAACCCTTTATACTTCCTCTTCTAGATCAATAACTCAAAAGAAAACCAAAAAGGAAAGAAAGAAAAGGAAAAGAAAGAGCTAGAATAAAGAGAAGATTGACTGGTCCTTGACTTCCATTATTGGTAACTTTTGTTTTCAACAAGTTAGCACCACTGACTACAAGCAACTCCATCCGATCATTCATCAGCATCTTATCACATTTTGTGATGCTGGTTTGTTGTCTGCTGGAATCCATCAGCATTTCCTGCCCATCTTCTGTTAATGCGTATTGATGGAGATCTTGTTCTTAGCCATTCCCTGCAATCAACCTGACTCAAAGAGAAACATAAAGAAGATTACTAAAATCAAGAATTCTATGAAGAAAACCATTTTTATAATGTTCAAACTCAAGGATGAAGTTTCTTGCTAGTTCTCATGACATCATCCTATAGCAGATCTTGCCTAAAATTGGTCATGTCCATTTTTGTTGAACGCATCGGTCCATTGGCTAATAAAGACATTGAGGGACCATAAAATTCTGTTTTTGCCTTTTCTTTTAGGATATTCCCAAAGCATCAAAAGGAAGACCAATATTTACTAAAACTCAAATACACAGTAGTATGCAGATGTTTTCATGGTTGCTTGCAACCATATATTTGAATCAACACTTGCACTGCCCTCTCAGACTACCAGCAATACGTTTTGAGCAATTTCCTTTTCCTTTTCTATTGTTTTAGTTGAAAAATAATTATTAGGGGGGAAAAGCTGAGAAAAATGAAAGCTTCTAACCACCAATTGGTGAATGACTGAATTAGATTTGTTTCAAATATGTATGTACAAACACCTTGTATCATCTTAAGGCAAGGCCAGAAACTGCAATTGCAGCATCATCATAAGAATTAAGAGTATCATTGGCTTAAAAATTTCACCCATTCAGATGGTTCTTTCTTCCTCCCAAGAATTGAAGCACTCTGAAACCATGGACCATCCATCTGCCGTTTCTTAAAGGCTGCCAGGGAGGACTGAGGTGCCTCATACACTATAATATGCATAGCCATATGATCCGAATGTTACTACTCAAGTGTAACACGTGAAAAACAGAAGATACATGCTTAAACAAGTAGGTGAATCTCACAGTTGGTCTCTTCAACCGTCAAAAGTGTTCAGAATTTGGAGGCTGCAGTGCGCTGTGTGCTCTATACAAGAGTCCTTTATACCGAACTCAAGAGGCAACTCAATGCTTTATCACAACTATGCACCACCTCACTTGATAAAATCAGGAACTATATCATATAAAAATTTGGACATGCCAGATGCCAAAATGTACCAGCCTAACAGATATATCAGTACAGCTTGTATTGAGTTAACTCTGATATATCAGTACAGCTTGTATCTGTGTGTCTAACAGATAAACCTATCTTATTCAGAAGTGGGTAAGTTGGATCTAAACTCAGGAAGAAACCTCCTATTCCACCATTAACTTGAAAACAAAGTAAAAGAGAAGGAAAGAAATCTCCTATGTGCAACATTAGTCAAAATGTTCTTGATGCCTTTGAACCTAAATATTACACTTGATTCAAGAACAAGAGAGTGAAAGCCAAGGAATATAATTTCTCAAACCTACAATAAGAACATGAGTTATTAGGTGAAATTCTTCATTTTCTCATGTTATTTGATGATTTTTCTTTTTTCAGTTTTTGTCCTTCGTAAGAACCCCAACTAAGGGAATTTGATTTATCCCCAAGCCTTAAAATGCAAACTTGCTAGGATCCGTTTTGCCCTTTGGTTGCACTTTGAGTAATTCAAAAAGATAGGTAATTTTAGATGCTAGAATACCTAAAACATTAAGCAATGTCTCAAATGTAACAGGGAAAAGTAGTATGTCTTTCCTAATAATTCATATGTCCAAGCCCCAAAGGCCAGATAAATGGACAAGGAATTGTTTGTTTGTAAAACTTTATTCCAAATCAAGAAAGCACCACAAAATGACAGTTATAAAGCAAGTTCCTTTTGCATGCTGGCATGAACTAAATTATAAAAGGAAAAAAGGCAGAAAATAGCCCAGTGGAAGGGACATCAAGTACACATCATAAGAAGGCAAAGATACTTACAGAGGTGCTAACTTGCACCCAAATTCATAAAAACATGAAGAATGAGATTTGAGATCCACACAAGCAGCATCGTCCTGGATTTCCAGCCTCATTCTGATATTGAGGGGAAAATAAACATTTATAAGATAAAAAAACATTGAAAATAGATCTTGAACACTACATAAGTACTCAAAATACTTCTAAGCATAAGATGATTGTAAAGGAAATCCATCACCACAAAATTTATTTCTCCATGGAACTCCTAAAAGAAATTGATTACCAACAAAATAATGGTAAAAAAGTCATAAAAGAAAATTAGTTGACAAGGGTCATACATCTAACCTCGATTCATCAAATTAACATATAACCTGAAAAGTATAAATGATGTCAATACATATATATACAACAGATGCCAGAAAACAAACAAAACCAACTAAACTCCAATCTCCACGCAACACACCCCATAGTTACAAGATGCATTAATTGTCAAAAGAAGAAAAGTATGCTAAAATGCATATACCTCCTCCTACCGTTCTTTAATAATTGATCAATTGGGAAATTGGATTTATTAAAAAGAAAGATCAAGAATATCATCAACTTCATAGTAATTTCCCATTCTTGCTGCTTTCTTTTATCAGACTTGTACCAATTGAGTTTTTGATAACTGAGGCAATTTGACAAGCAGCTGATTCGCTAAGCACTATTGTTTGCTAATCTTCAATTACAGAACCAAACATCAATTTTTTAAAGAAAATTAAAGAACTTCAGCTTCAAGCACCTCATACACAGTTATTCTAAGTATAAAAAATATTTCTTGGAAAACAAAAAAAGAAAAATAGAGAATTTACCTGCATTTTTGCTGCCTTTGGTTATGTAGTGATTTTGTGAGCTCTAGTTATCAGAGAAGGAAAATTTACTAATTAAGGGGAACATTTCTTTTTGGATGAGAAGAAAAAATGGGAGGGAAAAATGAAAAGCTCAAAAATGACCGAATTCATATTGTTATCAACGACACCGTACCAGAAGTGAAATCAGACATACTCCACCTCAAAGTTAAAAAATTGAAACTAATCCCACTTCAAGTTGCTGAAATTCTTATATGTGGGCAACGGTCAGTACGGTTTTTCAAACCGAAGCGAGGAGAACAGGAAACCAAAATCAAACCGATCAGCAGAATTATCAAGACTGCATTTACGGTGTTTCTTTAAGAGGTTAAGGTAGCGTTAAAAATTAAATTTTAGTTTTTAGCGATTTATAAAAAAAGAAAAAATTAATTAAACACTTATGTCAAAATAACTAAAAATTATCAAAATAGTTAATTTTACCGAACAAATTCCTAAACTAAACTATAATCAAATTGATTTTGTTACTCTGAGGAATTTTAAACCTAAAATAAAATGGAACCTATTGATTCAAGTTGATTTTCCAGTTAATTTCAACTTATACTCACGGTTAAGATAGATTATATTTGCTAATTTCCAAATCATTTATATGATTTTATTTTGAATTAAAAATTAACGTTAACAGATAATCAGGTATAATGAGCGGTCTTTTCACATTATGAAAAGAGTGTTGAAGTGCTGGCATTCTGTTTCATCAAATATTTTTCTGTTTTATTAGTTTTCAATAACACTGCTGGAGTTCCTAATTTCCAGTCTTAGAATCTCAGTTTATTATTTTGTGTTATTTGGATTCCATTTTTGCTTAATTTCCAAATCATTTATATGATTTTATTTTTGGAATTAAAAATTAACGTTAAACAGATTAATTCAGGTATAATTTGAGCGGTCTTTTCACATTTATGAAAAGGAGTGTTGAAGTGCTTGGCATTTCTTGTTTTCATTCAATTATATTTCTGTTTCATCAAATATTTTTCTGTTTTATTAGTTTTCAATAACACTGCTGGAGTTCCTAATTTCCAGTCTTAGAATCTCAGTTTATTATTTTGTGTTATTTGGATTCCATTATTTGAGGAGAATCTGTTTATTCAACTTGTATAAATTATCAATTACATCGAAGTAAAATATATCTTCTTCCTCTCATATTTTTTAATCTTTTAAATTTGTTTCTGCTGAAACTCTCATTATTTTAGCAGATACATTGTTTCAACAGTGGTATCAGAGCCACATGGTCTTTCGAGACCTGCCTTTTAAACATTTAAACCTTTTAAACCAATTTTTTAAATTTTTTATAAAACCGTCTCTCAATCCCTCTTCTCTTCAACCTTTTTAAAACCCAAAACAGCCACACAAAAATATGTCCTTCTCAGTAACCTTCTATCAACCCTCCTGAAAATTTTCACAGGTGAAACACTACCAATTTGGTCTAGTAAAAATGCAATGCTATTTGGAAGCCTTTGATCTTTGGGAAATCGTTACTGAGGACAAACAATTCTCCTTTACCCAGGAGATCCACTCTAACAACAAATTAAGCCACAATTCAGATGAAAAAGCCAAAGCGATTCGAAGGCGAAAGCCAAGCGATCGAAGGCGAAAACACTTATCCAAAATTCTGTTGGTGAAGCTGTTTTTTACAGAATTATGGCTTGTAAAACTGTAAAAGAAGCTTGGGATAGACTGAAACAAGAATATCAAGGCAGTGATAGAACAAAACAAATGCAAGTGTTGAATTTAAAGAGGAGTTTCGAGGCCTTAACCATGCAAGAAGAAGAAACTCTTGCCAAGTATACTGATAGAATTTGTTTAATTGTCAACAATATTAGGCTACTTGGTGAAGATTTCCCCGACAGTCGAATTGTCGAAAAGGTACTTGTGACCCTTCCTGAGAGGTTTGAGCAAAAATCTCTTCTCTAGAAGAGTCAAGGATCCTTATAACATTCATGGCTGAATTGGATGAGTGCTCTTCCAAGCACAGGAGCAGCGAAGACTTTTAAGGCAAGACAACACCATAGAAGGGGCATATTTTTTTTTTCTATGATTAACAGCATTCTGAAAAAACAAGAAGGTTCTAAACCAAAAGAACAAAAGGCAAAACAGAAGGGATCCAAAACAGGAAAAATATTCAAAACTTGTTCTCATTGTAAAAAACTACTCACTTGAAAAATTCTGTTGGTTGGAGACCAGATGCAGTTATGTGGCAATTGCAAAACAACTTGGACATGTTGCCAAGGTCTGGCAAATTCAAAAAAGATGTTTTCAAACCCAAACAAGCACAAGGTGGCGGAATGATGTAGATGTGCAGGAGGAGCAAGCTTTATGGCTTTTCTGGTCTGAGGAGCAAGCTTTTATGGCTTTCTGTCTTTCCAACGATGAACCGAAGGTACATGAAGAGCAAGCTGCTGTTGCTTCTTGTTTTTCTATTGATGGTGCAAGTGATTTGTGGCTTATTGATAGTGGGTGCACTCATCAAATGTGCAAAGATGATTCTGTATTCAGCACTCTTGATGAAACTTATAAATCTAAAGTTAAGGTGGGTAACGGCCAATATATTAAAGTTGAAGGCAGTGGTTCAGTTACTATCCAAACTCAATTAGGTATAAAAACAATTTCTGATGTTTTATATATACCTAAAATCAGCCAAAATCTCTTGAGTATTGGACAGATGCTGGAAAAAGATTATGCTTTTGAATTTAGAAAGCGGAAGTGCACAGTTTTTAATCCTGCAGGAGAAAAAAATGTTCTCTGTAACAATGAAAAATAGGAGTTTCTTTATCAATTGGGAGGAAACTGATGAGCATGCATTTACTGGCACCACCTTTAGTAAATCAGACTTGTGGCACAAAAGGTTTGGGCATTTCAATCAGAAAAGTTTGTTGGAGATGAAACAAAAAGATTTAATTCTGAAGCAACCAGAATTATGTGTGATAATATCTCTGCTGTTTCGATGGCAAAGAATCCTGTTTTTCATGGGCGAACCAAACACATCAAGATTAAGTTTCATTTTATTAGAGAAGTTCAACAGTCTAATGAAGTGTTACTTGTTACCTGCTCATCTGACATTTTCACAAAATCCTTACCAAAAGAAAGATTTGAAGCTCTGAGGAAAAATATTGGTGTTTGTCTTGGTGTTTGTCATCAAAATTGCCATGGAGGAGTGTTGAAGTTGCTTGGCATTCTTGTTTCATCAAATATTTTTCTGTTTATTAGTTTTTCAATAAACACTTTGCTGGAGTTCCCTAATTTCCAAGCCTTATAATCTCAGTTATTATTTTGTGTTATTTGGATTCCATTATTGAGGAGAATCTGTTTATTTCAATTGTATTAAATTCTCAATTACATTGAAGTAAAATATATCTTCATTCCTCTCATATTTTTTAAATCTATTTAAATTTGTTTCTGCTGAAACTCTCATTATTTTAGCAGATTACATTTTTTTTGGATTCCATTATTTGAGGAGAATCTGTTTATTCAACTTGTATAAATTCTCAATTACATTGAAGTAAAATATCTTCTTCCTCTCATATTTTTTAATCTTTTAAATTTGTTTCTGCTGAAACTCTCATTATTTTAGCAGATACATTGTTTCAACAAAGAGGTATAATCCGATTAGTCTTTTCACATGGTGAAAAGAAACCGTGACCTTAATATTACTATATTTTATCCATTTTCATTAAATTTATAATTCAATAGGTACTAATGTATCCATATAGTTAACTAATAATGATACAATTTACAAAAGAGTTTAATATTTGCTACATAAAATACCAAATACAAGATTTGGAGATAACTAAATTTTATTAAAGATTCCATTTACAAATAAAATTAAATTTCATGGTAAAATATTCCAAATATAATTAAATCCCTTCCAGGAATTAAGAGTCACTCTCTCCACTAGTGTTGCTATGAAGAAACAATAGCATTGAAAATAAATATTTGGATTCATAAACGTTTTACAAGAAGATTGAACTGAAATAAACATTTTTAAATTCATTTTTTCTGTGTCATCCTCACCATCACACCCTCTTTCTCCTAGTTCTGCTGTTCAATTTTTGTAAAACCAAAAGGAAAATGGAGATAAATAAAGAAGCTGCAGGAACCTAATCCCAAAGAATTTCCCTGTGGATTGTCCACTCAGTGGGGTTCAGTGTTGTTTTTCCATCAGCAGCCACAAGATAATACGGTGAGTCCTCTGGAAATTCACTTGGCATGGACTTCCAGTGTAGGGATGGAGTCCAGTCAGCTTCCTTAAGCAACTTCAGTATCTCCTCCACAACTATTTTGCTACCTTCAGCGGATATATGAACTCCATCCCTGAAAAAAACAAAGGAAAAGGAAAAAAAAAGAAAACTGTAAAATTTGAACTCTCCACATAGAAATGCAAATTCAGCTTAAGAATAATACTACGTACTAAATATCACTTTTATGGCTTGTCATTGTCGCATTTGGAGAAAGAAGATAATCATTTATGTGGAGAAGTAGGGCTGTAAACAAGCCATGTTCTGCAAAGCTCAAGCTTAGCTCGATAAATTTATACCACAACTTGAAAAACCAAGCTTGAGCCTTTATGTAGAATTTATAGTTTTAAGAGAAAAAAATTGCACCCTTCACAGGCTCAAACCTGACCTTGAGCTCCACTAATTTATTAATGAGCTTCATAAGCAGCTCAAGCTCAATTAGATAAGCTTAACAAACCGAGCTCAAGCAACCTTTTTTTGAGGCAAACCTCGAGCAGCTCACGACAAGTTTAGAGTACACTTAACTTGAACATCCATTACTGCCTCTCAACCATCAGTGTAAATCTAATTACAGAAATCAAGGATGTAGCTAAAACTCATTCAAACTACTAAAATAACATAATACCATTGTACCCAAACATGTTCAAGCACAAGGTTTCATCACAATACATAATCTGGTTTTTGTGGATTACAGGCTTAAGGAGTCAATGGTTACCCCAGTCATTACCCGTTGTTAGAAAGATGCCACACCACCTATGCATAAACGAGGCAAAGCTGACTAAAACCTCATGTATCATGGCAATGCATTCAATAGTTTCATCACAAATAAAATTCCACTTTTGGACCTTAATCATATTTGCAAAAGCAAGATACAGAAAACATGTCCTAAAATACTTACGTAAAGCAAGAAGTTTTCCAGTCGCTTCTTCTTTGAAGTGCAGTGAAAAGATCAACAACCTTCACATCTATTTCCTGGCATAACTTTACACATGCTTCTGCATACTTTTGGCACAACTCATTTGTTCGTACCAGCTCACTAAAAATTCCACTGATTTTAAGGGAAAAAATGGGTAAGAACTTTATATTTAGCATTAGAAAAAATAATTAAAAGCAAAGACATGGATATAAATCAGAACACCTTGTGTTTTTATGAATCATCTCCTCATCGACTGGAGGACAGGTCAGAAAAATGATGCGTGTCGTTTTTGAAAGGCTCTGTGTTTCAAATATAAATGTCAGAATAAATATCAAATAGTCTTCTTGGTAAAGGCCATTACAAGATCATGTGTCAACGTTTTCAAAATACAAAGTGAAAGAAGAGTTGAACATACAGCAGCAATCAATGATGGCAAAGGAGACAAAATTAAGCATGGAAATTCTAAAAGCTGAGTTACAAAACAAATTTCATTCTACATTAGTTTTAGTTTCTTTCCTGAAAAAAAATATTAGAATATTTTGTTGGGTTCATTCAACATTATGGATGTGTTTGGAGTGGAAATTAAAAAGTGAAAGATAGAACTCAGTTGACAGTAGTTTCCTGCTTTCCTTGTTAAAAGGATAAAAAGATCATGCGAAAGAATGGTCCAACCAGTGATGTATGTTATTGAGAAGCAATCTACAGTAAGGCACAAATCTTGGTTGCCATAACAGAATATATGTATATTTATATATCATAAATGCTATGAAAAGCATAACTTTACCCAGGTAGTAGTAATATTTGAGAGTCAAGAAAGAACCTTGAGATGAAAAGCAATCTTTCTCATGTTCTCTACGTACTCAGGAAGTGGTACATGAGGGCCTAGTCCAGATGAGTGAGGGCCCATTGAGTCATTACCACCAAAATAAACTATCACCAAATCTGGCTGTACAGAAGCATCCTACATGGGGAACAAACCAAACCACAGCATCAGTAACTACACCAAACTTTCTAAAACAAGAAAACCATTTAAATGAATCCATATTATTTCGTATAACATATATACACAAAAGGAAAAACACCAACAAAGACAAAAAAAAGATAAACACAGTTATGCTGCCCAATCCTCTTGGCAGTACAGAGAGCAATTTATCAAGTTTGATTTTCAAGCATTAACTTGAAATGTCAAATGGATCTTCTTTTCTTTGATACACAAACAAGACTTGTCTGTCCAAGGACCCATACACATCCAAATACATAACAATCTGCAAATTTTGCAGAGATATCTGCATGCACACAGGGAAAAGCAATTGTAGATGCAGCTTGGCCTGCAACAAGAAATCAATACTATGCTGCCACATAATTGCATCTAAGAAATCAACAATTTCCAAAGGAAATTGCAGATATCACTGCTCAAATATGGGTATAACCAGGCACACGTATCCTCCCACGAAAGCCTCAACTGCACCATGTTCTCATTAAATAGATCAAAATAACCTAAAATGTGTGTCTATTTCACAACATAGCTTATGCAAAAATTGCACATATCACAGTTCAAATATGGATATAAATATTTGCTGCCACATGTATCCTCAGCAGCCATAAGTCTTAAGTGTACCATGTTTTTAGTAAACACATCAAACAAACCAAAATTGCCTAAATGGGATTGAAGATGTCACCAATATTTGGATAAAGATGCAATCTTTGTCGCCGAGAACATTAATACCTTGGGAAAAATTTGATCAATGACCTCAACAGCACGCCTTGAGTTCCATCCATAATACCCTCGCAACAAAATGTCTGCCTGTGATTAATTGCTAACAAGATTAAGCAAGACTGCAATAGAAAGAGCCCAGAAAATGCATACAAGCTTACAAGATAACTATTGCAATACAAGGGAACACCTTTCTCTCCTCCACCCATCCGCTGAGGGTTTCAGTATTCATCTCCGCAGATATTTCCAATGAAATATTAATAAATAAACTATAGCCTAATACATCCAAAAGAGTTCACATAATTGGTGTCTAAATCAACTCAATGAACACTCTGTGCGGGTTATTAAGTAAAACCTTAAAGACTCCATTACAACCACAACCCAAAAAAGCCTAATCCTTCTCTTCAAATTTTCCCAATAGAGAGTAAAAGAATTAAAACCCCTTTAATTGAAACAATGAGTAAAGATTAAGCCCATGTTGAACTGATTCAGTACATAATAAAGAATGAAGAAAACAGTAAAAGGAAAAAGAGAGAGAGATACTTTGCGGGAATAGATGTCGGTGAGAATAGAACCCCAACCGCCATAGCTGAAGCTAAGCTGTACAATGGAGGATCCAAAGAGAACAAACTGCGGCCTTGTTGGTCCCACCATCTCTCTCTATTTCTATTTCTCTATAAAAAAAGAAGACTGCTTTTCTTTTCTTGCTCTATTTCAAAAAGCAAATTTTCTCTCTCTCTCTCTACACAACAGCCATCTCCCTCTTATATCGGAGAAAGGTTGAAGAAGATTAGCTCAAAATAACGACTTGACTGACGAGGTTTTATCGCATATATCATTTATTGCAATTGCACCATACATGGTAGATAAATGTGTATGTAAAAACAGTTGTACTTGGTACAAAATCATGAGTTCTGCGCTGTTCTTTATAATTTTTAGATGACAACAAACAATTTCACAAAATAGGAGAAAAACAGATGGTATTACCATAAATTACTGGACTATGTTTCCTTGGTTCAATTTCGTATAGATCCTGCTTTATGGTCCATTTGTAACTTAATCACATATATACACATTATATTATATACTTGGTTGTATTTGTAAAGTTAATTAAGTCTTAACCCTGACGTGTTCAGTGTAGTCAGGAAATTCTGTTGAGGAGAAGGTGCCAGGCTGTTTACAATTTGGCGGTAATTAACCCACCAAACCAACCGACCGACCCTACAGGGTTCTCTCACTAATGCAAAACTTCAAGATGATTATTTCTTGAACATGACTCTCTATCAAATTTTAGTACAGTGATACACAGTTGAATTCATTGAATATCTATCTAGAAAGTGGAATAGCAGTCACGAATCTCGGAACAAAAATTTATTATTACTGTATGGGCCAACAATGACTCTGTTCCAACAAATTGTGGCACAGATTGGACAAACACTTTAAGGTGCAATAAATAGCAATTATAAAAAACATAAATTAACAAAGAAGAGCACCAAGTAAGGAAGGAAGTAGTCAAGTTGAATAGTTTCCCTTGGCTGAGGAATGAAAATGACCATCAATTGGCATTTAGGACACTACAGGCAGGGCCAAGCCAAGGGACACCATTATGCTTTCCAAGACTCGGTAGCTCCATAATAGATTGCTCATACTGTAGTGTAAAAAAGACAACATTCAAATACTAATAATCTCTATCCATTTCAAAAATTTTCCATAGAAGAAAATCAGTTTGCTAGTACTTTCTTGAGTAGAAACAATGAAGATTACTCTTATTAGATTTTATTTTTTGACAATAATTATTAGAAGCAATTTCATTATGCAAAATTTTTCGATTCATTTAATGAAATTCACAATTAAAAACCTAAACCACGCTTGTTTTTAGTAAATGTTTATTTAGAAATGAAGGTAAAATTAAATAATAAAAACTCTCTAAGAATAGAATTAGAGGAGAGTCAAGGAGGTAAAATTAAAAGCCTTTTGGTTAATAATCTATACCACAATTCAACAACTCCGTGGATTAAACTTACCTAAACCAGGCAAGTCTATGAGTTCATTCATAGTCAAGTCATCGAAAATAAAGGTTTTTTCAAATATTATTCTCACCCACCAAACCAAAATAATAATAATCATAATGGGGTTTTTGGGCATACATTATTATCTCGCGGACTCGGTATACGAGAACGTTTATATGAGTAAGAAAAGGAATAAATACAACTTATAATCTGATTTCCTTTCGCTAATGAAAAAAATATCATTGTGTCAATCCCAGTCCAAAACACCCGGAGGCTAGCGCATCGATGTATCTGAACCGAAACAAAGAATGAGGGCCTAGCATCATCGTAAAATGGCAAACGAAACTGGAACTCAGTCCAAAGAATTAGTTTATAGGGATTTCTAGTTTAAACCAGGCAAAGCTCTCCTGAGTTGTAAAAGCCACACTGCTATCTGCATTCCCCACAGTCGAATCTCCAACAAGATTTCGTCCATCCATACATCTAACCAACTAAGGAAGGATTTCCTCTGTAACTTCTTTGCCTCGAGGACTGCCTCAGAGGAAACCTTTCCAATAATGAAAAATGTCTCAAGAGAAGATCCCTGCAACTGTTTGTCATGCATTACAACAAATAAAATAATTAAAATTTTATAATATCAAATAACATGATAGTTAAAAAGAACAGAAAATTGTCCAAGCCATGAACACAAAATTAATTCCTCCAAAAAATAGTGAGAAGATGATTCCAGAGTCATTAAATATTTCATTCCCTCTGTATTCCTAATCCTTTGTCTAGAAACTATTAGCAAGGATCTCATTATCTCACATGTATGAGCTATTAAGCTTCTACTGATATTTTTAGCAATGCTGCTCAGTTTTAACAAGAAATGCAGTTCTTCAAGGCCTTATAGCTATGCATTATCAACTGGTAATGGGATGCCTCTCCCATGTTTTATTTGACTAGCAAAAACAACTTGGCATGAAACAGCATAAAGAATAATCTAAATCCTTCAAAAAAGAAGGATAAAGGATTTAGACTATCTTCTTTGGACCATTCGTAATGCACCCTTAATAGGAATTTATTTTATTTCTGTTACATTCCACTCATGATAATGTGAAAGTCAATAGAAACTAACTGGCAACATTGAGGATAGGCAATAGACAATACCAGAGAATTATTTACTGTTCGTAGACAGTCATTTGTCTTTAGCATTAGCAGAATTACACGTGGAAGCCTCCTTAGCAGCTCTGAGATTTCATGGAAATATTGAGATGCATACATCTGCAAAATGTAGTGATTGCAATGCAAGCAGTAAGACCTAGATACATTCATTGTGTCACAGTAAGAAACTGTCAATTACAAGCCCAAGGCGTCCTTTCTGTAGCAAATTATTTATACAAAAAGACTACTGTTAATTAGAATATCCAATTGACTGATTATTACCTGCAGTTCCGAAAGTTCACTCTCGTTGCCTTGTATGACCAAATGATCAACAGCTGGATCAACAACCCTGTTCCAGGGTCTCATGGTAAGAATCCCTGCAAAGAGAGCATATAGATCCTCTCCAGCTCCCAATTTAACACTATTTTCCTTTATTGAATCAGCATCAGCAAATATCAATGCCTGTTGCAAACATCAGTCAAAAGGTTACCATTTGGTCGCTGGCAATATAAAACGCATGTGCAAAAATAAAGAAAACAATGGTTTCCCATAAAAAAAAAAATAAAAAAAAAAAAAAAAAAAAAAAAAAAAAAAAAAAAAAAGCAACGGCAATTTACCTTCCAAAGGGCAGCATAATTAAGATCAAAAAAAAAAAAAAAAAAAAAAAAAAAAAAAAAAGCAAGCATTTACCTTCCAAAGGGCAGCATAATTAAATCTAGTGGCAAAGTCAAGTTCTTTGTACAGCCCATGGTCCAATAGAATCAGTTGTGGTTTTCTCTTGCCTATACAAAAGGAAAAACCCAAAGTACAAGTAATTTAGAAATCAACAGAACATTAATAATTTATATACTTTACCAATCAACAGATAAAGAAGCTTTGAAGAGAAAAGGGTTGCAAAAGGACCTAAGGTGTTTACATTTTCAAGATGATAATAATTTATAAAGCCAAACACCTGAACCCCATCCAAAAGGACAGGAAATGACTAATGGGTACTGTGATCATTGGAATTATATGAGAGATGTTCAAAGGTGATCAAGTACAAAGAAACCCTCACCTAAAATGTTCCTTTTACCCGAAGGCAAAGGGCGTATCAACAAGTTAGCAGCATGTGGGTCACAGTGTACAAACCCATGCTTGAACATCATCTCAGCAAAAGCTTGACTAACCTGCAAAACAGAGAGTGACTATAAGCAAACTTGTTATTTCAAGAAATCAGGGGCATACTTTGCAGCTCCAAGATCTTTTGGATTTGTGTTGAATCTGGTGACAAATGTGTTGAAATTATCAAAATCTTTTGACTGGGGAATAACTAGCTGCCTTTATAAAGGCCTTGATGTACCCACATCAAAACACTGTCCAAAAAAGTCATTCTTGTTCGCAGTTATTTATTTCTTTCCTTCACCCAAAATCAATTCAATGAATGGACATGATTAAACTATTGACTGCAAACCAAAAGAAAGTTCAAACCTAGCTAGTCTAAACGCTAAAAGCATATCGAGATTATCCTTCCCAAGAACCTGCGTTATGATCTTTGTTCTAAGCCTTGCAGCAAATAACAATAGACATGCCAATTTCCTGACCATGTTGTCTATCAAACAAATAAAACAAACCTATATCATCAAGGGCATTAACTTACTAATTTTACAACTTCATTAGGTTGAATGCCGAGTCCTTGAATCGCCTTCACATCATCAATTTGGGCAGCATCCATAAATTCCATAGTTAACAACTTTGAAGTACTCAGGTTCCAATGAACCTTTGGTGCATAGACATAATCTGCAATATGAGGGGACTGCTTCCGAAAATTGTCCAAACACTTCTCACTATTTTTGGCCTCAATCAAGAAATTCAGTTCCTGATGTTCACATGTAAAGACGACCAAAATATGAGCTGTGTTTTCATAAAAAGGCATTTGAAGAAATTCACATAAACATGTACAATGATTAAAAGAGTAATCTGCATTTATTATTATCTATAGTCCATCTTCAATAAAACAACATCACACAAAAGTTTTAACCTTTCTCTCTTTCTTTTTCCTGGATAAAGGACTAAATAGTTAGATAATCAACCAGGATAAACAAAAAAAAAAAAAAAATTCGATCATGAAGAATTCAAACAATGTAACAATCTTAAATTAAAGACACTCATTTATTTATTTAAATTATATAATACTGATCAATTGTAAGGATTAAGTTGGCAACAAAACATTATTTTAAAATTCTATGCATGTTATTGACCTACTTGCCTTGGGTAGGCTTTCACTCATTTCAGCAACCAACCATCTGCAAACAGAAACAAGGAAATTTCAATTAACACCAACCGCTCAAGACCAAACTTCACCTATCATAAACAGATAAGACAGACGCATTTATGACTTTAAAAAGAATAAATGCACACCCTTGTAGACAACCAAGATATAAATGCACTTTATTGCATTATTAAATACCAGATCTCCACAAAATGGCAAGCTTCATAAGGAAGAGAAGACAATACGAATCACTTGTAGTATAGAACCCTCAATGCTAGACCAACCCAACAGAACTCAGCCCCAATCCCAATCTAGCAGGCTGAGATTTAGGAAATAATAAAAAATGCTACCTGTAATCAAACGAAGGGAAAAACCGGTGTAGGGTGTTGACAATCAATTCCACTGTGGCATGATCTACAGCTGCAGTATCTGTCATGTGAGTGTGCTGAACCTGAATATCCAGAAAATATTACACAAAGTTGTGTCTAAACACGCATGATTCATATAAAATTTGATTCCACCAAAATACATATGAAACCTAATTCCGTTTCAATGTGAAAAGTGAAAAACCTTCACAGCAACTTTTTGGCCATCATTTGTCTGAGCAACATGAACTTGAGCAAGGGAAGCACTTGCTATTGGAACAGGATCAAATTCCTTAAAAATCTGCAGATAAAAATGCTTTATTCATTACTCAAATACAGTCTCTTCCCAAAACAAATGTCAGTATCACAATGATGATGAAGAGGAATAGCTCTCTAGAAGCACCAAAAAACACAATGTTCAAGTTAAACTAAACATATGCACCTAGCAGCCAGAACGAACTGCACCATTTTATGCAAATGTGGCAATCTTTCCAAGAAAAATTTAGCTAAATGAAGCATACTTTATCTGGGGTTTCTCCAAGCTCTTTCTTGAAAACTTCACACACTTGTTCATACGAAGATTCAGGACATTTGTTCAGCATTGACTCTCTCATTGTCTGGACATACTCTAGAGGGACTAAATATTCCTGCAGAAATATTAACTTTTCAGCAGTAGCCAGCATTTGATTAACAACATAATTACCCAATACCCATGTAAAACAGTTAGAAAGAACTCTCACTAACTTAACCTAATTAATACTCAAGGAAGCAGATTGGAAACATACCAACTGCCCAATGTGTTGGCCAAGCTTGATATATATTCCTCCATTTTTGAAACATAGTTCTTGAAGCTTACGCGCTGATCTTAGGTGAACTTCATGTTTGACTTTCAATTTCTCAGCACTTCCTTCGGGTAGTCCCCACAGCGAGTATTCATAATCTAGTGACAATAAACAAATATTCACACCACTAAGAAAACGCAAATTTAGAAATTCCATATGAAACAATATCATAGAAACTACAGATAAAAATAATTTTCCAATAAATTTTTGAAATATCTTACAACAATACACAGAAGTATGCTACAAACATTAACAATGTCAAAAGACTGAGAAGGTTAAAAACTTAAAACGTTCAAATAACCTTGCAAATTTTGAAATGAACTAAGAAAACACCAAAAATAACACAAACGACTCATTTTTAAGTCCTAAATACTAAATAATATCCAAAATAAACACAAACGATTCATTTTTAAGTCCTAATACTAAATAATATATATATATATATATAATATATATATATATATATATAAACTACTACAAAATTCTAAATTCTACATTCATAAGCAACTTTAATGAATAATATAAACTACTACAAAATTCTAAATTCTACATTCATAAGCAAATTTAATGAATAGAATTACATTTTAAGTGAATATATATAATTAAAACAAAGGATAATTTAAGTGTTGGAGATACCAAAGGCAATGGAGGCGGCAGTTATGGTGTCGCGAGCAAGACGGACGGGGACAGTGGTGCAAAGCTTCAGAGTCATAGCAGGATCTTCGGAAGTGGCGATGGTGGCTGCGGTGGCGCCGCTGAGAATTGCCGTAGCGGCCACCGCGAGCTTGGCGCGGGTGCGCCACAGAGATCGCGTGGCCATGAAAATGGAATACAAAAAAAACTGGCGGCAAGTACAAAGCGAGCGAAACTGACTCCGGCTACTTGGGACGAGAGAATATAGCGCTTAGGTAGCCTAAAACGGCTGCGTGTTGGATAAAATGCACTTGGCTCCCTAAATTATATTTTAATTAACAATTTTGTCCCACCTTTGACATTCCAAAAATTATTATAATATCCCTAATTTTTGCTTTAAACTAATTAGGATATAAATTAAAAATCCAAGTGCATTTTTTATCCTTTATATTTTTTTTAATTACACTTTTCTATAAATATAATTCTATTTATCATATGAATTTTTGTTCATTACCAATGTATGGTTTTTAATTGCATTTTCCTATAATTAAACTTGTATTTTTCATTCTCATGGAAATTGAAGGCCACTTATTAACCCGACCAACACGTTGTTGGTTACATTTTCAAATAATAACAATTTAAAAAATTCAAGGATTTTTTATTAGCCCTGCTGGTCGACTCTGCCACGAACTCACAAACAGACCAATAGAGGGTTAAAGAAAGTTTCACTGCGTAAATCTCATTAATCATAATTAAGGTACAAATTGCAAATATTAATTTTGCCTACTCATGAATCTCACAGAAAACTCTATAAAATACAGTTAATTGTGTCTACACTAACACTGCTTTCTAGCTCTAAGATCTCATCAGCTAACAAGAATTTTGGCACCATGACCAATAACAGTTCTTCCATTAATGGCCACAAGATCCTGCTTGACTTCTATAGAGTGAATAGCTTGTCAATGATATGGCAATGCTATTAAAAATCAAGTGTGCCAGTTTTGGATGACCCAGAACAACTACTAGATGTGCCATATGAACTCCCGCTTGAACCGTCAATTGGAGCTTGATTTAAACATTCTAAAACCAAAAACCGTCGCTTTTGCAGTTTTATTGAGAATGTTGTTGCCTCAAGAATTAGAGGAACCTGTCAACAAGCTGAAATTGGTAAGATCCTAAAGATGAAGCAACAATCACGAACAAAAATAAACATGTCTTTTCCATTATTAAAGTTCCTTCGGTAAAGAAGTTTTGCAGAAAGGACTGGTGCTTCAGATTAGTGAAATCCCTCCAACAGCAAAATGAAATAAGTTCTATTTAACTCATAAGGTCCAACATTAAACAAAATAACAATAATAATAAACTAAAAAGGGAAACAGATTGTTTGAGGGCCAACTTTTGAGCTATTGGCATCCAGTTAAAACTTAAAAATATGCACATTTAATTTTTCACCTCACTGAGCTACAAGGGTGGGTCAGGAGGGAGGCACCTCTCTGCAAGAAAATGCGTAAATGCCAAGCGTTGCAAATGGAAATAAGCACCATAGCCCCATTTGATATTATTACAGCAAAACACCCTAATGCATTACCTGAGTATTGAATCGCACAACTTTGTGGATGTTAAGGAAGCCAACCATGTCTTGGTAACCAGTGAGGAGTTTTGCCAGTTCTTTATCATCATCTGCAAGAAACCAGAAAGCATTTTGCTGAGAAGTTTGACAAACAATCGAAGTGAACAGAGCAACAGCACATGTGAAAATCAATAAACCTGGGATTGCTTTGACTGAAAGTAAAATGTCCGCCATGTGCTGCCATCTTTTACAGATGGGTTCTGAAAGAAGGGAAGATGGGAAGGTAATAACAGCAACTGCATTAGCAGACTGTAGCATGCATTTTAGAGACCTAATAAAGGAAAGCACATCCCATTCCTGCAATAACAATACATTACAAAGTGAAAATGTGCAATACCTCATGAAACTGAAATCATAATAAAAAAGAGCATCAAATGATTAAAAAGGGGGAAAAAAAATGATTGCGACATACCATGTTGGAATATTCACACTGTGGTGCACATAAAGACTGAATGGCAATACGACCAATGGATGAAATGCTGCCATCATTGCTGGAGAAGATAGCCAACAAATAAAGCAATGAGAAAATAAATAACACACCAGGCTAAATGGACAGGTCATGTAAAATAGCCTCTTCAGACAAGTTAAAGACCAAGGAAGGTCGGGATCTATCATCTTAAACAAGCTCAATAACAAGAAATATATTGGGAAGTGTTATGTCCTCTTTGCAGGGCTATAACCAAGATGGAAGACTAAAACGTAAATTAAAGGAATATTAAAAAAATATCTGTCGCGCGCAAGTTGTATTTGTTGACAGATTTTAAGCTCCTAGGCCTTCTATTAGGTTTGGTACCACATATCTGTTATGATGTTCCTAGACCACATTCATTTAACAAAAGAAAGAACAGGTAACAATATAAAGGAAAATATATACTGACAACTGCAAGCCTTTCAGTAGTTTTCTGAATTCATATTGTGCATTAAGTACATGCCAAACTAACAACCAAGAATAAATGAAGCTCCTAATCAAGATGATCAAGCAACATTACAAACATAATACAGACAATATAACCTCTTCGCAATAAAATAGACATAATTTACATAAGAAAGCATTTGTTTTTACCGAGGAAATTGAGATAAAAATGTGGTACAATGGTCATGAAGAGCAACAAGATTTTGAGAATCTTTGAAACTAATACAGTCCACACGTTGCCCACTGTAAAAATGCCTTTCTAATGGTTTCCTTAAGTCAAAGTCATTGCAGAACTCTTGCTTAGTATCTGTATTAAAATATAGAATGTCAGTCTAGATTTCTGCCATTCCCATCATAGAACTCAGATGATGTTTAAAAGAAAATACAATCAAAATACAAAGGGCCATAGACTATTTCATTTTTCAAGATCCATAGTGCCAACAGTCCAAAACCATGTATTACTATCCTCTTGGGACCAGGCAAGCCAGAAAAGGTCATGTTCCCTATTAAGGATTGTTTTAAAAAAAAAAAAAAAAGGAAGAAGAAGTTCTATTTAAGGATTGTTTTAAAAAAAAAAAAAAAAAAAAAAAGGAAGAAGAAGAAGAAGAAGAAGAAGAAACAAAAAATCAGAAAAAGAAGAAGACGAAGACCAGAAAGAATAAACCATTTAGGCCCACATAGAATAGCTAAAGTAGGTATCTAGTTAAAAGTAAGCTCACAGGTAACTGGTGAATATGCTTGCTGAGAAAGAAGTAAGTTTATTTTAGTCCACTCGATTGAAACATCCCAAGGTATCACACAGAATAATTTTTTTCTAAACCTTCATATTATGCACGAAAACCAAGCAGTGTCAGCTTATCAAACTAAAAGTGCAATGGAGAAGGGCAGGATGGTCTTACCTTTACCATTAAAACTCTGCTGATTTTCACCAAAATACTTCTTATACTGCCAAGCAATTCTCAATCCCTTCTCCTGTAATTTGCCAAGATTTGAGTCACAGCACTAAACTATCATGTAACTGAAAATGAAAACAACAGGTAAAATTGAATAGGCAAAGAGGAATGCCTGTTCTGCATCATGATTTCTCAATTTGTCATCTTTGGATGAGGAGGGACTAGGCAATGTACCCAAAAACCCTCTTGGATCTTTGGATGGACTAGCATAAAGAAGTGGTTGGTTCTGAACAAGTCCTTGAGACATAAAATTCCTCAATAGTAGCATGTGATGAGGTGCTTCTGCATCCTCCATCACCACAACTAGGCTTCCCAGTGGAAGCCCGCCTCCAAGTATCTCTACAAATTGGGGACAAGAAAAATAGTTACTACCTGTGCAAGCAAACTAAGGAGAAATAAACAAAGCAAAACAGGGAAAAATGCTTATTTCATTGCCTTTTCATCAATTCCATCCATAAAAAGTCCAAGAAGGTAAAGTAAAGAAACAATGCAGAAGATTACTGTCAAGGTCAGATATTCCAGAGGAGACAAAGAATGTGCCATTGGGACCGCACTTGATTCCGGGGGTCTGAGGCGAAGATACAGCCAATACATTGCGGGTGAAGCTACTTGTCCGAGTCTTAGTCGAAGC